GCATTTTTTTTTTCAGGAAAAGAAAGGAGCACCTCCTATGGACCCCAAGCAGAAGGAGGATAATGAAATTGCCAAGTTAGACAAAATCTTATCAATGGTCAGAGAACCCAACGAAGACAAGAAATAAACATTGCTTTCTGTTTGGGGGGGATTCTAACACTTTTTTGGAGATCTTACCTTGGAAGTTTAACCAAAACAATTTCCCCACTTTTTAACACTCCGTCCTTTAGGAAATAATTTTAAAAAGAAAATTTACTACTATAATTGGGGTTGTTAATGTATTGAGTATGTGAATTGTTTAACTATTTATTGTGTATTTTTCAAATGACATTGTTAAGAAATGTATCAGAACTGTTATGATGCAATAATTTTGACTGTATTAGGAATTGATGCATTCTTTTTTGTATGAAAAATGTGATATAATTTATCGTATCTTAAAAGATATATTTTTATTAAACTGATGAAACATCCTTATCATATCGTTTTCCTTAAAACGTAGAACATCCCATTGTGAATTAAATTGTAGCAGGGTTGTCCCTTGGAATTGAAATAGAAGGGGTCATTTAAAAAGTAGAGAGGAATCTGAGGTTTCTCCTCTAATGGGAAGTTTAGGACAAATACTAAATTAACCAGAGGATTACACCATTGTAGGTGGGGAAATTCCCTGACCCGAGGGTCTTAGATCTGACACCCTGAACTTGTGTATATTTTTCATGTAAATTGCCTAAACCAATATAAAGTATGTCCTGTAATCCTGGAAAAGTCAGTAGTGATTTGGACTAGTTCTTGGTAAACATTCAAACGTTTGTACTCTGAACAGCTACATATAATATACAATAGGAATGTCTAGCATTTTTATTATTTTACATTATGGTTAGAATGATGCATGGGACTTTTTTAAAATTATTATTTGCATAATTAAAACATGACTGACACATAAATCGTTTATCAAATTAATATAATCAATGAAATAAAGATATCAAATGTGTAAAGCACGATGCAACAGTGTAAAATATACTATTTCTAAAAACTTCTCGCTAGACAGAATACAGAGATATAATTGTCTCAGTTAAGGGAATACTTTGTTGAAATCACTGATCCTACATGCACAAGTGCTAAAAAGATGATATTATAAGGTATTAATGCTAGAATTCTGCATAGACAACATCTTTGTAGTCATTGGAGACCAGGTCTTGTTAGAATTTCAATAGGCATTAATTGTGCTCCTTCATTCGTCACCCTCTTTTTTATATTTCCAATGAAGTAGAATTTATGTAAAAAAAAAAAAAGAAAAAAAAAAGAAAGAAAGAAAGAAACTTCTACATGATGACTTACATGAGACTAAAAACACTTGATGTGGTCTTAATCTGAAATTCAGATACAGTATACATGTTTACATGTATCAACATTATATTAATTAACAACTGTTATTTCCATTCAACCATTTATGTCAGCTCAATATACCCAAGTGAACTGAAAATAAAAAGACACCAGGAAGTCTGTCACATCTGTTTTATATGTAACAACTAAGATGTAGAAAAATGATATTACTAGCCATCATTAATTTCCTTATTTTTCACTAATATTTTGCTATCCCCTGCATATGGTATTTACATCTCCCAACCTTTATGATACTCAAGAGCATGCACTGAGTACATTCAATTTTTAGACCTAGGCAGGGTACTAACAGAAAAGTTGATCTTGGAGGAATTTCAAAGTTAAAATATAAATTAACATTTCATTTATTCTATTGGTGTATAGAATAAATGAAATGTTAATTTATATGTTAACTTTGAAATTCCTCCAAGATCAACTTCATTGGAATTACATATAACCTTTCATTGTGACTTAAATATTTCATAATAACTGTCAGGGAGACCTATCATTGGCAATCAATACCGCAGTTTCACTCATCCGCTATTCGATATTTGATAAAAAAAAAAAAGAAAGATGTTTTCCTATTTATATATATGAAAAATTTTATCCAGGCACGTAGCAACAGGGGGGCGGGGCCTGCCCCCCCTTTTTTTTGCCAACAATAATTTTACTATTGAAAATGTTCATTGAAAGGCTGGTTGCCCCCCCCCCCCCCTACTTTATAGTAGACTTAGTTAATATCAAGGGAAATGTAGTATAGAGAGCAGGAAAATTGGTACCGAAAGAAGTTGGCAATGGATTTTCGAGTTTGGGCAATTTTCCTTTTTTTTTTGCTTGTCAACTTCTTCAGGTAAGTCAATTTTTTTTTTTCTCTGGCTGACCTATCCCCCCCCCCCCCCGACACTTTCAAAAACGATGCTATTTATATATGTTATCGCTCATAGTGGTCACATGATATGAGCCCACTTCAATCTATACTGACTTTCTATGGATGCCTCCTTATAAATATGACTAATAATGACTTTTCATTCCTAAAAAGATTACTATTAACGATAACATACCCTTGTAAAACCCACAGTAGCCTAGCTCAACCTACCCCAGGGCCCTAGAATTCTTGAAGATTTTCAATGACCCCAACATATTTTTTCTGAATGATTTTGAGGAATAAACTGAAATGACGACGACAGACAATAGACAAATTTTGAAGAAACAAAAACTAAATGTTAACTCCTTTCCCAGAAGTGAAAAACGTATTCCGAGGGGCGGGGGGGGGGGGGGGGGGGGTTTAAAGCTTGAACATTTGCATGACTTTTCATACCAACTTAAAACGGGTCCGCGTTTTCAACCGCGGGAGGCGGTGGGCAGGGTCACTGTTAGTGGGATTTTGGCATATATATTCAATAACTGATAACTCATTCAAGGCCTCAGAATCATGAAGCAGACCTAGACTTACGTCAAATTTTCAAGAGCCTGTACAATGCTTATTAATAGTCAATTAAATCTCTATATTTAAAGACAACAGCACTTTGGTGGTGCAATATTAAGTCACATTTTTATTCGGGATTATTTGACTTCGACAAAGTTTTTGACTTAAGCTAAAGATCTTTCATGATCCCGGGGCCACCCCCCCCCCCCTCCACTTTAGATTGATCCACGCACGCAATATTAATAGCATTATGAAAAATTTAAAATAGTAAGTGTACATTTCAAACATGTCAAAATTATTCAGTATTAATCAAAAAAATATATAAATATATTAAAAAGCGGCGTGGTTGAAGTTTTTTTTCCCTAAAAAAAAACTATTCTCAAATCTAACATATACCGGTATTATAATTCTGCAAATATCTCCATTCTTTTCTTAAGGCTAAATTTATCAATCGTGTATATTATTGCGAATGTAGCGCGTTAAAAGCAATTATGCAATTGCCAGGAAATAGAAATTAATAACTATATAATTTAACTGCTGTGAATTTTCACCCTCAGGATTTAAAGCTATCGGGAGATAAAGAAGACAAAATCACAACTCGCGCGACCTGACAGCTGTTACCAAGGCAACTGGCAGGTGACAATTCAGCGAGTTCTTTATCTGGAGGGGGCTTTTATCAACATACTTGGGACAACACATTGATAGGCGTACTCTCATTCAACTATCTAGTCCAATAATCCAGACATTACTATGACCAGGATAAGACGTTCAAACCGAATTTTCAACGAGAGAAGAGTGAATCTTGTGGATGCTGAGAGGAGATTCCGAAGATCTTGTGAACAAATCGTCATGTTAAACAGAGCTCTAACCTCCCTACAGAAAAGGTACGACAATGCCAAAAAAATGAACAAAAGGACCTTCCGCTATCATCTACGGCTTCGCTTGGCGGTCGTCGAGGGGATGAGAAACGTATATTTTGACTATGCTCACGAAAAAGCCAAGCAGGTAGCCGAACTACGACGAGAATTATTTGGAGAAATTGTAGAGATTGTAGAGCAAGATACTTGAGCTTGTAACACAGTGCAGAACTTCTGAAAACCGGACTTTATTCAAAATCGATCTTTTTCAGGGTAGAAAAGACGTTAATGACAGCAAACGCGTTTTTGTTTGAATCAGCCATGAATCAACATGATGCTTGCATGAACTGGTAAGAGAACACATGCAGGACTATATGTGGCATCTTATATTTGATGGATATAATATTTAGAAGTGCTTTAAAGGCTGAGGATATTTTAATTAACTGAGAGGCATGATAACCTCCTTTTGTGACCAAACAGAAAATTCCAAGAAATGTAGTGCTTTCAGTGACTGAGTAGTTCCTTTACACAAAATATCTGAAGTTTCTTCGAGCTGAAGGTGCAATATTAACATTATAAATAACAGAGCAGAAAAATAAGATGTCAACATCTGCCCTTTTTAGGCAGGTTGCTGTAACAGCTACCTGTTTTGTGCTTAACATTTGTGCAATGATACACTCTAGAGCACACTCCAGTCCTTGATGAAAAGGCACTTATTTCGTATACAGGGCACCTCCTACTTATTTTTACCACAAGGTACCTAACTCATTTTCAGGCACTCCCACTTCAAGCTCGTATTCTGTAAATATATCAATCATTAACCTACTTTAAAATGACATCACCCCCTTCAAGAGACTTTTTTCTTGTCAATTAAATCTTTCATACGTCTCTGGTTGGGTCTCTTTAATATTGTAAACTACTCATTTATTCCTCGAAAATTACCTCAATACATTTTAAGACTTTTATTGAGATACAACTTCCAGTTGGGAGTAGGATAAAACCAGAGGCTTCCAAATATTCCATTCCGAGGTCTCTGGTATTATCTTTCATTTGTAACCCCAACCGGAAAATATTCCAATAAAAGTCTTGAAATGTATTTGAGGAATAAATTAATAGTTTACAATAAAGAGGCTTGAATAGAGTAAATTAATATTTGATATATTAATAGAATACGAGCTTGAAGTGGGGGTGCCTGAAAATGAGTTAAGTACCTTGTGGTAAAAATAAGTATGGGGTACCCCGTATAAGAAACAAGTGCTTGTGCCTTGATGCCTTGTAACATTAAATGTACAACAACCATTAATTTTCAGATGTATCAAGAGAAACAATAAGACCAAATATTGGAGATATAGACAAACTTTAATAGAAAATTCTGCTTCATTTCTTGCAATGAAATAAAATTTTAACATCATTTGAAAAATCTTTATCTTTTCTATTGCTCAGCAGGTGTTGGGTTTTTGTTGGAGAACCACTCGACATTTGTATCCATTGCTTTCCAATGATATTGTCTGTCCAACAAATAATGAGCTCTTGCATTTGTGTGATTATACAGTTCCGTTCCAATTGGCATAATCCCCCGATTTCTTGTATCAAAAAACATTGGGACCCCAAATATGGTGCCTGTTTTCCAGTCAGGATCATCCTGCATCAGCTCTTCTTCAAGTTCGCAATTCTGGCGAAACAACTTCAGGGTTCTGTGTAAAAATAACCCCAAAATTAAAGATGGAAGGCTAGCTTCCAAGCTTAAGGAGAAATTTGTCAATACATGTATCATTATTATGAAGTAAATTTGTATGTGATCATGTCTTTCTTGCTATCCTGATTATTTGTTTTCATTTCTTTTTTTTTTTTTAGGAAAATGACTTACAGTCTGTCGTTTTCTGCCATTATAAGTGGTTCCAGAGCTATGTTTGCCTCTGTATTTTCTAAATATAGCATTCTGAAAAAGAAAGTCAAAATGTAAAGCATTTATTGAAACAAGAGGCCCAAGGGCCTTAATGGTAATCTGAGTAAAATAAAACAACTTGGAGAATCCATAGAATATAAAATAAACTGGTACATGTAGATGAAGCTTTGTTGCCCAAAAGCAAGAGAAATAGGATGATCAGGATCAAGATTCTAATCTGTCCCCCATTTATCACTATCACAATTTTCACCCCAATAAAAATTTCTCACACTGGCCTCTCTTTGTCTTTGAAGAATATTTAATAATAAGTTATTTTTATCTCATTTTTATCTATTATTTACAAGTCTATCTGATCATAAAAACTATGAAAGTAGTTTTTGTATTATAAAATAAAATATCTTGCATAATTCTCTTATTCCATTAACTTTTAAAAAAATTTATTTACATTGATCAATCATCAGAAGTGAATTGCAAAAGGGAATAACTTCTTTCAGTAGAATACAAATTTAAAGAGCCAGCGGCTGGCCAAGACCATAACACTTGACCAAATAGTGCAGATGTTTAAAAATCTGGCAAAAATATTATTGCTTATTTAAGCTTTTACTTTAATTGTTTGCTTTTAATGTGCCAAGGAGCATAGACTGAAGATTTTCAAAGAAAAAATGAATTGATTTTCACTACAGGTTCAACACAGTCCTACCCTTAACACCAAAACACATGACCAAGGCCGAAGGGTCATGAATTTCAGATTTGGACAAGGTACCCTAATTATCATAAGCTCTGCACTTAGCTGAAGATTTTCAAAGAATTGATACTTTCACTTTATTTTCAATAGAACCCCCTCCTTCAATGAGAAGCAAAAGCCCTTCACCCTGGGACCACAAAGTTTTTTAAAAAAATTAAGCAAACTCATATTCATTATAACTATGCATTTTGTTTATCTGCTCAACACTTAGCTACAGAACTGTTGCGTAATGGTTTTATATATTAATATTACGATAATGCTACAGATTTTGTAATGCAAAAAATGTGACCTCATCCCTTGTGGCCACTGATTGTGGCTCCCCTAACCCCTCACTATTTCTTAATTATCTCCCCTTGAAAGAGAGTGTGGCCTTTCATTTGAAGAGACTTGAATCCCCTTCACCCTAGGATGCTTTATGGCAAGTTTGTTGAAATTGGCCCAGTGGTTCTGGAGAAGAAGTCGAAAATGTTAAAAGTTTACTGTTCAAAAGATGTCTCCAACTGTTCAAAAGTTATGTCCAAGGTTAAAATGTAATATTTTTTTGCAGAAGTAGGTCAAACTCCAAGGTCACAGTCAAGAGGTCAAATTTATGGAACCAGAAAAGCTCACTTGAGCTTTCAAAAGCCCCACCCACACAATAGTTGAGCTAAAAAACACCAGGATGACGTGTTTTGGGGGTCTGTACCTCTTTTAACAATAAATTTGGAGTATCCTGCATACAAAAGAAGTGCCTGACTGGCTGAGGTAGAGTCATAAAATATTAAACAAGATGTGTTTGTGAAACATTGATGCCCCCATATGGCAGCTTATGACAAGGGTTGAATTCTCTTCAAATGCATGTCAAACTCCAAAGGTCAAGGTCAAAAGTGTTGACCGCAAAGAAAGGTCATAAGAATACACCAGTGAAATATGGAAACCTTAGTTTTAACTGTTCAAAAGTTATAGCCAAGGTTAACGTTTTGAAAAACTGGGTCAAACTCTTAGGTCATGGTCATATTTATACCAGCTGAAAGGTCTTGTCACAATAAATAATAAACATGTGAAGTACAAAATCTATTTTTATAACCATGGCAACAACTGTAAATCAAAAACCGATGCAATTTATGTCTTAGTGTAGTCAACTGTGTCAAAAGTTATGTCCAAAGGTTAAAATGTAATATTTTTTTTTTGCAGTAACCATGGCATCACCATTCATCAAAATCAAAAAGGTCACTATTTTAGTCAAGACTTGTGTCAAACTTGAAATGGAACTCAAAGGAAGGTCTTGTCACAAGGAACACATCTGTGAAGTATGAAAGCAAAAGCCCCACCCACACAATAGTTATGGGCTTGTTAAAGTTGACAATAGACAGACAGAAGACTAAAAACAAAGAGACAGAAAGACAGGACAAAAACAATATACACCCCCCCAAATCTTTTCATCCGGGGGGGGGGGGGGGGGTTAAAAAAAAATATACCCCCATGATCTTTTGATTCTGGGGCATAAAAAAAACTTACTTGTTGTATCTCCTTGTCTCACAAATCAACCACCAGGAATAGGCTGTGACTCCAAAAACTCCACCCAAGATATACTTCCCTGAAAAATTAAAGCAAACAGATGATGAGATGATTAAACATAAAGATTATATACAGTCAAACCTCTTCATCTGAAACTCTATTGAATTGTAAAAAATCTTCTAGATATGCAAGTGGGTAAAATACATAAAAATGTTCTGACATCCTAAGGACTCCACATATATATAGCATTTGAGATACTGATGTTCAAGATCCGAAGGTAGATAATGAATTGTAGTCAAAGAGATATGTACTGGTACATGTAATATCTTACCAACCCAATGGCTAAAATAAAAAAATTTTCTAATGCAGGGTTATCCCTCAGGATTGACATAGCAAGGGACATTGAAAAAATTGAAGGGGGTTTGATGTTCTAAGACCTTCCCTAACAGAGTTTTAAGGGAAAATAACGGGGGGATTACCGGTACATCATTCTAGGTAGGGAAATTACACAAGTCTGATTGACAAGCCTGTTAATTAGGGATGTCAACGAATATTCGAATATTCATTCGATGAGTTGATATTCGAATACAAATTTGTGATTCGAATATTCGGTTTTTAAGTATACAAGCATTTAATAGACACTGAGATAAAGATCTGACAAGTTTTATTTGAAATTGAATGAAGTTCGTACTGTTGACATGAATAAGATTTGATTTTTAAAAAAATTAACACTCCTGTTGGATTGCTTTCAAAGTGTGAAGAGTGTAATTATTAGAATAAATAATTCTTGATCATTTAATTAGTGGTATAACAGTACCAAGTACTTACAATCAGTTTGTATTGTTGTAAGGGCACAGTTTTACAGAAAACACATAGACCCCTTGTTTATGTATATATCATTAAAAATAATTATTGGATAATTAATTCACTAAAATTAATTGATTTTAATTTTTCTTCCGTGGATAATTGTTTAGATTGGTATAAATTTGTAGGAGTAAGTAGTGTAGACTTTGGTAAGACGATCAATTAATCTAGCTGGAATATATTAAAGAAGCTTTTGAATTTTCAAAAACAAATTTTCATTACATTTAGATGTATACTCTTCATATATTCTGTAAATTTAAAAAAAAAATATAATTACTTTGCATGTACAAAACTTTATGTGAAATTTTATTTCAAAATAATGACTAAACATATACTGGTTGACAGGAGTTAAAATATATACTTAATAATGCAAAATGTATTTATTTTTAATGCATTTAATTAATATCAATTATTGACAATTTTGACATCCCTACTGTTAATGCATTTAATTAATTAAGGTTAATGTATGCTATTAATGTCTCCTTCTCTTGTATTTGAAATACATAAAAAAAAAATCATTATTTATCAATTGCAGAATTTCATAATGTTTTTCCCTCAATATATTATGTTATGTGGATATTTTGTCTTAATTGCCTTGACTATATAATCATATCCTAGGAAATTTGGGTTGAAATCCACATCTTATGTCAAGAAAATTCAATGGGACCACATTAAATAAAATTCTAAACTCCCAATATTTAATTCTATGTAGAGCACAAGCAATATTGTGGTTTAATCGTAGCAAGAACTGACTTGCCAAAAAAAAAAATAATCAAACAAGTATGCAGTTTTCATGCCAATAAACTTTCTAATGCACCATCACAAGATAATACATGTACTTTGTATCTGCATGTGACATTTTTATATTTTTGCCATTTTAACAGCTTGAAGATTTTGATTTTTTATGGGAAAATCCAAGAACATTAAACTTTGGAATCTTGATCCCCTTGCATGGTGAGTCGCTAAACAATATGGTAAAGTTTGAGAATATTTCTTCTTGTTTTAAATAATGTTTAAAAAAAAAAGATTAATATCAAATAAGCAGTACTGTACACAAGTGTTAAAGGAGTTTTCTGAAAACTGTCATAAACAGATTGCAAAATTAACATTTGAAAGGTGTAGTTTGAGTTGAAGAATTTGTGATTAATCAAATATAGAAAATAAAACTGTGCTCACCGTAAGGTTTTAACTGTTGAGCATATGTTTTAACACTTTGTCAGAGTTTCCAAAAACTATCGGTCCTACCGGCAAAACCGTTAGAAAATCGGAATATCCGATGAAATTGGCTACAGTACCGGTCCGTGTGACCGATTGTGGTGAGGGCTTGTCCTGATTATTTTATTGCACTCTGATCTACTGCGAACTGCGAAGTCTTTATAAATGAAAATTTTCAATGCAGCATGCTCCTATTCTTCATAACAATCCATAATCTTATCCATTTTGCAATTCTACTTGACTTATTTACTTCCAAAACAATCGTTTTTTTCCTAATCCGAATTTCCTCCATCCCTCTGTTATTGGTAAACACATGCAGTATATAGATCATGAAGTGCAATGTCCACTGAGAAAACGTAAAGATAATTTAAATTTATTTTTATTTTGAATTTCTATCATAACTGCTATTTATATATGATTCAATTTTTTAAGTGAGTATTTAATTTTAATTTTAAAAAGAATTCTAATAACCATAAGACATTTTTTATTTCAAAAATTATTTTTTTTCATAATTTCTTGTTTCTTTCCCCCAACATTTACTTGGGGCTAGTGACTTTTTTGCTGCCACAAGCCTGTGTGGTCTTTTGCCATGCTTGAATTAAGTATAGTTGCATAATCCTGGTATCACAATCAGTGTTAAATTGGTGAGCCCTGATAAAAATTTATACATATTCAATGCCATTTGAAATATACACTGTATATTCTAAAATTTATTCAGACTGATAGAATATGTTTTGGACTGGTAGAACACATTAAGTCATCAGTCCGAATGACTGATAGAAATATTTGGTTTTCGGAAACTCTGCTTTGTGGTAAACCATTTCAATTTAAGTGTGAAATACTTGAAAGCATGTCTGCTGTAATCATCTTTAAACATGGGGTCAAGCAGAGGGGAATGTTGGAAGGGTTGGAATATGTATGTCGAAATCAAGTGTTCAGAAGGATATTGAATAGGATGGAATATTATCTGCAATGTTTTGAATTACTGCAGTTGTTGAATTTCAAGTCGAAAGGGAAACTTGAGATAATTAAGAGGGTAAAAATTAATTAAATATATAATAGTATTGGGCATTTTTTTTATTTATGTAAAGAAAGATTTAAAACATCAAGTATCTGAGACATAAGAATATTAAAGAGCATGTAAAAAAAATAATTATGGTCAAATCAGGGACCTATTTACGACTTATCTACACCCCATATTACATGGTAAATTATGAAACTGTGTTCAATGGTTTATTTTACTGCAATTACATAACAGAAAAAATGCTTCTTAACAGAATTATCCTTCATACATGATAAAAATACTTTTTTGCAACTGTATTTTGTTTTGAGTTTGGTTTATTTACAATAATAAAAATCCCCCTAGTTTTCACCAAACCGTTTTTTAATGCTATCCTTCAGCTATCCTTCCATCTCTGATGTGGAAGGCTGAGAAGGCCTTCTAAGTCTACCCTACCAAACCAATCGAGCAGACAGTATGGAAAGCGAGTGGGCCCATGTACAAGTATTTCTGGGGCCCATTTCCAGAATAACTGCTTAGAAGGCCTTCTCAGCCTTCCACGTCAGAGATGGAAGGATAGCTGAAGGATAGCATTCTAATATGGCGTCAAGCGGTTTGGTGAAAACTTGGGGGATCTTTATTATTGTAAATAAATTGCAAAAAAGTATTTTTATCATGTACGAAGGGTAATTCTGTTAAGAAGCCTTTTTCTGTTATGTAATTGCAGTAAAATCAACCATTGAACACAGTTTCATAATTTACCATGTATATATGGGGTGCAGCTTTGAGCCGTAAATAGGTCCCTGATTTGACCATAATTATTTTATTTGCACTTTAATATTCTTCTGCAGACACTTGATGTTTTAAATCTTTCTTTACATAAATAAAAAAAAAATATTCCCAATACTATTATATTAAATTAATTTTTCCACTCTTTATTTATCTAACTAACATTTAATGCTTTGAAAAAACGGATTCAAATTCTTGAAATTCAATTCAACACATTGCAGATAATATACCACCCTATTCAATATCCTTCTGAATACTCGATTTAGACATACATATTCCAACCCTTCCAACATTCCCCTCTGCTTCTAGAAGGGTCCCAATCGAGTGGGCCCCTGGAAATGCTTCCTTCTGGTATATCTCTTGATACCCCAATCAAAGTACTCAGAAGTACTGAAAGCCGGGCTTATTTACAGGGTAATGAACAAGGACCGTAGTGATAGTTTCAAATCAAGTTCAGACGTTCAGAGGATATGTTACACACAAAAATATCTCAATGGCATGTGTAGTATTAAAAAGTTTTAAAAATTTAAAATAAAATATAGCTAGAAATTAACAGCGTAAAATATTTCTCACATGTATCGTTTCGGGGTAACCGGTTTTATATACAAACAGAAGTAAATAAACACCGATGCAGCAAGATTAATTAAGGTCAAACGACTCTGCACTGATGTGGCAAAGTCATTAATGATGTTCTCTGCATGTGTGTTAGCCTGATAGTACAACCTTTATTTACAGAATATGACGCAGACAGGGATACCTGGTGAAAACCTTTCGCACCTTTTGAATTGCTTTGTAAAATATTAGTCAAAGGAGCCAGGAAAAATATTAAACAATTTAATATTTTGAAAAAATATTCGATTTACTATTTCTTAAGGTGTTTGAATGGATTTTGTTTTCTCAACAGCGGCTGGACGTACGAACTACATTCTTATTCGTAAACTCAATTTGGCGGTGAAGAAGCAGCATTTTCTGTTGCTCACCGTCGCAATAGCCGGGCATTGGTCTACGAGCAATGAGCCCGGCTAAAAATAATGTTTACATATTGTTTTTTTAAATCGTACATTAAAACGCTAGTGAAAGCTTTGTCATTTCCAACTGCTTAAGACACAATAAACAAGATAAAATAATTTCTCACTGAGAAGTACCCTTACTGGCTGGGGCAAATCGGGTAAACCCCCCCCTTTCTCCCTTTAATCAGCTTTATGCAGTATGATCTTTCAGTTAACTTACCTGGTATTCTTTTAAACAATTTTCTACTATAATCAATAGGGCCATAGCCCCCTTTTGGGGGCATGTCCTGTTTTGTTTGTGCAGCCCCAGCCATGGTCCAGGAAGAACCGATGGCAATGGCAAAAATACAAATCTTCACGAAGGTCAACTGCACAATACCGGAAATGACATTGTAAATACTGTTTTAGAATGCAAGTTACGAATTATGATTATTTCATGAAAAAAACATAACTTGAATTGATGAAAATCTTTCTGTTTATAACACATTAAATTTTAAATTTCCATGCTCACAAATTCAATGCTGATTTTTTTTTAAAATAAACAAAAGGTTGACAATATCCGGAATATTTGTTCATTTTCGCATGTTTTACTGTGCGCAATACGTTTCCTGTATGATTGAAAAACTGAAATGAGAAAGTGACAGATTGAGATTCGATTTATTTGAGGTTAAATGATATCAGTGTCGTTAAATATTCTTTCTGATTTTTCTATTACATGGAACATTCTGTATGAGATACTTATTTTGTCTTTGTAGACATTGTCATGTTATTTTTAATAGCTGCAGATCTGTAGCTTACCAGTTACAGAACAATCAGTACATTTAGCTACGTAGGTAGAATTACTTACCGTAGCTACTATATTTACCTACCTCAGCTCTATTTACCTATTTTTATACAATTTTGCTTTTTCTTTAATAAAGACAAAAATCGCAAATATGTAACTAATAATGTTTTACGGTGTGACCGTTGGGGCGAGCGCAGTACGTTGTATCAAAAACACACTTGAAACATGATCAGCCACTTTAAAACAAGTCGCACAAGGAATCTCGACTTGCTGTGACATCACACGATGTCACAGATCTCGTCGGAGCCTACAAAGAAAGCCGACCGTGTGGTTGAAGCTATACACAGACCTTGTGCAATTTTTGACAAAAGCCATTGTAAAGTATTTTCTTGTTTCTTTTAAGATTTTGATTTCTACAACCCAAAAGCAGTTTATGTTTTATGTTATTTATTTTTGCCATTATTGCATGGAATCCTAGTAGCAAAGGAATTCTGGGAAGGTTTCACACAAAAATTTGCTTCACATATATGTACAGATTTCATTTCCTCTGTTCTTCATGTTAGTCTATTGAGCTCGCTGTGCTCACTATGAATATTTATACTTGGGAAGTTTAAGAAAGCAGTCAAAAGCAGAAATAGCTAATACATTGCTGTGTTTGAGCACTTTTAAGCAAAAGATGTTTTTCTATTGTTTGAGTAACTGTCCACCACCTCGTGTGCAGTGAGACATGTGATCACTTTACATTGTATTGACCAATTACCAGTCCATTATCATGTTAACCAGAACTGGCCTGGTCTTTTTTTTAATTCCATTCAAGAAGTAACTGTTTGGACAGAAAGTAATTGTTGTTTAATATAGCCCAAAAACTGTCATAACTTACAATTGCACAGAAAAAAACACATATTTAAGAGTGAATTTTTAAAAAAAAGTTTATACAGACAGAAAAACAAACAAAAAGATTTTAAAGTCTTTTAAAGTTCAAAATTGTCACTGCAGTAAAGTGTGATTTTTTGCCCATCCTGAAAAAAAAAATGATAATTTAAGAAAAAAGTTTGATTTGGTGGCTAAATAAAGCTACTTCAGGTAGGTAAAATATAAAGCTATGTTGGTATTTAAGCTAGGTAGCTAAATCTAGTGATTGAACCAGAACTGCTTAATGTAGCTCACTGGTCTGAAAAAATTGGGATGGATGATCAGTATCTGTTCTCACTGAGGACGTTCTAAGTTTTTAAGAACTTGTGTCCAATCCTTTTGTTTAAACACCAAAACAATAAAATATGTTCAAACCAAACCATCTGTTCTTCGAAGAGCTACAGTTCTGCAGCTTTATTTTTAAATGAGGTCAGAGTTAGTACATAGCACTTTGTAAATTAAAAAATAGGCCTCCATCAGTTAATGAAACCTGTTGACAATGAAAAAACTTGGTAGTATTCCCTACTTTAAATGTTATGATTCAAACAATAAAAAAATGTTGCCTTATCTTATCTCATTTGTAGAATGAAGATACTTGGATTGATTTTAACATCATCCAAACACTTCAGGTCACACCCAGCCTTTAACAAGAGAAGTTTTCAGACATTAGTGTCCTCGGCATGGTTAAGAAACCAGTTGTCAGGCTCCCAGGAACTGAGCTCTGAGCTGAGATTATTAGATGCTTCCTGGCAGTCCAATGGACAGGGATACGAGCAACTCTATAAACAGTGAGAACCATTTGTAAAAAGCTTCTACGCAAGTGAGTTAAATGGCTAGGTTTTGACGTTTCTATGCAAATGAACTAATAAAGATGCATAAGATATTTATTTTATATTCAGAGAAAGTGCAAGTTAATTTTTTTATTCATGCTCACGGGCTGACAAATCCCATCCCAGGGCTAGTGAATTTTAAGGGTTGAACAAGTGAAATTTTGTCAACCACTTGCGTGGGCAAATGACTTAAAAAAAATTAAATCCACTTGTAAGTCATAGAATAAAAGCTGGGCACAGGAGTGTGTATGATCTACTCAGTATTTGTCTTCCTATTTTTTAAAAATATGTATAAATATAAACAGTATTAGTTGTGTATCATACAGTATCATGATGGTGGGGCAAGCAAAAACTCGAATAGAGCAAGTGAATTTTGACCATGCACTTGCCCTTGGACAAGTGCCTTAAAAATCTCTTTGTCAATCTGTGCATACTTAGTACCCACATCATGTTAAAGCTAGTACACATTATGACATCATATTGTGACATCATTGTTCTTTTCCACTCAAGGTAATAAAAGACATCAACAAAACAATGTCTGCACAAGGGCATATCCCATTTAATTTAAAACAGATAATTTTTAATACCAAGGAGAATATTCTACAAATTAATAAAATTACTGCTCAAATCCTATGCACTTTCTCAATTTATAAATTTTTTTAGGAAACTTACACTTGACTGTGAATATTTACCCTGTTTCAACATGTTCAACTTAAAACTACGAATAGTAACTAAACAAATGCATTGTCGACATTTGTGCAGCAATATCTTAAATCCTTTGGAATATCCTGCATCTATTTATATCTTGTTTTTGTAGAGCAAAGGAATGGTATGCCCTTGAGCCAAAGCGATTTTTTTAATATTCCTTATAAACGTGTAGTGGAGATCGATGACTTCATAATACGCACTGACTACTGCATGTCGTGGGTACCAAGAATGTATTAGAAAACAAGTTTTAATTTTTTTTTTTTGTGATAGATATATATAACCCTTTTGGGTTTTAATTATTAGATTTTTTGCATCAAAATATCTACACGTAGCCTTAACTCACTTGCATATAAAGTTTTCCTGTAAAAAAAGTAGCTTGTTTATAGTATTATCTATATAAATTCTACTTATTATAGGTCTCCCAGAGCAAAACTACGAAAGACGAATAGGGCCACATAAAAAAATATTTTTATCTCATAATTACGAGATATTTTCTCGTAATTACGAGATAATTATCTCTATTATGAGAAAGGATCTCGTTATTACGAGATAAGATCTCGTTATTACGAGAAAAGATCTCGTAATTACGAGTTAATTATCTCGTAATAACGAGAAAAGATCTCGTTATTACGAGATGATTATCTCGTTATTAAGAGAAAAGATCTCGTAATTACGAGAAAAGATCTCGTTATTACGAGTTAAAGACGAATAGGGCCACATAAAAAAATGATTTTGTTTATCGATCGTAATTATCACAAAGATCTCGTAATTACGAGTTCTAAATTTCTCGTAATAACGAGAAAAGATCTTGTTATTACGAGATAATTATCTCGTTATTACGAGAAAAGATCTCGTAATTACGAGAAAAGATCTCGTTATTAAGAGTTAAAGACGAATAGGGCCACATAAAAAAATATTTTTATCTCGTAATTACGAGAAAAGATCTCGTAATAACGAGAAAAGATCTCGTTATTACAAATTAATTATCTCGTTATAACGAGAAAAGATCTAATAATTACGAGATGATTAAGCTCCTTCTTCTGATATTTCTTTTACTAATTTTATGAATTCCGTAGGTTCATCCATTTTACATTAAGAGAGAGTAGAACAATGAAACGCACCATTTTTTATAGATCTTTTCTCGTAATTACGAGATAATTAACTCGTAATAACGAGATCTTTTCTCGTTATAACGATATAATTAACTCGTAATAACGAGATCTTTTCTCGTTATTACGAGATCTTTTCTCGTAATAACGAGATCTTTTCTCGTTAATACGAGATCTTAACTCGTAATAACGAGATCTTTTCTCGTTATAACGAGTTCTTTTCTCGTAATTACGAGATAGAAATATTTTTTTTATGTGGCCCTATTCGTCTTTCGTACAAAACATGGATTTTATAATCATAATATAATGGAGGCGGGGGTGTTAGTGAGTCAGTGTTCATAGTACATGTACCTCTAGATTAAATTATTTTACTATCTAACTGTAGGGCACATATTCCACATGCAGTGTATTTTGACCTGTATAAATGTTGCACTGGTACAAAAGAGATTCCTCTGAACCTCCCAGAACCAGAGTGCTGGACAAAGTATGTACAATCATTAGGGGTATCTAAAGACACTCATGTAGTGGTTTATGATGGACAAAACATGCGGCTGGCATTTAGAACCTGGTGGCTCTTCAGGGTGAGAAGTCAAACTTATTGTACATGTACTAAAATAAAGCTTCATTCGTTTTTAAATACTTTCTAAAAAATTGGTCCAGATTTTGAAAAATTTGGCATAAGATTTATTCAGAAAAAATGTACAGATGTAATTCATATCAAATAGTTGAAAGATGAAAAAATTTAAGTACTGTTACTGTAAATCTGTTAAATTCATTTATAATTATCCAAACAGTTGTCAAGTTTTCACATGATACTTCACAAAAGAATACAGATTCAATGGTATTAATGTTGATGAGAATTTTGATTAGGTTTGATAAATTTATTTTCTTTGAACTTGTAAAAAAAGACTAACAGCCTTAACTGGATCAAAATTTTCATTAATGATGATGCATCAAGGCATTTCAGTTTTATTTACCCTTGTTTTTTTTCCCCAGCTGTACGGTCATGAGAATGTTTCTGTGTTAGATGGAGGTCTAATAAGATGGGCAGAAGATGGCTATGAAATCACGGTAGAGGAACCAAATGTCCAGGTTATATTAACAAATTATTTACTTTTGTAGTTATCAACTTGTCAACTTATCAACAAATGGATTGGCGGAATCAATTCCATGTAAATATAAGGAATAACTGTCAAAATTTTCGATCTCATGACGATGATCAATCAATTGGCTTGCGTGATAATTTAATGCATAAACGCCTTCAGCGTTTATGCAAATTATAACGCAAGCCAATCGATTGATCACATCATGAAATAAAAAAATAAGAGTTATTCCTATAAATAAAGTTTATATTTGCAATTTATGGAAATACATTTAAAATAATTTATTCTTTGAAGTACTGTGAACATGCCCAAAAATATGACTGCTACTTGCCCCAAAATATGACAGCTTTAGATAAAAATAGTTTTAAAGTGTTTATATAGAGATCTGGAAAGCTTTCTACTCCATTAGAAGTACACTCTTCAAACACTGACACACCAAAAACTATGACCACTCAATAGAATTTTTCATATAGCAAATCAGAACGTGGAACAACTGAATGGATCGATGAGTTTTTCTACACGATTGTGTAAATTATTTCAGATTAATTGAAACATGATTAATTTTGTAGAAGCCTGGTAATTTCCAGTGCAATCTGAATAAAAGTTTAATGAGGACATATGAGGACATGCAGAGGAATGTGAAGACAAAATCAGAGCAGGTGGTGGACGTTAGGGAGGCCAAAGCTTTCGAGGGGGACTTAGGGGACACACCAGGTAATCAACAAAACAATGAATACTACACATTATACAGGTGACACTTACTTCAATTTCTCAAAGTTTTTCATCTCTCAAAAATTACATATAAGAGGGAATAAAGGAGAACTGAAGATTTTATGACTTTTTGAAATTTTTTTCTCAGAATCTAGAAATGGACACATCCCTGGAAGTCTGAACATCCCATACAGTCTCTTCTTCAATGAGGATATGACTTTTAAGTCAAAGGACGAGTTACAGGACTGTAAGTCGGGTTATTTATTTACACTAGTATGTGAACGTACCGGTAGTATCCCAATTTTATGGAAGTAGAGTGAAGGCGTCTTTTGTAGTGCTTTTTAAGGCACGTACGTTTTATTTTAGTTTCAAAAATGATAATATTTCTTAAATTCTTATTGTTTTATTCATGTATAGAAGGACACATGAGCATATTCAAGAATATTGGAATGATTTTCAAGAAACTTTCTTAAAGTGATCCTAAATCCATAAGAGAAGTTTTAAAACCCATTAGAGAATCAATTTAAATGGAATATACAATATTCCTTTAAGGAATATTTTATATTCTATTTAAATCAGTTCTCTTATGGGTTTAACTTACAACAATGTTTAGGATCACTTTATACCAGGGTAATGTTCATTATACTCCCTGCTTGAAAATTGAGGGTACCGTTAAAAGTGATGGAGGTGTCCATCTGTACCTCCTTCCCTGCATCCATTATACATGGGGTATGCAAGTTATCCTCAACTCCTCTTATACCGTTGAATAAAATTCACAGAATCTTTATTACATAGTACCATTATCCACCTCCTACATGTATTTTACATTTTGATCAGACATATATTTGGGGTTCTCATAGCAAAAAATAGTCTTTGCCATTATACTCATGTATGGAATGGTGGTATCATTTTGAAAGTTCTCAAAAATATTGAAGTTGTATTCATTTGGGCTCTGATATCAGTCTGAATGGCTTAGTGCATAGAACACTTGATTAGTAGTGCAGGAATCCCTTGTTTGATTCCTGACCAACTACATATTCTCTCCTTTACTGTTCCATTTGGCACTGTGGACCACAGACCACCCCTGGAGTTTTAGGTAAAAGTCCTGCCAGGGGCTAAAGAATCTGGGTTGTGTGTCTTTCAGAGAAAAATTGATGTATTGATGAAAAGCTGATGCCTCCATACGGCAGCTTATGGGTAGGGTTGAAGTTCCTCAAAAGAAAGTCAATTTCCATGGTCAAGGTCAAAAGATCAAAATTTTGGTTCCCAAAGGAAGATCTTGTCACAAGGATTACACCTGTGAAAGCCCTAGTACCAGTTGTTCAAAGGGTATAGAAAACGTTAAATTTTAGAAAGTGGCTCGAACTCTAAGGTCAAGGTCAAATGGTAAAAAATTTTAATACCCACTGAAAGGTCTTATCACAATGAAAACACATGTGAAGTATGAAAACCCTAGCACCAAAGCCATCAATTATTCAAAATTATGGCCAAGTGCGGTAAAATTTTGTGTAAAAGTGTGTCAAACTCAAAGGTCAAGAGGTCAAATATGTTGGTACCCAAAGAAGGGTCTTGTCACAAGGAATACACATGTGAAATATGAAAGTTATAGTCCCACCCACTCAAAACTTTAAAGTTATAAGCAATGGTAAAGTTTTTGCAGACAAACAGACAGATAGACAGCTAAACAGACAGATGGACAGGGTAAAAACTATATACCCCAGAATCTTCAATTATGGGGCATGAAAAGGGGGAACATAATCTTTACTACATGTACAGATTGCCACTGTGCACCTCCGTTTTCACAATGTATAATTATATTTGGGAAGGTAATGTACAAGTGATGCTTTATATAAAAGCAAGTAATTTCGTAAATGTGCAATTTATTATCTACTGGACTGAATTTTTCCACAGTGTTTGAGGATGCAGGATTGGATCTAGATAAACCCATTGTATCCAGTTGCTTTCTCGGATTAACCGGATGTGCAGTAAATGTCGCTACCCACATGTTTGGGAAGAAGAATACAGCTTTATATTACGTAAGTTTATTTTAAAAAATTATTTTCATTTTCAATTGATGAGAATGATAATAATAATAATTTAGCATATTGAGTTCAGTAGCTTTCCATACACTTTATGCATGTAATTAAAATGTGTTGAATGTCAATAGATAACTGAAGTAATATTTCTAGAATTTAGCAATATACTCCCACAATCTATAAAGAATCAAAGTACACAGAAGTACTGAAAGCTGGGCTCATTTACAGGGTAAATAAACTATGACCGCAATGACAGTTTAAAAACATGCCGATTCAGACATTGAGAAGATAATAATATAATTCTATGTCATAAATAGCATTAAAAAGTTTTTAAAAATTAATTAAAATGTAGTAGAATTTAACAGCGTAAAATATTTGTCACATGTATTGTTTCGGGGTTTTATATACCAACAGAAGTAAATAAACACTGATGCAGCAAGATTATTTAAGGTCAAACGATTATGCACAGATGTCCCCAGCGGGGAGTTTTGCATCAACGCGTACATCAAGTCATTAATGATGTTCCCCGCATTTGTGATAACCTGATAGTACAACCTTTATTTATAGAATATGACGCAGACAGGGATACCTGATGAATACCTTTCACATATTTTAAGCAAATAATTAATCGTAGAAGACAATAGAAAGTATTTAATTATAATTATTTTTTGACAATTTCAGATAACTTTGAAAGTCTAATTGTTTGTATTGCCTCAAAGGTGATTGCGCAAACATACTAATATTCTTACTTGTTAATTTAATTTGGTGGTGATGAAGCAGCATTTTGGGTTGAACACAGTCGCAAAAGCCGGGCATTGGTCTACGAGCAATGAACCCGGCTAAAAAGTATGCACTAATTTTTTTCATCCACTTGAATGAAAGGAAATTTATCAAACACAAGTAGTATTGAAGAATTTTTTGAATACTGTCTGGAATTTTTGTCGTCATCCATTAGTACCATAAAAAGGAAACTGTAAATCAAAACAATGTTTTGTGTAATATTGTACTTTATACTGTATAAGAAAAGACTACTAGCAAACTATATAATACTAGTAATTGATTACACTACTGTTTCCATGTTTGAAACACCTCCATTGTGTACCCAGGATACAAACTTTCATGACCATCACATAAAGCAGTGTTACATGTCTATAGTCAACTGAAAACTGTGGTGAGGTACACAATCTGGAGTGGTTAATCCGGTCTTAATTGAGACCACCTACACAGATTGATCTACACATCATTTCTCAGGGGATTACATTTATATACCTTGTGTTTACATGGTTGCCACAATGACAAGGCTGGTGTGTGATAAATAATATATCAGAGGAATGCTACAACAGTACTCCAGGGGACCTCCCTTGTATTACTTATTCAGATAGGTATGAAGGAAGGAGAGAGTTATTTGAGATGAGAACTAAGACTCAGTGGAACTGAATTTCTGTTCATTGAAACATTTTTAAATTGATTGTCTTACACAATCTAACACATCCAGTGCAGATATGTAGAAGACGTAGGAAACACAGTGACACAGTGTGTGATCTATATCTATACAAGTATTGAGTCTGCGATAAAAGGATTTCACCATGATATGATGCTTTATTAGTTATTACATACTTAGTAATAAATACAGGATTTTTGCTTACTGTAGATTCCTAATTATACGCGAGGAATTAATTTCCGCGTAATTTCGCGAGAAGAATCACTCGCGAAATAATATTACTTGCTTTTATTTTTATGATGTTGAAATCCATGTAAATTCTGTCAATCAACCATCCATTCTTGAAATATTATTCTCGCAATTTGACGTTAAAGAGCCAATTCGTAGTAATGAGTACTTGCGAAAAATAAGGAATCTACAGTATGCAATTTGCCTGACATCACCATATCCATATCAGCCCCACAACCCTGCAGGGCTGATATGGATCTTCGGGGCTGATATGCATCAATATTAAACCCTTAGTAAGTTAAACCTAAAAAAAAAACAGAACTTGTGATAATTCGCATATTTTTTTTTTTGGGGGGGGGTTAATATTCTCTTAGTTTTGGAAAAGGGTATACTAGTATGTATTCTATCAATATTTTTGTCTCTTTTCATTATCCAGATGAAGCTTTTTAGCTCACCTGAGCCGAAGGCTCAAGTGAGCTTTTTTGATCACATTTTGTCCGGCGTCCGTCTGTCTGTCTGTCCGTAAACTTTTCACATTTTCGACTTCTTCTCAAGAACCGCTGGGCCAATTTCGACCAAACTTGCCACAAAGCATCCTTGGGTGAAGGGGATTCAAATTTGTTCAATTAAAGGGCCATGCCCTTATTCAAGGGGAGATAATTGAGAATTAGTGAAAATTTGGTGGTATGTTTTAAAAATCTTCTTCTCAAGAACCACTGTGCCAGGAAAGATGAAACTTAAGTGGAAACATCCTCAGGTAGTGTAGATTCAAATTTGTACAAATCATGTCCCCCGGGGGTAGGGCGGGGCCACAGTGGCCGACCAAAGTTTTATATGGAAATGTAAAGGAAAATTCTTTAAAAATCTTCTTCTCAAGAACAGCAGAGCCATAATTGCTCATATTTATATGGAAGCATTCCCAGGTAGTGTAGATTCAAGTTTGTTCAAATCATGACCCCCGGGGGTAGGGCGGGGCCACAGTGGCCGACCAAAGTTTTACATAGAAATGTATAGGAAAATTCTTTAAAAATCTTCTTCTCAAGAACAGCAAAGCCATAATTGCTCATATTTATATGGAAGCATCCCCAGGTAGTGTAAATTCAAATTTGTTAAAATCATGACCCCCGGGGGTAGGGCGGGGCCACAATGGCCGACCAAAGTTTTATATAGAAATACATGTATATAGGAAAATTCTTTAAAAATCTTCTTCTTAAGAACAGCAAAGCCAGAATTGCTCATATTTATATGGAAGCATCCCTAGGTAGTGTAGATTCAAGTTTGTTCAAATCGTAACCCCCTGGGATAGGGCGGGGCCACAATGGCCGACCAAAGTTTTACATAGAAATACAGTAAAACACGTTTAGTACGAACACTGATATAGCGAATTCACGGATATAACGAAGTTTTTCTGGGTCCCCGGCAAAATTCTTAACAAATCTTTGAAAAAATTAACGGTTATAACGAACTCTGATATAACGAATTTACGGATATAGCGAACTGATTTTGAATCCCGTTGAGGTTAAATATAATGAATTTTACATCTTTTATAACGAACTTTCAAAGATTTCAAAATTTGAATAATTGAACTGACTTTATTTTCTCTCCGTATTTTTATATAAAATTCAATTCATAATAAAACCTTAGTTATCGAAGGTATGTTTTGTAATATTTGCTTCCCTAACATATTTGATAGTAACACTTGAAGGAAAACATGCATATTGCGAATTCGCTATATATGGTTATACGAATTCGTTATACGGATATAACGAATTACGGATATAGCGAATTAAATTCACAGGTCCCCAGGACTTCGGTATAACCGTGTTTTACTGTATATAGGAAAATTCTTTGAAAATCTTCTTCTGAAGAACAGCAAAGCCATAATTGCTCATATTTATATGGAAGCATCCCCAGGTAGTGTAAATTCAAATTTGTTAAAATCATGACCCCCGGGGGTAGGGCGGGGCCACAATGGTCGACCAAAGTTTTATATAGAAATATATAGGAAAATTCTTTAAAAATCTTCTTCTTAAGAACAGCAAACCAGAATTGCTCATATTTATATGGAAGCATCTCCAGGTAGTGTAGATTCAAGTTTGTTCAAATCGTGACCCCCGGGGGTAGGGCGGGGCCACAATGGCCGACCAAAGTTTTATTTAGAAGTATATAGGAAAATTCTTTAAAAATCTTCTTCTCAAGAATAGCAAAGCCATAATTGCTCATATTTATATGGAAGCATCCTCAGGTAGTGTAGATTCAAGATTGTTCAAATCATGACCCCCGGGGGTAGGGCGGGGCCAAACTTTTGGATTCAAACTTTTCAATAGTAAACCAATTACTACTTTTTCCTAGCCACAATGCTCCGGTGAGCGATGTGGCCCATGGGCCTCTTGTTCATCTAAACAGTTACAGTGTTTGAGATATTCTTTGAGTGAATAATTTTTACACACATTGAGATCAATGAAACACCTGTTCTTAAGACTTCAGATGGAAGGTGGGTGATTACAATAGGACACAAATCTCTTCCTACTCCCCAGTCACAGTTTCTTGCATCATTATCTCAGAAATTTTCAAACTAATCTTAAAGCTTCCTTTGGTTCAATTATTTTTTTTCTAGTTTTATTCAATAAGCATTAAATTGTTGGTGACCTAATTATATCTATGGAAAATGTGGAGCTAACGAACAGTGATCAGCCTCATCATGTAGAAGACATCTATTGATGTATCTTATAGATAGATCCATTAATGCCAAAGGTTAATTTTTGTAGGGCTCCTGGAATGAATGGCGACTTCGAGCTAATGCTAGTGAATGTGAAACAGGACCATCACGCCGTAAAGGATGATTGTCTGGCAATACGCACTAATCAACTAGCAATATATACCTAATTAATTCATTAATGATTGTCTACAATATCCTTGTGATTTTTTAAATGAAATCTTTGAAAAAGATATTTGCCATGTTTATTACAAAGTTGCTCATATAAATCATAGAATTATATGAATCAGTTAAGTATTAAATGTTATAATTATTGCTTTGTTTAACATGTAATGGATACTTATATTTGCAATATTTTATTTTGATTGAAGTGTTTGTTGTTTGCATGTACATGAATAAAATAGTTAAATTAGATCTACTTATTTTCTTTCTATGTCTCGGAATCTGCTCATCTGAATTTCTTACTGTTCAGTTCATTGGATAAATAACAATTGTCCTATGGTTTGGTAGAATGTATAATAGTATAACTGCATGCTTTAAGTCAGAGAACACAATCAAGAGTTTCTCAAAGAAAATGTAATTCCAACACTTCTGTTGACCCAACCCTGATATACATGTGAAATATGAAGGCCCAAGTAACAACAAATAAGACCCTAGAACCAACAGCTTAAAAGTTATGGCCAAGTATAGAGTTTTTTCAAATTAGGTCAAGGTCAGTAATAACTGTTCAATTGTTATGAAATATATTTTTCAAAAAGGGTCAAACTCTAATGTTATGGTCACCGAAATTGATTTTTTTTTTAAATTAGGTCAATCGTGAAGGTCAAGGGTCAGAAATCATAGCATGCTCCGAAATATCTTGTCACAGCTAATGCACTTGTCAAATATGAAAGCCCCATCTCTTCTCAATCAAAAGTCATCAGGAAAAATTAACATTTTTGAAAAGTAAGTCAAACTTCAACATCAAGGTTATAAGATGAAAAATCGTGGTGTATTTAGAAAGGTCTTGTCACAAGCAATATACAGCTTTCATATGAAAGCTTATGTCTTCTCATTAAAAAGTCATAAGCAAAGTTAAAGTTTTTGAAAAGTAGGTCAAACTTCGAGGTCAAGGTCACGAACTGAATAATCATAGTGTACTAGTATTTAGTATTTAGAAAACTCTTTTCACAGGCAATACACAGGTTTAATATTCAAAAGTCATGATCAAGGTTAAAGTTGTGAAAAGTATGTCGAACATCAAGGTCACGAGGTCAAAAATCTTAATGTATTTAGAAAAATACGTAGGCGAACTCATTGCGCAGCGGGTTAAGCTTTCTCCACGAAAGATTTTTTAAAAGTCTTTACCTTGGTAATACCCAGGTTTCGGGAAGTCCCTCTCCCTCTGAGAGAGAACCCCCATCAGGAACTACACTGGCCCTGCTTAGGACTAGGGTGTCCTCCCCCCACCAACACCCCGCCTCACTAAAAAATTGAACCTATTTACGGCCTTGACGTTTCTTGAGCTGTTTATAGCCATATAAATTATCTGAAGATTGGATTAATACATGTACAGCTGCAATTCTACAACATTTATCATTGAAAAGTTGGTTATTAGGCCTTGGAAATTGTTTTGTCACTTCCCGATGTCGTCAAGAAAATGGAAGAACATGTATACGCATTGCAACTAAACAATGAATGATAATGTGCATCCTTAGTGGTATTCTCTTCCGTGATTGTCATATTTGGACAATATGAGGCAAAACCCGAAAAAAGACATGTTGGAATCCGTTTCAGACTTTCAGTATGAAAAATCTTGTTGCACATATGCAACCAATGTTCAATCCATGAACTTGGCGATAGTTCTGTCATTCTTTAAGCTTTCCAGGCCTTTAGTGACTTTTCAGTTTACTTAATGGTAAAGGTTCATGCTGTGAACCCCTTTGATACAGCGCAAAGGAATGGCAGAAATTATATGATGCAACTGCTGTATCAACCTGAAAGTCGTCGTCTTGGCCAGGATTTTTTTCATTGTTTGTTTTTTTTTGTTTTTTTTTTTTTGAACATATTTTATTGACAATATGTCAAAGGGATTGAACACAAGTTCCAAAAAACTTAGATAGTCCTCTCTTTCTTCAATTATGCAAACTATCGCCAGGTTGATTTGCAGGTAACTTTGCTCTTAACTACATAGATCTGAATTAAGATACTGGTGACAAGGACTCGTTAATCATTCACAATCAAGTTTGCTATGTTCCTTTGAAAATTAATAGTAAAGAGAGTTTTTCTCAATGCATTGCGATGACCATCAAATCAAGCGCTTTTTGCACCTGACAATTTTGTAACTTAATTACAGGCTTTTTCCCGGGCCTGGAGGTTATTGTACATATAACAGACAAATACTAATTGATTATTATGCAAGCATTAACAGTAAATGCATGGACAATTTTTCTGACAATTTGGGAAAAACTAATAGGCATAAGGTGGCTTTTTCTTACAGCAGTCAGCTTGCGTGACCCAATCAGACACTCAATATAACAATCCCGTCTGACTAACTTCAATCAAACGGGGGTTTATTGTAATTCTGTTTAATTGTGCAAGAGAAGCTGCAGGAATTGGGTATTTACAGCGTTCATGGGGTTGATAAATAATCGGGTAGAATGCTGTTTACATTCCGATTGATATCAGAATTTGCTTGAAAAGCATTAGAACTTAATCTCCATTGGCAACCATATACTTCTTGATCTTATACACGAAATTTCTCTCAGAAAGTCAGCCAAGCTTTTAGCAATTTGAAATAAAATGTGAATTATTAATACCTTTTTATTTGAACTTTTAAATTTACAATTGTGTGTCAATATAGATGCATCTATGATGTATAAGATTCAACAAATTAACCTTAATATTTAGAGCAACTATCGAATTCGAAGATTTGCGATTATTATATTATTTCCTATGACTACAAATGCTTGTTTTCCTTTTGGATATATACATTAATGTTAATTCATATTCATCTTAACCTATGATCTCCGCATCAATCCCCTTAAATAACTAAATAAGGATACGGAGTTTAAAACAAAAATTCCGAATTTGAATCAAAATGTAAAACGTAGCATCTTCAGATACAGGTTACGGTTGATCGACCTTGTTTTTTATTCATCACCTGCTAGTCTATCAGATAAGGAGAACGTGGAATCCAACACCGAGAAAGGCTTTTTAATAATTTTCAACAATAAAATACTGTTATTTATCTATTGAATAAAATTAATTTTTGTCCGATTGTGAAAGAATATCAAAAGCAAAAATAGAAAAAGTAATAAACAGAAAAAATAAAAAGCAATTTTATTTTTAAAATTCCGGTAATTGTAATAAACAGAAAACTATATTGAGGCAGTTTTTTCACCTTAAATTTTCATGACGCATTTTCGAGAGATAGTTTTGTTGTTTTTATTTAGCAAAGAACATTTTTAATACATGTAATTTAATTTATTGATATAATTTTTAATACGAATATAAAGGATAGCTATTTTTGGGCACTGAAAGTAAGTGCGTAAACTTATAGACGGCGTGATAATGACTGGAAAAATGTGAAAAAAAAAAAAAACCAAATCATTGTCATAAAGGAGGTGATGATATAAAGATGCACAAAACGTAATTTGAAACATATTCTGTTAACTGAGAAGTTCCAATGAGGAACCCTGTGTGACTTTAACACGTATATAGTATCTTATGCCAGTGATGTTCGATCGTAATTCCTCAAAAACAAATTTTGAGAACACCAGCTGAAACTGTACGTTTGGTAGTTTTGGAGATTTTTCTGCGAGTCATGTTCATCATGTGCATGTAATACACATGTATCTATTTTATAAAGCTCTGGTTAGGTATGCTGATGTTTTTTGTCTAAAACATTATACATGTATATTATTAAGAGTATCTGAAAAAGACTACGTAAGTTTAAAAGTATGTTGCGTTTGTCTTTAAGAATCGTACATCAAAGGTTAATTAGTAGTTGGTGCTGGTTTTAATTGAAATTCCCTTAGACTCTCCCAACTTTTTTTTTTATTATGTAACAATAATTTTAGCTGTCAGCATCGAATACAAATATCATAAAATATTTAACAAGTTTTTTTTAATCAAATTATTTAGTCAACAGTCAATAACATTTACATGTATAATTGTATAAAGTTTTTTTCAAATAAAATTAAAGACTTATAAACATATAATAATAAATATAAATTGATATAATCAATCTTGTGGTACTAACAAGGGGAGATGTGATATGTTGTCTAATGAATGAGATGATAAACTTTATACACCGGCCGGAGTCTAATGAGCTCGAGTAAAGGGAAAAAGACGGATTAAAACACGGACTACATCAAGAAAATGAATGGTATCCTTCACACTCGGAAAATATATATATACAGCGTCTCTTGGATTTTATTATCAATGGATACATCTTCCTCGAACTAACTTGATTAGGAAAATCAATAAACAGTACACCAGTATTACATATTAACAAGGATTTTTCATATACAAAGTAATTACATTGATTTTAAAAAGAAGTGTCTGTTTAATTAAATCAGCACCCTTTTCTGTACAAGAGATCTGAGCAATTGGTCACTAACATTCCGGAGTTTCCATCCGGGGCCCTTTCCTCGCCGGTCTTTGCTGTGGAGGTTCGTCGTCATATTCGTGGTCGGTTTCCGTACCGTTTTCTCTTCCATCATCTTGATTATCGACCTCATCATGGTAGCCGTTGTATTGCATGTCTTCTTCTCCTTCGTCGACCTCCATGTCTCTTTCTTCTTCTCGATGCTTCTGCTGATGACGTTGAGGCTTTCCTGTGGGCTTGTTGCTGGCTTGGCGCTCATTCCGCTGACTTCTACTCGTCAGAGACCCCTGCTCATGGCGGTTAATTCCCTCTCGCGAATCACGTGATGGTTTAGATATGTTGGAATCAATGGATCGTCTGCGTTCATGCAAGCTGTTCCTTGTAAGATCTTCTCGACTGTTGCTAAACTTCTGTGAATGTGCTGTTTGTCTGTTGCTATTGTTGTTGCCTCTTTGGGATACATTTCCACGATTGCGAGGTTGCGCTCTGTCGACCGCAAAGCTGTTTTGGTTTTTGTCCTCGCCGTAACCATTCTTAATTGGTCTAACATTTTGCTGTCTCTTCGGAGGCTCCTTAGCCGGCTTCCACTTGCCTCGTTCTTTCTGTCTTTGTGGCGAATGCTCTCTGTATGTTTGATGCTGAGGCTCTTCATAGTAATCCATATCATCCTCTGGGGGTGGGGTTGGTTCACGAACCGGAACTTTCTTCTGACGAAGTTCCTTCGGAGCACCCTCGCCCCCGACCACGAAAAAACTCTCCACTTTCTTAACAAGTAGTTCATGTCGAAGATTCGAAAAACTTTCTATCTGCAACACATTGATAGAAAGCTTTTTTTTTATTTGTAAACATTATGCCAATTAAGGCATCAGTCATAATTACAGTTATTGGACAATAACTATTATAGTGCGATGTTACCAAAACTGTGAATGCAGTGAAGAAACAGACGTGTATTAATGTATTACTTTACACTATATACCAGGAGAATCCTTACCTTGTTATAAGGAGGGACAGCACAGTACATGGCGGTAGCAGGATTATCAGACATGCTGACCACTTCACCCATGTCCAACAACATCTGCTCAAAGGACTGCTCCGTTTGAGGGTTGATGATCATTTTATCCTGGACAGTCCTCATGGTGTTGTTTATGACTGTAAACGTCAGAGGTTTGCTCTTGGCTTGATTCGGGGATCTGTTTGGTCCGACCCTAGTTTGACTGTTGCTTCCCCTGAGTATGTGCTCCCTTGAGGGCCCCTGACTGCGCTGTAATGGGGCTCCACGTTTAATGGGAGAAGGTGGACCAGACACCTGTCCATACTGTACGTTTCTGTCAATCTTGAGTGTACTCGACACCACACACTCGTCCCCAGGCTGAAAATCCTTTACGCTTTCAATCAGCTTGCCATCTTCCAATCTGAAGATGTACATCACACCCTGTGGAGTGTCAATTTTGCTGTTAAGGTGGTTCATCAGACTGTCCAGAGATGGAAACATCTTTTCGCTGATAGACAGGACGATTCCTTTATACAGGGCATCTCTGTTTTTGAAGAATTTGACCCTGATTGCTTTGGTATTCTGCTCGCGGTCCAGAAGACTTGGTGGATAACTCTCATAGCGTTCATAGCGGTAATCGTTGTACCCATTGTGTTGTCGAACCCTCTTCTGGTGAGGTTTGGACACCGACATTCTGTTTCCACCACGATAGGTAGGCTGATGATTATCCTCACTTTCACTCGACTGATACGGATCCCTCTAAAAGAAAATAAAACCACTGAACAGTATGACGTACTTGGTCTCAGAATGTGTATCTATAAGGTTCATTGGAGTTTCAGTTTCCCGCCTCTCTGTCGGCTTCAGGTTGTACCAGAAGCTTTAATGGGGATAGTTGTGTATATAGTGCAATACCTTCTTCTAACAAAGGAAAATATAATCAATGTTTATGTAAGGCTGTCTATAAGTAGGTTCTCATTAATATGTTTATCACCGAATGGTCGGAGTCCGGAGTAATGTTTCCTAAGCAACCAGTCTCTTAATTATTAATTAATTTCTACAACTTTGAAGTGATAGACGTAAACATCGATATCGACAATTTGTACACCTGACACCAATCACTGATGGGGAAATATCGGACACCATCCGTATTATCTGTAGGGAAAGTGGTCAATTTGAACACTCTCAATTATTCCATCTGAAGGTACTTGTGATGTAGTTATTTCTAGGGTGCTTCCAACAAAGGGCACACGGAAAGCGCATATATTTTGCCTGACCGTCGGATTAGACTTTTTAGAAATTAAGCAATTTGCAATTACCATGAAATCTGAAGTTCCAAGTATTCCAACGTATTTGTCCTTGTATTTTAATTCTTTAAACCTCCGCTTCGTCCTAAAATATTCTTCAAAGTTTCATTTAAATCAGTCTCGTTATATATATTTTGCAAAAATCTTATATCAAAACACATTTTCCACTGAAGCAGTTGACGTAAGGTCGGTTCAAAAATATTCTGTCTAGGGAATTTTATTTTGTAACCATTTATGGATAAAATTCATGCTATTTCTTTGATTTACAAAATAAGATTAAAGAATAATATTCAGTCGCAGATTTCTTAGGATAGACCTATATTTGAACTTGCCATAAAAATCCATGAAAAGAACATTTGAGGAATCTTTTTAAGAATAGAAGAAGCAATGATTTAAACGATAATTCAATGTTTAATTATTTAAGACATTCATTTACACGTGACTGATCAGAAGATTAATAAAATTTGGCAAATCCAGATATTTAAAAATTTACATGTTATAGATTTATTTCACTCTTCTAAGTTAGATACTAGTAATATACACTGTATTTATGCATCGATAAATGAAATTTGTGAACTTTGAGGTTGAAGCTGCATTTTCATTATGCACAAGAAAGGTTGTATACCAATTTAAGTCTTAAATTTCATATTTAAATACTACATATATAAATTTAAATTAAACGAATTCAAAATTTGGTTGAAAATCATAAAACTGTAATTAACAAGCTCAGAAATGTTGCCTTTAAGAGGAGATACTCCACACTCTTTTTGATTATAGAAAATGGATAAAAATCTTGTAAATGAGACTCACCGAATCGCTATGGTGATCAAAGTAAGAAGAGCGCTTCATGATTGAGGTGCTGTGTTCTCTTTCCCTGATTCCAAGTCTGTATTTTCAGTTATGTGATGCTGATATTAAGTTGACCACTGCCATAGCTGTGTTGGCATGGCAACCATAAACAAATCAGGCAGTTTCTTCTCCCTTGGCGCTACCTAAGACTCGGTACTTTATTCGGTCCAGTAAAATCCAATATAATAATTGTATCCATAACGGTGCAGCCAACAGTCGCATTGTTTATTTATGTTAATTTGAGTGATGCTATTGAACAGATAAATCTAAACAAATTTGCAATCTCAGTTTGTAATCTTTGATTTTCTGTTATCTTCATCTAACAAATTTTAAAATCAAAGAAATATCGTCGATTAATCATTCATCATCTCCAAATAAAACTTAGAATAAACACGTGTTTGAATGACAAAAATATTTATAACCATGTAAAAACACTGAAATGTGTATAAACAGAAAAACTCCGGATACCGCCTCGATCCTCTCCTCCTCTGATAAAAGCGATGACCCCCAGGCGCGTAGCCAGCATGGAAATGAAGTCTCTCTCTCTCTCTCGCCCTGAGGACTTCAGGGCGAAGCCCTGGTGGGGGCCCAGGGGGCGAAGCCCCCGGAAGCTCCTGGATTGTACGAAATTTTTCAGTCATTTTCTCGCAAAAGAAATCACGATAATATCACTTTTCCCGAGCAAACACTTAGCTAAGTTATATATACTGCTTCCATTGATACTTCGGGAAGGGAACGATAATTTATCACATAAATTTACGCATATATTGGTATTGGAAAAAAGTTTCCAAGTGTATCAAGATAAAACAGAGTAGCAATTTCAATATCGTTATCATTGGAGTTTAAATATTTCAAAATATATCAGTGTATATAGGGGGTGTTGTTGTCGTTTGATTACTTTCATATTTAATAGCTGAAACGATTCGAGAATGCTTCAATTATGATATAATTCTTTAAATTGGTAACATCAGTAAAAGAAGCTATATTATTATTCATTTTGTTCATCATAATTTAAATTGTTTAACGACATTTATTCATCACCTCTACGGAAATTAAAAAACTTGTATAGTCGTCCAAGACCTTTGTAACTTTTACTCAAAGTCCCTTAGATAACTTTCCTTCATCAAATATTTGTCCGGATAAACAGAATTACGCAGTATTACATTTTGGTACAACAATGTTTTTTTTTTTCCTTAAGAATGTTCAAATGTTTTTGGAATTGATTTTATAAAGGACTAAATTTTAATGTTTTGCTGAAAAAAAATTTTCGAAACAATAAATTCAATAATCTGAAACACTATGTCTTTTTCCCCGCATAAATTTCTCTCTTTCTTTTTTTTCCCTTTTTTTCTTTTATCCCTCTTTTTTCTTTAATTCTTTCTTTTTTTTTTTTTGGAAAATGATGTGTACGCACTTGCGTACTTGCGTATAGGCAGCTACGCGCCTGACCCCTCTCTCTCTCTCTCTCGCATGACTTCAAAGCTCAAAAAGGAACAATACCACTTAATAAGTCAACACCTATTTTACTGTTGATTCTGGCCAAAATAATGATAAAAGAAAATTGAATTGCGTATAGAGGTACGAGCATTTTCACTGCAACTGTTTACAGATGTCTGCAGAGTCTTTTAATATTTCAATAATAAGGATCTAGGTGATGTACATGATCACGATGGTGTGGATTCTAGTAATAAACATATTTTGAAGCCTGGATAGCTATTGTTAACTAGTATTAGATAAATATGCCTAAGCCCAGTACGGATTGTTTTCAGTGGGTGTCTTTTTACATGTATCTTATAAAATGCATGTAAATCACTGGCTTATGATACACCATGTATGCAGAATAACATAAACAAATAGACTTATATGCATATATATGCGCAAGTTCTTCTAAACCACAAGGAAAAGGCACTAAAAAAAGTCATCTTCAGATATTTCAATTTTTTTTTTTACCTCTTATAATTTTTTATTTGGCGATTTATTGTGAATGCCATTAGTTTGGTCAAGTATCGAGTTCCAATCTTTTTTATTTAAAATAGTTTCAATTCATTTTTTTTTTGAAAGTGGTAATTAGACATCAATGCTAAAAAATGTCTCGACTTAATAACTGAAATCATAACATTTATTAAATAAAGTAATCTGTTATGTTCTTTAATATACTATTCATAATGAGTATGAGCATACGTTTTCAAGGCGCAAGTAGCTTAGAATGCGCTTAACCCACTAGCTGCAGAACTGAAGCTCTCCGAAAAAAAATATTGACAGACCGGAGAGCTACGCACAGTGCCACCCATTAAAAAAACTGTATATTTATTGCACACAAAATTTTGTGATTGGTTCTGGATTAATTATCCCAAATTCTTATTTCAATTGCAAAAAAGCTAGATTTCAAAATATTCCTTACTTCTCCAAAAATCTCGTAGTTAAAATCTGCACGAAGCGCCTAAGACCGAATTATCTTGCAAACCAAAATGGCAGTATAAATAGACGAAATTTTCGATGATCTCAATATCAGGACCCGGTGGGCAATTAACAACAATTATATGGAATGTTTTGTTGTGGAAACAGTGAAAGAATATGTTGGGACACACGGCTAGTAATATTTTGAGATGACAGTTTTAAAAACATGGAGAAATTTTTTGTGCGCAATAAATATACAGTTTTTTTTCAATGGGTGGCACTGTAGCTCTTCGGTCTGATAATAATTTTTTTCGGAGAGCTACAGTTCTGCAGCTACATGTATTAACCCCCCCCCCCTACCCCACCCCAGCCCTCTGTCAAAACTCCAAACAGACAAAAATAAACAAACAATAAAAAAAAGTAAACACGTAAAGTAAACGTGTAAATATCCCACATATATACATGTTTTGGGAAGTGTTATGTTATTTTCTAGTCGACAATGAAAACCAGTATGCTTGTTTATAGTGCTGACGGAAGGTCAACGACAAAAGTTGGTCCATGATTAAAAGAAAGTAATGAATGTACCTATAGACTTGCACGTCGTAAATAATTAATGATTAAGCACATCAACACACAGCGTCAATTAGGCCCGGATATAATAGTCCAGAATTTTCAGCGCGCTGTTCTTCATCAGTCGATAATTTGAATGGACGAAATCCCCGTAACGGTGGTGGAATACCTGGTATCACTGTTACTTTGTATTCATGAATATAAAAAAATGATTGCTTCATTAAAGTAAAAATGAAGAAAGTTAGTAAACTGGTCCAAGAAACCATGGAGTTGAAATCGATTACTTAATTGTGGAAAGATGCGTAAGTTAAGGATGAAGTTTTAAAACAAGACTGTATTATAAAGTACAGAGAGAGAGAGAGAGAGAGAGAGAGAGAGAGAGAGAGAGAGAGAGAGAGAGAGAGCAACCATTGACCGGACTTCATCTCTTTTGAAAGAAGTCGGTTCACTTTACGCATAAAATGGCCCTGTAGATATAACTAATTGATCGATTAACACTTGATTTTCTATTTGAAGCATTAAAATAAAGTAGAGACTTGGTGCTTTCATATTCTATTAAAATTTTTCTCCTCAAAGTCCAAGTCTTGGAGAACTGGCTTTGTGAAATTGTAATGTTCTTGAATTTTTAGGTAAACAGGATTATAAAAAATATGTAACTCTCTGATCTAAAAAATAAAACATGTCCATTAATCCTCAGAAACAGTTCTATCATTTACTAGTTGCATATTTTAGATCAGACGTTGCGCTTTATATTATATATCAAAAAATAGCTTTAAAAATTTGCCATTTTTGTTACCAGAATATAGGAAATTACGCATTTTAATAATAATTGACTAAGAAAATGACGGGTGTGTTGCAGTTTCAGTTTTTTTCAGAAATTCACAGGGCCAAATAAGGCAAAAGTGAACCTTGTTCTTATTCCAAATCAAAACTTTCTTAAATTTCCAGAAAACAATAATCATTTTTAGTTTTAAGCATAAAATTAATTGTTTTACCTTTAAAAAATTGTTCCTATACAAATCTATACGAAAAAACAGTCTAACATTTCTAATGTTTTGCTGAGCGGGCATAAAAAAATCAATGTTGGACCGCTTACGTCACACAGTGGGCGGAGCTTAATTTCATTTTCATTCGTTGGTGTTCAAAAGTGACGGACCTGAGGTAACATCACGGGAGACAGTATAAAATACATGAACGTCAAAAAAATATTGATATAAAACAATGCAAAATGTGGGTAATGTCTGCCTTCGGCCTTCATTATTATCCTTCACAAAACGAATTATCGAACTCAGTCAATCGATTCAAACATACTATGTAACAAGACTTACGTCCGTGTGCTTTATATACAGGATTGGACATGACTAATTCGTGATGATAACCTGGTTTGGGTCAGTTTACACTTTTTTATAATCCGCGAAAGAAATAGAGTCATTCCTTATAAATTAATTTTAAAATAATTTAACAAGGGTGACAATGTTATCAAGTTTTTCCCTTCAGATGAAAAAACACACAAGATCAGGAGTCCTGAAATTGAAATAGCGATTTTTTAAAATTTTGCAAATAATTCTGTACAGTAAGCATTGGGGTTACAACTTGATTTTGTTGATATTACTTTTATTAGACCCTTTCAATGAAACTACTGTGATTTAAGCGAAAGATAACTCTTATTTATAAGTACAATTAATAAATACGTGCAGGGGATCGGTAAACAATAAATTCTCAACGATGACGTCAAAGTTGTCAGATGACAAGCGAGTTGACATATTTTGAAAGTGATGAGATAACTCTAATTTGAGCAATTAATAAGTAGAAGAAAACAAGAGGTCAAAGTTGATTACTATTTTCTACTCTACGTAATTGATAATTATATATTCTTCAGGATAATAAAACTATTATGGACTGTTTAGAAGGGAGACATCACCAATTATCAGGTCTGAGTAGGGTTACAGATCTAGCAGCCATGATGTTTGTGTACACGAGGTGAGATCGAGCTACTGTTTGAAGTTAAAGGTACATTTATTAAATCTGGAATTTCCCATGAATTCCAAGGACTGGAAATGAGGGAATTCTATGGATATAGATGATTCAGCTGGTTGTCAAGGGGTGTGTCCCCATACCAAACCAGGTTATTAAGAAATAATTTGCGTTCCTTTTTGGTAATCAACCAATGAGAGACTAGAATACAAACAAAATTAAATTATGTTTCGATGAAACAAAATAATTATCATTTTGGTATGACAGGTCCGTAAGAAGCAAAATGTCAGTTCGTTGGGAGACTAAAAATTCGAACTTTCGTCACAAGCCAAAAAAAGGGTTATCAAATCGACAGATATTATTGAAAGGACACAACCCAAGCTATGATTTCTGTTGTATTCTATATAGGCCTACTGGCAAAATTATGGGGGAGGGGGACACGGCCGCGGCAATACTATAACATGACCCCCCTCCCGATGCAGAAAATTTTATAAATAGGCACCAGTTTTATGAATTCAGGTTATTCTTTCAAATATAGTTGTATAACTTTAAATAAATAAGAGGACAAACATTTGAATTTTGAAGGGTGGGGTGGCTAGCAAAGTTTTTCCGAGACAAAAATTGAAATTATTGATTTTATTTGGACGAAGGGCAGATTTTTTATTTCAAAGCTCGAGAACAGCGGATTTATTTTTAATTCAGTCTCGTTGAAAACGTCTTACAAGCAATAAAAATCTAAACTTTAAAACTATTTCATTGGGGCGGGGTGGGTGTAACACTACTCAATGGAAGATTATTTATAAAAATTTCGAGGATAAATTACCCCCCCCCCCCCCTGAAACAAATGGTCGTTCCTAAGAAATATATATTTGCTTTCTTTAAAAAAAAATGCATTTGGGGGTTTCTTTAAAGGGTTGCAATCCCACCCAACCGCAAATCCTGTGTCTTGCACAATATTTTATTGTAGATTTAATGAAAAATATGTAACAGGCCTTCAAAGTGAAAGCGATGCTCCCACTTCCGTAGATCCGCCGATAGTCGACGTCACGCGACACACATTGCGTCATATTTGAACCTCCATTTCTTTTATCTCGACAACATGGCTGATTTGAAATCAGTTCTTGGTTTGTAATTTTGTAGACTAGTTACGTGTATTTTGTAAATCTAACTATTTATCAAACAATGCATAGTTTTAAGTGTTCTTCTGACCAATTCCATCAGTCTCAGAGGGCACATTCGCTTACTAGCTTACTGAAATATTTTTCTTATTCACAGCAGCGTTTATCCTTTGTGTTTCTGCTTCCATTTATGTCCTGGCCCAGACGAGTACTGCCAAGGATCAGAAAACTGGTTTGTAGCCAAAACTGAATAAGAACTCAAAAGAGGGCCCTTGCCATTTACTTCTATAAATCCCTCGGTACCTCGCTGGTTCACAATTTTTTTTATAGTAAGAGTCCATTTGGTGGATTCAATGATATAAGGCCTAACATAGGCCAATTCATTCTAAAATCAAAATTCAAGGGTTTTATAATAATGGACGTCTTGCAAGATTGTGAATGCAAGCAGCAACATTCATAGGACTTTTCATACATTATAGTATTTAATCCCGGTACCTCGCTGGTTCACAATTTTTTTTTATAGTAAAAGTCCATTTGATGGATTCAATGATATAAGGCCTAACATAGGCCAATTCATTCTAAAATCAAAATTCAAGGGTTTTATAATAATGGACGTCTTGCAAGATTGTGAATGCAAGCAGCAACATCCATAGGAGTAGGACTTTTCATACATTTAATATGGTATTTAAGGGGGGACCTATGTCCGAAAAGTCTTTGTGTGAAATTTTCAAAACTTTGACATTTCTTTCCTGACCACTTGCTCTTAATTTTGAGGTATTAAAAACAATACCTTTATTTGCTTATTTTTACACAGGAGCACGTGCAAAAACAGTGTGAAATGCTAAAAATAGATTATTTTCAGTCATTATTGTTCTACCCCAAATATGCGCTAAAAAGAACCAAAAATGTCAAATCATATTCAAAATCAACACTTATTTAATTTATATGACTTGTATCTTTAAAATGGAGGCAAATTCATTGAAATCCATCTCGCATGAAAAATTATAATGGAGCATAATGTAAGTATTACCCCATTTTTCTTGTCGTATTTTTTACAATTCCGACATGCATAACAGGTAATATGATATCTTAAAAAGTCTTTGTGTGAAAATTTTGTAATTCATATTTTTTGAAAGAAATGATTCATCTCTTTATTTCAACAAAGAAAAAAGTATACCTTTATGATAAAATAAACGAGAAATATGACGTTTCCTTTTATTTTTGTACTCTTGCGTCATAAATATTGACCTTTCTGCACTAAAAAAGGGTAAGTAAGCACTGACAAACACCTGAATATAAAACACGAGTATTTTGGTTTGATTAGAAACAATTTGAATAGATGATTTTTTTTCTTCATTCCATTGATTCTGTTTCACTCCCCCTCCCCATTTCCCCGTCAACAGCCAATGCCTATTAGAACCTAGGAATGACTTTATACCATAAAATCTACATGTACTGTATAAATCAATCAGCAAATATACACCCGTACAAGTACATTTCTTAATTTTTTTTTTTCTTAGTTTTCTCCAGAAAATCGATTAATGGTAATTATAAAATTAAACATTTTCCCCTGATTTAAGCCGCTTTCTTTCCTGAATTTTATCTCTTTTTTGCACCATTATATTAGCATATTATCAGGGTATTTTTCACAACAGCAATTTCTATGAATTATCAACCAAAGGAAGAGAATTCTAATATTTACAAACTCCATAAATCAAATAAAACTGTGATTCATGATGAATAAATTTTCTTTTTGTAAATTTTGTACGTAATTGATTATCAACAATGGTATGCCTATATCACAGTTGCAAAAGTCAACAGGTAAAAACAAACGTCGCTATTGTGACGTCACATGACGCTGCCTTGACGTAGAACGACATAGGTCCCCCCTTAATATAGAATCATCATACATCTGCCCATTCCTAGGCTAGCTGAACTTGACTGGTACAGTTGTGTGCCAAAAGTGAATATAATTTTATTTTTTCTTTATATATTTCATTGAAAACAATATTTTGTAAAATCGCTGGTATGACAACATTTCTTGACAGATTTTATCAAAAGAACTATATGCGGTATTAACCAACATTTGCCCCCCAAAATCAAACTTTGTTGGAGTAATATTTAATTAAGTCCTTAAACAGGGGAGTATATGCTGACTTCAAAGCACTGAATAATTTCATAAGTAATGACGTCATTTGTACGTAATGACGTCACAAATATGACGTAAACTTCAGTTTTTTATGAATTTTGCAGAAAAATGTACATATTTCGTCGATATTTTAAATAAAAGTCACCGAGCGCATGTGTGTTCAGGATCAATATTTTGATATAATGTGTAGAATGATAATATCAATGAAATATGTCAATATTGTTCCTGAACACACATGCGCTCTATAAATTTTAAAGCTTAAATTGTTGAAATTTTGTCCATTTTGTCCTCTTTCTGAAAAAGGATATAAAATCGGACTAGTTTGTGACGTCATAAAAACAGAAATTGCGAATACACTGCTCTGGAACTATAATATTTTCTGTTAACTTATATTTCTCGTACAATTTATTGAATTCAGCACATTTCAGGAAGTTTTCAAAATTTGACTTTTGTGGGGGCAAACATATGCAATATACCGCATATAGTTCTTTCTTGATAATCCAAGAAATTGTTGTAGTTAAAAACAACAATAGTTTTTATCTGATAAGCATTGATAATTTAAAAATATTGTAATTTAAGTGTGATGTGAATTTTTAAGTCATATATTCACAATGAATTGATATAGTCAACATTGATCTTGAATTTTAGAACTGATGTTTAGTGATGAACTATATTTTACTACATATTAAACGTGTAATGATCTTTTGAAGATAGATAACTACACATTTTCTGGTTTAAGTACTGAAATAAATAATTAGATTGGACAAAAATTGACCATTTACCTATGATTTTACAAAATGTTGTTTTCAATGAAACATAAAGAGAAAAAATAAAATTATCTTCACTTTTGGCACGCCTGTATAGGTAAAGCATAATGCACAGCAGGTACTCAAGAAAGGTAATACAAGCATGGGATCTTGAAGAGCTTATGAAAAAGTATTGGTTGTCAGTCCATCTAGTTGTTTGTTCGTTTGTCTGTAAACAATTATTCAAAATGCTCCCTCAGTTTTGATTTGATTTCAGTATAACTTGGCACACAAATAGACTACACTATGATATTAGTGCATCAATTGCCATGGTTACTAAAAATAGAATTTTTTTTTCTCAAAATGTTCTTGTGGCAAAGTAAGGAGTTGATCACATCGCGGGTTTGAATCCCACTGTGGGACGGGGACCGGTCCTTCGGATGAGAGTCATGAGACCGTATCAACTGAGGTCTTGGTGCTGGCACAAAAAAGATCCCTCCCTGCTCAATGGCCCTGAGTGCTGAGTAGTGAGTATAGGAAAAAATTTGCAGCTCTCCACCGACAAGTGGTGGTGTCTCCATATGAGTGAAAAATTCTCAAGAGGGACATTAAAAAAACACACAAACAAACAATATGCTACAGTACTCCTTCTACACTTTTAGTCTGATTTCCAAATACTGGTAACTTGGTACACAAGTAGACTACACTAAAATACAAACTTGAGTTTAATTTTTATTTTGATGAATGGTGTTGCCATGGTTACTAAAAATAGAAAATTCTGTGAAATTCTTTAAAGCACTACTCCTACAGTTTTTGTCCAATTTCAACATAATACTGCACTAATTAAGATACACAACTTAATGCATCTGTTTAAGATTTTGAAGAACAATGTTGCCATGGTTAACTAAAATTAAACATATGTGAAATCTTTAAAATGCTACTACTCTTATAGATTTGGTCTGATTATATAACTTTGCACAAAGTACACTTGACTGTATTGAGATACATATTTCTGTTTGTAAGTTTTGATTTTGATGAATGGTGTTGCTATGGTAACTTAAAAAAATTATTTCTGTGAAATTCTTTCAAAAGGCTACACCTTCAACAGCTTAATTTAGTTTGATTACAATCAATCTTGCCACAAAAAGAGACTTACAAAGGTTAATTTATTTTTATTTATTGCTGTCACCTATGTTTACGTGCTATACCTCTGTTTAAAGTACAACCAAGCTACAGTCTCATCAGAGACTTCTGGTTATGCTCATCAAAGCTGAAAGCTCAAGTGAGCTTTTCTGATCAAATTCTGTCCTCCATCCATCTGTTAACTTTTATCATATCTTCTTAGGGAACACTGGGTCAATTTTAACCAAACTTGCCACAAAGCATCCTTTGAAGAAGGGAATTCCAGTTTGTTTAAATGAAGGGCCTTACCCTCTTTCAGGGAATTTGATTCATTTGCTAAGCAAAAAGCAGCTTCTGTACATTAAAGACTTTTCAAATATCATCATCAATCCGTAGTATCATTATATTTACCTTTCAGTTTTGAATGTTTCCTTGTTTTTAATTGGAATGTCAGATGATATAATACTTTTGATATTCATCTAATTTAATACAGTTTCCTTTAATTCACAACTAGCTGACTCAGTGTGTCCAGCCTTAAAATGTCCGTACGAGTGCAGAATAGCCAGTACACAGTCAAAATGCAGGGCAGCTTTTGGTGCCAGTGGAGATGTTCTACAAGACTTTATAACTAACATCGGATACAAGTTCAGATATAGAAATGTTGCTGAATTGGCCAGAAATAAGATGATCCATGTTCTAAATGCCAGACGTAAGTATACTGGAATCTTTGGAAATTTCTAACGCATCTGGAGGATAGATTCTAGGATAGGGTTTTTTTTATTTTAGAAAAATCCAATATTCATTTCTGTTTAAACAATAAAAATAAAAGTATTGAATTCATATACATATTATTCTATGTAGAATAGCAACGTTAATTGTGCAATCTTATCATACTACTTACATGACTCAAACTTTAATTGTTAAATATAATGGGTATGATACATGTATAAACTGTAGATTCCTTATTACATGCAAGTACTTTACTTTGCAAAATGACTCTTAGCTAGCTGTCAGAAAGCAAGAACAATAAATTGCTTAAAGGATTTTATGCAGATTTCAGCACCAAAATTATATACCATATAAAAGCGAGTAAATTTATTTTGCAAGTGGTGCTTTGGTACATGATATGCTGCTGAGGAAGCATTTTCAAAAATTTACAATTATCGACAATATAACCTCAAAAACATGAATCAACCACTCTTCACCTTGTTTTATAATGCAATTTATTTTTTCATTTTTACAATAAAATTAATTAGGGATGTCAAAATTGTCAATAATTGATATTCGAATATTCGATAGTAGTATTCGAATATATTTGAATATTCGATAAAATAAATACATCTTGCATTATAATATGTATATATCTTCACTCTTTTGTCAAGCAATATATACGTTTTATGTCATATTTTTGGAATAAAATTTCATGTAGAGATTTGTAAATGCACTTTAATCATATTCTTAAAATATTTTACAGAATATATAAAGTTTATATCCGAAATGTAATAAAAAAAATTTTCCCCCGAAAATTCAAAAGATTCTTTTAATAAGTTGCAGATTAATTAATCATCTTACCAAAGTGTACACTGATAACCCTACAGATTTATACCACACAGAACAATTATCTAATGGAGAAACATTAAAAGCAACTACTTTTAGCTAATTAATTTCCTGATAATTATTTTAAATGATGTATAAATAAACAAAAATGTGTCCTTTCAACAATACAAACTAATTATAAGTACTGGACACTGTTATATCTCTAATTAAATGATCAAATGAATAATTTATATCATTTTAATAGACACATTCTTCACACCTTTAAGGTAATCCAAGAGGAGTGTCTATAAAAAAATTAATTTTGTTTTAAATAAAATCTTATTATTGGTCAACGATGAGAATTTGATTCAATTTCTGATAAAACTTCAGTTTTTGCCAGATTTTTTTTTTTTTTTTTTTTTGATGCTTGTATACTTAAAATCCGAATATTCGAATCATGAATTTATATTCAAATATCAACTCATCGAATGAATATTCGAATATTCGAATATTCGTTGACATCCCTAAAATTAATGTTTTCTCTTCAGATGTTCACTTGTAACGCATACACATGCTACTTTGTACTGATAATGTAGATAACATAGCTGGATACTTTCATGAAGAGTTTCTAATCTTTTTTTCTTTTTTTTTTTTGAATTTACTAGTCCTTGATGAGAGAAAACTAACATGTCCAGTGCTGAAGACATTTCTCATTAAAATGGTTACAACAAAACTGGGTGATGTCCTGGATAAGATTTTGTCTGGAAACTCATCCACCCCACCATCATCAAATTCTAGTGATCAGGTTTACAGTGTTGAGTTTTCTACTGTACCCCCGACTTCTGGACAGGGGCAGAGCAATTCATCAGCTGACAGTACCCAGTCTTATGGAACCACACCTAAAGGGGTTAACTATCAAAATGACACCCAAGGTGAAAGCTTAAACAATGGTACTTCTAGAAATAAAAGACAGACATCTCAGAATGCAACAGAAACAGAAGAGTCTGCAGGAATGCAAAACGCTACCATGCAAGAAGCAGATGTTAGGAACAAAACTGAAATAGAAGGGAGCACCACTCAAAATGGAACCAACACAGAAACAGAAGAGAGCAGCATTCAAAATGGAACCAAAACTGACACAGAAAGGGGCACTGTTCAAGATGGATCCATTAGTCAAGTTGAAGTACAGACAGTTTTAGAAAATGGAGATGTTTCTAAGATGTTTGATTCAAGTTTTAGCGAAATATTTCTAAGCTTGATAAAGGTACAAGATTAAAATAGAAAAGTTTTTTTAAGGTTGCTTTTAAGGTTGCTTTATACATATCAGGAAAATACAAATAAAATGGGTTGCATTATATCAATACTTTATGTAGTTGAGGTTAACATTGAAAATTTAGTATAAAGGTGAAGCATGTGCACATAGATGCCATGCAGTCAATATCCATTTTTTAATGTTGCTTTTTTTTTTCAAACAAATCATTGATGCCAAGATGAGGATGCATGATTTAAAAAAAAATCTGAACCTTATTTAACCATTTCTTTTATTTAATATTCCATTTCTACATACATGCTCCTGTATATCTTTCCTTTTCACAGTGAAAAGAATGATGAATTGTCAAATAGCTGTGAATATAAAATATATTAATTTAAATTCATAACCAATCATTTTAGACAAAATGACTTCAGATTTTTCTATGATGAAAGTGATCATTGAAAAAGCAATACATGTATTGATCAGCAAAAGTGCAAGCTTTTAAGAAAACCATTGAGTACTGTTATACTTTTATTAACTAGACAGAAAACTTGAGCACCCTGATTCAATCCTGGGATGAGACAGACAAGACCTGTTTGTGTGGACTTGGTGTGCAGGCTGACTGCATTACAAGGGAGACAATCCAGCCTTTACTTTGTCAGAGAGCATGTCAGATTCCTAGAGATATACAGGTATATAACAGGTTAGATGGCACCTTGGTGTTTTGAGAATAAAAAGAATGAACTCGAAAGACATCTGTTGAAAATGTAACATAACTGTGAACTTTGGAATATAAGATTAGCATAAAAATAGATTGCTTAATTAAATGTTCAGTTAATGTACATATATATTTTTTGCAAAGCTAAGCAATTAGATCAAGATTGTCATAAAGCTGTGAAGGTAACGTTTGAAATTGAAGAAAATAGTTATGTTTTCATATAAAACAAATTAGGTTTGCAGATGGCCACTTGCAGTTGTGCGTAGATTTGCAGAGTTTTGTATAGAGGAGAAAGTGAAGCAGATTCAGCAGAAAACAATGACCTCTAGTGACCTCGGTTACTTAATGAACGTCAGTACCGAGTACGTGATAGAACAGCTAAGGCCACAGTACACAGCAGATATACTCAGACAGAGGTATATAGAACAACTTCATATACTCAAACCCCACTATACTCAAAGAGAGGTATATAGAACAACTTCATATAGTCAAACCTCAGTATACTCAGAGAGAGGTATAGAACAACTTCATATAGTCAAACCTCACAATACTCAGTTAGAGGTATATAGAACAACTTCATATAGTCAAACCTCACTACCCTCAGAGAGAGGTATATAGAACAACTTCATATAGTCAAACCTCACTATCCTCAAAGAGAGGTATATAGAACAACTTCATATAGTCAAACCTCACTATACTCAGAGAGAGGTATATAGAACAACTTCATATAGTCAAACCTCACTATACTCAGTTAGAGGTATATAGAACAACTTCATATAGTCAAACCTCAGTATACTCAAAGAGAGGTATATAGAACAACTTCATATAGTCAAACATCACTATCCTCAGAGAGAGGTATATAGAACAACTTCATATAGTCAAACCTCACTATACTCAGAGAGAGGTATATAGAACAACTTCATATAGTCAAACCTCAGTATACTCAGAGAGAAGTATATAGAACAACTTCCTATAGTCAAACCTCAGTATACTCAGTTAGAGGTATATAGAACAACTTCATATAGTCAAACCTCACTATACTCAGTTAGAGGTATATAGAACAACTTCATATAGTCAAACCTCACTATACTCAGAGAGAGGTATATAGAACAACTTCATATAGTCAAACCTCACTATACTCAGAGAGAGGTATATAGAACAACTTCATATAGTCAAACCTCACTATACTCAAAGAGAGGTATATAGAACAACTTCATATAGTCAAACCTCACTATACTCAGAGAGAGGTATATAGAACAACTTCATATAGTCAAACCTCACTATCCTCAAAGAGAGGTATATAGAACAACTTCATATAGTCAAACCTCAGTATACTCAGAGAGAGAGGTATATAGAACAACTTCATATAGTCAAACCTCACTATACTCAAAGAGAGGTATATAGAACAACTTCATATAGTCAAACCTCACTATACTCAGAGAGAGGTATATAGAACAACTTCATATAGTCAAACCTCAGTATACTCAGAGAGAGGTATATAGAACAACTTCATATAGTCAAACCTCACTATACTCAGAGAGAGGTATATAGAACAACTTCATATAGTCAAACCTCACTATCCTCAAAGAGAGGTATATAGAACAACTTCATATAGTCAAACCTCACTATACTCAGAGAGAGGTATATAGAACAACTTCATATAGTCAAACCTCACTATAACTATACTCAGAGAGAGGTATACAGAAAACTTCATATAGTCAAACCTCACTATACTCAGTTAGAGGTATATAGAACAACTTCATATAGTCAAACCTCACTATACTCAAAGAGAAGTATATAGAACAACTTCATATAGTCAAACCTCACTATACTCAGAGAGAGGTATATAGAACAACTTCATATACTCCAACCTCAGTATACTCAAAGAGAGGTATATAGAACAACTTCATATAGTCAAACCTCACTATACTCAGTTAGAGGTATATAGAACAACTTCATATAGTCAAACCTCACTATACTCAGAGAGAGGTATATACATGTAGAACAACTTCATATAGTCAAACCTCAGTATACTCAGAGAGAGGTATATAGAACAACTTCATATAGTCAAACCTCACTATACTCAGTTAGAGGTATATAGAACAACTTCATATAGTCAAACCTCACTATACTCAGAGAGAGGTATATACATGTAGAACAACTTCATATAGTCAAACCTCACTATACTCAGAGAGGTATATAGAACAACTTCATATAGTCAAACCTCACTATACTCAGTTAGAGGTATATAGAACAACTTCATATAGTCAAACCTCACTATACTCAAAGAGAAGTATATAGAACAACTTCATATAGTCTAGTCAAACCTCACTATACTCAGAGAGAGGTATATACATGTACAACAAAATCATATAGTCAAACCTCAGTATACTCAGAGAGAGGTATATAGAACAACTTCATATAGTCAAACCTCACTATACTCAGAGAGAGGTATATAGAACAACTTCATATAGTCAAACCTCACTATACTCAAAGAGAGGTATATAGAACAACTTCATATAGTCAAACCTCACTATACTCAGAGAGAGGTATATAGAACAACTTCATATAGTCAAACCTCACTATACTCAGAGAGAGGTATATAGAACAACTTCATATAGTCAAACCTCACTATACTCAGAGAGAGGTATATAGAACAACTTCATATAGTCAAACCTCACTATACTCAGTTAGAGGTATATAGAACAACTTCATATAGTCAAACCTCACTATACTCAGTTAGAGGTATATAGAACAACTTCATATAGTCAAACCTCACTATACTCAGAGAGAGGTATATAGAACAACTTCATATAGTCAAACCTCACTATACTCAGAGAGAGGTATATAGAACAACTTCATATAGTCAAACCTCAGTATACTCAGAGAGAGGTATATAGAACAACTTCATATAGTCAAACCTCACTATACTCAGTTAGAGGTATATAGAACAACTTCATATAGTCAAACCTCACTATACTCAGAGAGAGGTATATAGAACAACTTCATATAGTCAAACCTCACTATACTCAGAGAGAGGTATATAGAACAACTTCATATAGTCAAACCTCACTATACTCAGAGAGAGGTATATAGAACAACTTCATATAGTCAAACCTCACTATACTCAGAGAGAGGTATATAGAACAACTTCATATAGTCAAACCTCACTATACTCAGTTAGAGGTATATAGAACAACTTCATATAGTCAAACCTCACTATACTCAGAGAGAGGTATATAGAACAACTTCATATAGTCAAACCTCACTATACTCAGAGAGAGGTATATAGAACAACTTCATATAGTCAAACCTCACTATACTAAGTTAGAGGTATATAGAACAACTTCATATAGTCAAACCTCACTATACTCAGAGAGAGGGAACAACTTCATATATATATACTCAGAGAGAGGTATATAGAACAACTTCATATAGTCAAACCTCAGTATACTCAGAGAGAGGTATATAGAACAACTTCATATAGTCAAACCTCAGTATACTCAGAGAGAGGTATATAGAACAACTTCATATAGTCAAACCTCACTATACTCAGAGAGAGGTATATAGAACAACTTCATATAGTCAAACCTCACTATACTCAGAGAGAGGTATATAGAACAACTTCATATAGTCAAACCTCACTATACTCAGAGAGAGGTATATAGAACAACTTCATATAGTCAAACCTCACTATACTCAGAGAGAGGTATATAGAACAACTTCATATAGTCAAACCTCACTATACTCAGAGAGAGGTATATAGAACAACTTCATATAGTCAAACCTCACTATACTCAGAGAGAGGTATATAGAACAACTTCATATAGTCAAACCTCACTATACTCAGTTAGAGGTATATAGAACAACTTCATATAGTCAAACCTCACTATACTCAGAGAGAGGTATATAGAACAACTTCATATAGTCAAACCTCAGTATACTCAGAGAGAGGTATATAGAACAACTTCATATAGTCAAACCTCACTATACTCAGTTAGAGGTATATAGAACAACTTCATATAGTCAAACCTCAGTATACTCAGAGAGAGGTATATAGAACAACTTCATATAGTCAAACCTCACTATACTCAGAGAGAGGTATATAGAACAACTTCATATAGTCAAACCTCACTATACTCAGTTAGAGGTATATAGAACAACTTCATATAGTCAAACCTCACTATCCTCAAAGAGAGGTATATAGAACAACTTCATATAGTCAAACCTCACTATACTCAGAGAGAGGTATATAGAACAACTTCATATAGTCAAACCTCACTATACTCAGAGAGGTATATAGAACAACTTCATATAGTCAAACCTCACTATACTCAGAGAGAGGTATAGAACAACTTCATATAGTCAAACCTCACTATACTCAGAGAGAGGTATATAGAGGTATCAGAGAGAGGTATATAGAACAACTTCATATAGTCAAACCTCACTATACTCAGAGAGAGGTATATAGAACAACTTCATATAGTCAAACCTCACTATACTCAGAGAGAGGTATATAGAACAACTTCATATAGTCAAACCTCACTATACTCAGAGAGAGGTATATAGAACAACTTCATATAGTCAAACCTCACTATACTCAATTAGAGGTATATACATGTAGAACAACTTCATATAGTCAAACCTCACTATCCTCAAAGAGAGGTATATAGAACAACTTCATATAGTCAAACCTCACTATACTCAGTTAGAGGTATATAGAACAACTTCATATAGTCAAACCTCACTATACTCAGAGAGAGGTATATAGAACAACTTCATATAGTCAAACCTCACTATACTCAGAGAGAGGTATATAGAACAACTTCATATAGTCAAACCTCAGTATACTCAGAGAGAGGTATATAGAGCAACTTCATACAGTCAAACCTCACTATCCTCAGTTAGAGGTATATACATGTAGAACAACTTCATATAGTCAAACCCCACTATACTCAGAGAGAGGTATATAGAACAACTTCATATAGTCAAACCTCACTATCCTCAAAGAGAGGTATATAGAACAACTTCATATAGTCAAACCTCACAGAGAGAGGTATATACTCAGTTAGAGAGGGTATATAGAACAACTTCATATAGTCAAACCTCAGTATACTCAGAGAGAGGTATATAGAACAACTTCATATAGTCAAACCTCAGTATACTCAGAGAGAGGTATATAGAACAACTTCATATAGTCAAACCTCACTATACTCAGTTAGTCAAAGGTATATAGTATAACAACTTCATATAGTCAAACCTCACTATACTCAGAGAGAGGTATATAGAACAACTTCATATAGTCAAACCTCACTATACTCAGAGAGAGGTATATAGAACAACTTCATATAGTCAAACCTCACTCACTATACTCAGAGAGAGGTATATAGAACAACTTCATATAGTCAAACCTCACTATACTCAGAGAGAGGTATATAGAACAACTTCATATAGTCAAACCTCACTATACTCAGTTAGAGGTATATAGAACAACTTCATATAGTCAAACCTCAGTATACTCAGAGAGAGGTATATAGAACAACTTCATATAGTCAAACCTCACTATACTCAGTTAGAGGTATATAGAACAACTTCATATAGTCAAACCTCAGTATACTCAGAGAGAGGTATATAGAACAACTTCATATAGTCAAACCTCACTATCCTCAAAGAGAGGTATATAGAACAACTTCATATAGTCAAACCTCGCTATACTCAGTTAGAGGTATATAGAACAACTTCATATAGTCAAACCTCACTATACTCAGTTAGAAATATATAGAACAACTTCATATAGTCAAACCTCACTAAACTCAGAGAGAGGTATATAGAACAACTTCATATAGTCAAACCTCAGTATACTCAGAGAGAGGTATATAGAACAACTTCATATAGTCAAACCTCACTATTCTCAGTTACAGGTATATAGAACAACTTCATATAGTCAAACCTCAGTATACTCAGAGAGAGGTATATAGAACAACTTCATATAGTCAAACCTCACTATACTCAGAGAGAGGTATATAGAACAACTTCATATAGTCAAACCTCAGTATACTCAGAGAGAGGTATATAGAACAACTTCATATAGTCAAACATCACTATACTCAGTTAGAGGTATATAGAACAACTTCATATAGTCAAACCTCAGTATACTGAGTTAGAGGTATATAGAACAACTTCATATAGTCAAACCTCAGTATACTCAGAGAGAGGTATATAGAACAACTTCATATAGTCAAACCTCACTATACTCAGTTAGAGGTATATAGAACAACTTCATATAGTCAAACCTCAGTATACTCAGAGAGAGGTATATTGAACAACTTCATATAGTCAAACCTCAGTATACTCAGAGAGAGGTATAAAACAACTTCATATAGTCAAACCTCACTATACTCAGTTAGAGGTATATAGAACAACTTCATATAGTCAAACCTCACTATACTCAAAGAGAGGTATATAGAACAACTTCATATAGTCAAACCTCACTATACTCAGTTAGAGGTATATAGAACAACTTCATATAGTCAAACCTCAGTATACTCAGAGAGAGGTATATAGAACAACTTCATATAGTCAAACCTCACTATACTCAGTTAGAGGTATATACATGTAGAACAACTTCATATAGTCAAACCTCAGTATACTCAGAGAGAGGTATATAGAACAACTTCATATAGTCAAACCTCACTATACTCAGTTAGAGGTATATAGAACAACTTCATATAGTCAAACCTCACTATCCTCAGAGAGAGGTATATAGAACAACTTCATATAGTCAAACCTCAGTATACTCAGAGAGGTATATAGAACAACTTCATATACTCAAACCTCACTATACTCAGAGAGAGGTATAAAACAACTTCATATAGTCAAACCTCAGTATACTCAGTTAGAGGTATATAGAACAACTTCATATAGTCAAACCTCACTATACTCAGAGAGAGGTATATAGAACAACTTCATATAGTCAAACCTCAGTATACTCAGAGAGAGGTATAAAACAACTTCATATAGTCAAACCTCACTATACTCAGTTAGAGGTATATAGAACAACTTCATATAGTCAAACCTCACTATACTCAAAGAGAGGTATATAGAACAACTTCATATAGTCAAACCTCACTATACTCAGTTAGAGGTATATAGAACAACTTCATATAGTCAAACCTCACTATACTCAGAGAGAGGTATATAGAACAACTTCATATAGTCAAACCTCAGTATACTCAGAGAGAGGTATATAGAACAACTTCATATAGTCAAACCTCACTATACTCAGTTAGAGGTATATAGAACAACTTCATTTAATACATACAGTCAAACCTGTAATACATATGGTCAAAATTTCAAAAATATGTACTGTGAATCTTCAACATCTTGATGGGACCAAGAAAATAGTTCAAGATATCTTAAGATTTGAGATAACCAGTGTAAAAAAACTTAAGAAGTAAACACTTGGGACTTCAAAATTACTTCAATTACTGTAAAATCACATATTTTCGTGGGGTCAAATTTTCAAGGTTTGAGAAAGAAATACATGTATTGGTTTATGGGGATTTGATTTGGAGGTTGGAGAAGTGTTGAGTAATAATGCATATGAAATTTTGCATTTAAGGTGGTCATAAATTCTAGGGTCTCTTAATACCTTGAAATCAATGAAAAGTATACGGTACAAAAATGAGTGATTTCACAGTATCTGACTGAGATACTGAAGTTTAATTAATTACTCAATTATTATTTATAATAATATAGTTGATTATCGGTATCTTAAATGCAGATATCTCAAATAACATGGATATGTTGAAGTAATCTTAGGTCCCAATTACATGTCTTGCCCTACATATCAATTGCTCAGATGTCTTTAAGAAAACAAAACTTGGTGCAGTCACCAAGGATCCAAAATGAATTTTATGTTTTGTTAACTATAACAGAGCTTTTTTGATATTTCAGATATTCACAGGGCCAAAAGAGGTCTTAAATTACTATTTAAACCAGTTTATCTAAATTGATGATGAAGATGTTAGGGAATTCTTTTATTTTGATTGGAACATGGATGCATTTTATTGTGTCAGGCAGGAAGAAATCATAGCAAGCTGTAAGAAGCTGGGGGTAGTAAAAACAACAGACCTAAGAAAGCAGGCATTGGCTTTGTTGAAGGAAAACAAGGACAGCTCCATTCTAAAACCAGTGTTGGTAAAGATCCTGTCAAGTTGTGGGGCCAAGGTGTCCGAGATGAAGCAGTTTGTGTCGGACAGTGAAGTAAGGGAACAAATTGTTGATGGTTTGAGTCAGATCTGTACATGTAAAATAAATGTGCCATAGATACAGTCTCTTATGCAGGGCTGTCCTTAAGACTTGAAATAGCAGGGGACATTAAAAAAGTAGAGGAATGTGTCTATGGTTTATCCCTTAACATGAGGTTGAGCAGGAATGCTGGAATAATCTGGGGGTTGCATCATTATTGGCAAGAAAATTTCTCCTGAGACCCCCACCCCCCTTACGGGTTTTAGGGACAACCCTTCTTACTTTTAAATTTTTTGAAAAATACTTTGTATTTATTTCAAAATCTTATTAAAAAAAAAAGTCATGCATTCACTGCGTAGCATCTTGGCAATCTACTTAAATAAGACCTTTTATCTCCTTCATCATAAATCTATTGTCAAACAAGGGACAAATAAATTTACAAAGAGTGATATGAAAGGTTTAATTTTAATATAAAGATTGAGTATCTTAGTCACTTATATATGTTATTATTGTGGAATAGAAAACACCAGTTAAACTTGATTTAATATTTTCAGAGGTATTGGTTTTATTGTTCAGCTAAAATGAAGACGTACTACCTGGATAGTGTACTGGTAATATTTATTACAAATTTTAGATGAAAGTGTTTTTGCTTTTTGTTGCAGATGGTGACAACCTATGATCCAAGTGTCAAATTGAGTTTACGAGAAGTTGCAGAAATGAAAAAAGCTCTTCTCACAGAAAAACAAAACCTAACAAGTCTAAATAAGGAGGAAATCAAACAGTATGGAACAATATAGCTGTAGTATTATTTTTTGTGGTAATATCTTTTTTAAAAAGTATGTCTGTTAAAAAAATAGATATGCAGCAAAACTAAATCTCAAACTCTGCAGATTTTAATTATAGAATTAAAAAAAAAGTTTATAAAGCCAAAAAATATCTAATTTGAGATAATACATCATTCCGTTTTCTTTCAGATTTCTACCCCTGATTGTCAATGATAGAAGAAAAATGAACAAACTTGATACATCCACATTGAAGAGTGCATTACCAGAGATCAACAAAATGAAGCTGACACCTTCTGAGGTAATTCTTATCAGCTACTGCTATGTATTTTACACTATAATTTTTGTCATATTATATCTTATCCGTAACTACAAATGAGCAATTCATAAATCAGAGAAATATTGGCAAATAGTTGTTCGTGAGATATTTTCAGTTTCAGCATACTCTAGAATCTTAGGAGATGAGAAAAAATTGGTAGTACAATTTAATCATTAAATACAGTAAAACTCGGTTATAACAAAGTCACTGGGACCTATGAAATTACTTCGCAATATCCCTAATTTTTTCTATTCATATAAGGAACTCATTAAAATTTAAATAGTTGGGGATCAGAAATAACTTTGCTACATCCATGAATTCGCTATATCCGTGTTTGTACTAAACGATTTTTGCTGTACATGTATATCTAATACATGTAATATTTATTTCTTAAAACTATTAATTCATATTTCTTGTCAGAGGATTCAAACTTGGAGAAAATTGAAGCAGGAATCCGAATTTCAAGATCTTACCAATATCAGCACAGACGCTCTGGTTAATCTTGGAGCAACAGTTGGAGCTTTACAACCAAAGGAAATCAAGAACATTCCAGCAGCTGCAATAGGAGCCGCAATAAGCACGGGGAATTTGACTGGTGCACAGTTCTCAAGAAAGGCTGTAAGTTTATGGGGATATTAAGTTCTCAGTTTGTATTTTAATTAAATCAATATACAGGTATTTTATTTAATAACCTAAATGCCAATTTTCCTTTGTAAACCACTTTCTTGTGATTTTGCATCTGAAACCTATACATCTTTTCATGTATTTTAAAAAATGATCTTGGCTATATTTTCTGTGCTTGTAAGATACAGACATGATTTTTATGTTGACAACCACCAGGCTTCATAATGGAACCGACATAGGTTAGTCGCATGCAAGAAAATTGGGCTTAAATCATTTATAGAAAGTGTTGGAGAAATTTTTAAGAAACTCTCACTTAAAAGTAATACTAATCTGTAACTTTTTAGGCAGGTGATGTTTTTAGAAAGTTTAGAGAGCACCTTGGAAAAGCTACAGTAAGTTTCTGTTAGGTTTATACTCAGTCCCAAGGAATTTTTTTTTTAACTTGTAATATTGGAGTTCTTAATGTTATGAAAAATAACAGAGACTGTATTTATTTACAAAAGATTATATTTCTAGGGTAACTTGACTGCAGCTGAGCTGGAGAAACTTGGCTCTAATCTGCACTGTCTCCGAGCAGCTCAGTTTGAGGGAATCAGTGGAGCTGAGCTGATGCAGCTCCTACAGAACAAAACCCTGGAAAATTCCCAGTCAGCCCACTGTCTTCTGGACAAACAGGCCATAAGAATAATTGCTGCTAAAGTGAGTTCAAAATAAACTGATTCTTTGATTTTATTTCAACCACGTTTCTAAGGGAAATTAAGGTGTATAGAAAAATTGTCATCTCGTGAATCTATCTGTTCATTTGTCGATCTCTTCATCAGACCTTCTAACCATCAGCTCTCCTACAAAGAAGTGAAAACTCACATAAACTCACAAAAATAGCAACCTCCCTGTTACCGGATATAATTGATTTAGTTCATTGTAGGTGAAGAAGGAGTTAGGAGGGACGGAGGTTTTGATGACGTCCCCCCTGTTTCGGGGAGAGGTAGGAGAGATTGGGGACTCAATGCTGGAGGACATGATCAATAAACTGGTGAATGGAGAGACAATCAAGGACTTCAGATTCACCAAGAAACAGGTTTCCCACTTCATAATTTGTTTTAAATAATATTTGCAGTAGGCTTTTTCACTGAAAGGTGCTCTATTTTAATATATACATACGCTGAGTTGAACTTGGCTATCTTGAACACTAATGCTACAAAATAATACCATGGATATATTGAAGTGATATGGAAGTTTCATCTCCTGTGTATTTTTCCTTGATATCTCAAATCCTCATACATTATATTTAGGTCACCTGAGTCACTTAAATGACCTACTGCTTTCTGTTTGTGTCCGTTTTCTTTCATCAATTGTAAACTTTTGAACATTTTTAACTTAATTTTTCCTGGAACCACAGAACCAATTTCAACCTAATTTGGCATAAAGCATTTATGGGCAAAGGAGATAAAAAATTTGAATTTCAGGGTCCTTGTCCCCTGGGGCACGAGGGATGGGGCCACAACCATGAATATTAATGCAGTCTTTAAACATCTCCTTCTTTACTCTTGGACATCAAGCAGTCAAACTGTTGGCATGATTGTAATAAACATTAAGTTCTCTACTAAAATTTTGAAATTCATGGCCCTAGGGTCAGGGGTTCTAGTGCAAGGGTAGGGCTATAAAGATTTTATGGTGAAAGTACATTATTTCTTTCAAAATCTTCTTCCCCACTCCTCGGTTTTTTAATAAACAAACTTAATGTATAGTTATGATGAGAAAGGTGCCTTTTCCAAAATTGTCCATAAGTTTACAATACATGATGCTCAGGTGAACTTTAAGGCACATGGACCTCTTTTTCTCAGTCTCATTGAGTTTGAGATAATGAGGTTAGACTGTAGTTTATAATAAATAAAATGAATTCATCCTGCACACCCTCTTGCCAATAATTTAGAAGTTTGACATCTAAGAGGAAAGTTTATCTTACTTTCTTGACTTTCATTTATTAGTTTATAACAAGTTATTACAAAACAGTCTTTATAATTTTGTGATTGTAGGCATACAAGGTTTTAAGTAATCTAAAGACGGAATTAGGAAACCTAAGTACCTGGACAGTTGATGTAGTGAACAACCTAGCTGTGACAAATCTGCTGAGCTTCGTGAGAGCGGCAGACATGACTGATCTCAGGAACAATCCAAACAGTCTACAGTTCATCCATCTCTTTAACCAAGACAGTGTAGTTTCTGAAAAATCTGTGAGAATCAACATTACTTGAAATGATTTTATCAGTTGGATTTAATATCTCCTCATATACTGTAGAAGTACTTTTTTCCGCGTGGTATTAATTTACGCTATGTACGCGGTCACAAACTTTCCGCGGAAATTTGTCCAAGCGTACTTAATATAAATGTAAGGCATATAGTGACAATCTTCAGATTCAACCGGAATTATGACCCCGTGGAAAAAAGTACGTTTACAGTATTCAATCCAGTTTAAAATTCACCTTCTCCTCCCAGGTAGCAGGATGTTATTGGACCTTTGTTGGGCCAACAATGCTCCTTATGTTGGGCCACCGTATTCATTCAACATTGGGCCATCAGTAATTTGCTCACGGGCCCTTAATCAAACCAGCTTGTTGGCTTATTGTTGGGCCACTGTATCAGTTAATATTGGGCCACTGTTGGGCCAATGTATTCTTTCAATATTGGGCAAACATCATTTTTGTACAGTTGGGCCATTGTAAGCAATTAATGTTGGGCCAACTGTAATTTGCTCATCGGCCCTTAATCAGACCAACTTGTTGGCTTATTGTTGGGCCAATGTAACAGTTAATATTGGACCACTGTTGGGCCAATGTATTGTTGGGCCATTTACTCTTTCAATATTAGGCAAACATTTTTGGGCCAACGTTGGATTATATCTTATTGGCTCTCCATCAGGACAACTCATTTGCTCTTCACTGGTTAGCCATTTGTCGTCAAAATTGAATAACAAACGATATATAATAAGTTTATACTAGTTTTGTAGTACATGTACAGTTTAATGGTAAAACCCCTTTAATAGTATATATGCTAGATTAATGGTTTAATACATATTCACAATATCTCATAGAATTACCATCAACAAGTATTGCATTGTAATTTAAGTAGCTATACATTAATTTAAAAAAACCGAGGAAAAAGAAATCAAAATATAAAATTAAATTAGAACATACTAGTATTTTATTGCTCAGTGCATGAAGAAAACATTAATAAAGAACAAAAAGTTGATGCTCACTTTAAGCGATACATGTAGGGTTACAAATTTATGCACAAGTTCAGTAAAATTACTAAATTGCAGGTATCATTATATGCACGTCTAAAAAAAAAACAAAGCCCTCCTGTTCTTAAAATAATAGTAAAGAATCCCGCCATTTTGTTTACTTACACAATAAAATGTTTCTGGCATCTGCATCGTGTTTGTTACCGACAAACAGACACAGAAAAGGGTAGAACTACAGCTATGACACAGTATACAGTAAAACACGTTTAGTACGAACACAGATATAGCGAAATCACGGATATAGCGAAGTCGTTCTAAGTCCCCGGCAAAATTCTTAACAAATCTTTGTAAAATTTTACGGTTATAATGAACTCTGATATAACGAATTTACGGATATAGCGAACTGATTTTGAGTCCCATTGAGGTCAAATATAATAAAATTTACATCTTTTATAACGAACTTTCAAAGATCTCAAAATTTGATAGGTTGAACTGACTTTATTTTATTTTAGCTTTTGTATATGAAATTCAATTCATAATAAAACTTTAGTTATCTAAGGTATGTTTTGTAATATTTGCTTCACAAACATGTTTGGTAGTAATACTTGAGGGAAAACATGCATATTACGAATTCGCTATATATATAGTCATATGAATTCGTTATACGGATATAACGAATAACGGATATAGCGAATTAAATTCACTGGTCCCCAGGACTTCGCTATAACCGAGTTTTACTGTATAACAGAAAAAAGTTAGGCACTGCCACTTTCCATCTGATCCTTCTCCTAAGTCACCTCTTCTCTCTCCCGAGTCTCCTCCTCCCCCTTCTTTTCTTCTCTGTCCATTTCTTCCTCCCCCATTCCTGTCCCTGGCATACCTTAGCCATTCTTTGATTGTGTTCTGAATGTCTTTTTAGAATCTCCAGTAGCACTAAAATTGTAGTATTTAGTTCTTAATACATTTGTTACTTTTCTCAGTAAAGAGTAAACATATGATTGAATTTACTATATGTTTACAAGTAGGCTGTCTATTAAGGAATAATCGTCTTTTTTGTTTCATGGTGTGATTAAGCGATTAGCTTACGTGATGAAGGTATTTATGCATAAATTTCTATGCTGGATTATCATTATCACACCAGTTTTGATTCAAATTTGTTGCCCAATATAAATCATTGTTCAAAATAAAATACATGTATAGAAAATTTGACAGTACATTGAACAAATTTTAAATGAAAGAACCCAATGTATGTTTTAGTACTGAATAAATTTTGTTTCAACTTCAACATGTTCAACATTTTCAACATGTTTGATCATGTGCTTGACGTTAAGCGTATAGAAGTAAAATGAGTGGTAGACTTCGGAAATTTATTCTACGAGACACAAATTTCAATTTAAATAAGGGGCAAATTATTCATTGTTTTAACTGTATCAAAAACATTTGTTATTTTATACTTTCCTTTATTTTCTTGTATAGAATCACTAAATTTAATCACTGATAATTTATTTTGTTTTGACAAATTATAAGAATTTTATCAAGCCTTGTAAATTTATTTTAGCTTACTTGTATTTTCAAGTAGGATTGGTGGTAGATTTATTTCTGATTGTTGAGAAGATCGTATTTGTTAATATACAGATTTGTAACAATTAAATGTTCAAACACATTGTCCCAATGTTGGTCCAATATATCGGGCCAACATTGGGCCAATGAGAAAATGACACTGGGCCAACATCATTTGCCAACATCGGCTCAATGTTCTTGTTGACGTTCGGCCAACATAGGCCCAATGTCGCATTATTGGGCCGATGTTGGCGCAACGTTGGGCCAGTATCTGTAGAAATAGCACTCTTCATTGGGCCAACGTTGGCCCAACATATTGGTCCAACATTGAGCCGATGAGCAAACTTACATTGGGCCAATGTCATTTTCCAACATTGGCCCAATGTAACCGATGACATTGGCCCGACGTTGGCCCAATGTTAGCATGCTATCTGGGACAGTTATGACCCAATAGCACCTGGCCTCCACACTTCCCTGTGTCTGATTTACACAGATTTGTACATGATATCGTTTTAAACTATAAACGTTAATTAAGCTGTTTCAAAGCAAACATGTTATAAATACTTACAAAGTGGATGCAGATATGCAAGGTATCAGTCTCATTACGCTCGTGTCAGATTAAAAATGGCGCAGATATTACAAGTAGCCCGTATGTTGTCTACCCATTATGCTCAGCCAAATTCCTGGTATATTGGGCCTACTTGGGGCCGATGCCAATCCCCCAACAAATATTTTCTCACATGATAACGGTTTTATGATATAACGCCAACAGTTAGCCCAACATTGGCCCCATTATACATAACCAACTATCAATATTCCATGTTGGACCACTGTTGGCCCAATAAAGGTAACCCAACAGCGATAATACAACCATAATGTAAGATTGGGCCAAGGATGTTCTGCTATCTGGGCTTGAATTTAGTTCAGATTTTCATTTGTCATATTCTGAATTCGAAGTCTTTCAAAATTGAGTATGTTATATTATTTTAGTCATGCCATCAATTTATTTATTTGTTAAATTGCATCTTTTAGAATAGAATGCTGGGGAAAGTTTTGATTGAGAGATTTAACCTTGACAACTCCTCTGCTGATGTTTCGACCAGCGGTCTGACGGAAGATGTCGTGAGACAAGTCGGGACTGAAGTCATAGCAAGGCTATCGTAAGATTTCGGAAAAAATATTTCAGAAATAATTTCTATCATATTCATAATTATAGCAGCACTGTAGTATTGATGTTTTTTATTTGACAGGAGAATTTCAATACTAATTTATTATGAGACATTAAAACAAAGCATGATGAAGTTTGATAAATGATACAAGTGTTTTAGTGTATTTTTAATAAGAATTTATTTGTGATTGAATTCTCTTTAAAGCAATGACCAGCTGAGGAGGTTGAACATGACGGATACTGTCACCGAACTTCTGACCGGCATCAACCTGAACACCGTCCCCTGTCGTGTACTCCAAAACAGGACAGCATTCGTAGTGGAGGAAAAGGTACGCAAATAATTTCTTAATATTTTATGGGCAGTTGAAATGCAGTATTGAGCACAATATCCTAAATAGCAATGCATAGATTAATGAATACATGAAAAAAGAATTAATCCACCTTTTAAACTTTACAATAACTTATTTAATACCTTGCATTTTTGAATATCTTTGAGGACCCACGGGGTTTGATTGTTGTTATAAGTTTAGGTTTTACTGATTTCTTTTCAGGGTTTGACAAGTCTGAGTCTGGAGGAAGTGGAATCACTGGGAAATCTGAAGTGTGGCTTTACTAAATCTCTTGTACAGCGTATGACAAAAGAGGCGCTGGCAGGAACCGGGGCAGAATTCGCCAAATGTCCCTGTGTCTCCCGTGCTGTAAAGAAAGAGATTGTCAACCAAATGAAGCAAAATCAGGTCATGTATGTAAAATTGATTTCCTGTTTAAAAAACCAAGATGTGTTTGTGAAACACTGCATGATGCCCACTTATGGGAACATAACGAAGGTTAATTTTTCTCACATGAAAATCAAACATGTTGATACCCAAAGAAAGGCCTTCTCACAAGAAATACAAATGTGAAATATTAAACCCAAGCACCAACTGTTCAAAAGTTATGGCCAAAGTCAATGTTTTTCAAAGGTAGGTCAAAGTTTGGGTCAAGGTTATTGGTTTCTAAAGAAAGGCCTTGTCACAAAGATTAAATATGGGAAATATGAAAGCCCTATCCCTAACCGTTCAAAAGTTTTTGCCAAGCTTAAAGTTTTAAAAAGTAGGTCAATCTCCAAGGACAATGTCAAAGTTGTTGGTATCCAATGAAAGGACTTGTCACAGAGAATATATATATGAAGTATGAAAGTCCTAGCACCAACCGTTCAAAAGTTATGGCCAAAGTAAAAGTTTAGAATATTGGTGTAAAAGTGTGTCAAAGTCCAAGGTCAAGGTAAAGAGATCAAATTTGATACCTACCCTAAGAAAGGTCTTGTCACAATGAATACACCTGTGAAATGTTATAGTCCCACCCAGTCAAAAATTATGAGCAAGGTTAAAATTTTTGTGGACAAATAGCTAGACAGACAGACGGGGCAAAAACTATATACCCCTGAAAGAGTTAAGCCCACGAATGGTCAAAAAATGCCTCATCTAAAAAATTAATGAAATTTTGATAACAGATAGTATAGACTTCAAGCTTTGTGGAACTGTTTTCTTTTTTTTGATATCTATTTTACTTTTGCTTTAAGAGAGTTTGCAGTATGGCATTGTTTTACCAGAAAATTGCAAACGGAACGTCATAATTTGTATAACGTGACGTAACGTCATATAGGGCCAAAATGACGAGGGGCTATCAATAAGTTCGTGGACTAGCGCTATAAAATTAAAACCGTTGTAGCTACATCAATGAATTTTAAAATATTTACTTATCATCATCTTTTCTATCTATAGAATTTACCACGAATCATAGATTTTATTTCTAAATGAATTAGTAAATTTTTTGTACGCAATGGTATGTCCAGGCGGCGCAATCTCGAAAACGACGTTTTTTTTCGACCTAAGTGTAACTAAGATAAACTATTTTGATATGAACATTTGACATCCAAATATCCCGATAATTCAGGTATGCGTTGGGGCACTATTGTTCGATAAAAAATGGAATTTTTTTACCTCATTCTTTAAATTCGATGAAATTTTATTGTAAATTTTACATGGAGTATCCTAACAAATATCACCTTGAAAATGACGTCAAATGGGGGGAGTATTTTGAACTCCAAAAAGCAAATATGCTGGCACAATCAAGCGAGGATCTCCGCGTGTCCCAATGTTTAAATTCATTTGCAATAATATATGCATAGAAGCTGCAGTTCTTGACATTGTAAAGTCGTAAAAACAAGACGGTTTGAAGTCCTTACTCTGCTCTGGGTAATCTCATCAAATAAGAAGTGTACGATGTCGAGGAAGCGGACATTAAAAAATCATTACGTTGTCAGACATCATGAAACTAAGCAGCGACAGCGCCGGGGATCATATAATGTCGTTTTTATATTAATAATAGTTTGGGAAATAATGAATGTATCAAGCTAAAATTTTCAATATTTTATTATTTTTTGTTGTTTTATGTTCCTTATAAATTTTGTTCTGACAACATAATACTAATTTAATAGCCCCTGTCCACGAACTTTTGGATAACCCCTCGTATGTGATTGTAAAAACAGAAATGACTTAATAATGGATAATTGACTACCAGGTAGAACATTATCAGTTTAAGAATAGAATACCAAGTACATGACCAGTAATATTTTGTGAGATCCTAACAATGCAAGGCACAATGGAAATGCTTTGTTTTTTAAAGTAAGTTGGGGGTGGGGGTGGGGGTGGGGGAGACATCACCTCCACAAAAAATTAACATGCAGCAACAATCCGCTGATTAACTGCATCTATACATGGGCCGGTAATACTATATATTCGATTTTACTTACTATTCACTAAATACACCAAAAGGTATATTTCTGACTTCGTGTACGTACATGTGTATATATAAATATATAGTTGATACGTAAAAATGAAATATACTAGTAATTACCGGCCCCTGTGACTCCACCCACTTGAAAAATCTTATTTTATTGTGGGTGGGATGGCCCCCTCTAATGCAGGAATTTGCCAGTGTTTAACCTTTACAGAAATAGATCGCATCTTAATAATAAATACCATACCATAAACTAGGCAAAAGAATATTGTCAGGAAAAAAGTGACCCTTCCCACTCTGTTACACACAAATATAAAATAAGATTTCAGCGTGATTTATTTCAAAATTGCAAGTTGTCTATGAAAGTGCGCTTGCACCCCTTTCTAAAAAATCATCAACTGAATCTAAAATTCTAGCTTTATTCTGCAAATGACTGATAAATAGAATGTGTGTAAAACAAAAATGCGAGGACTATCTCCCGCTCCAAGACATTATATTTCCCAATTTCCAAAATTCACGGAAAGATTTTATTTGTCTAAAATTATGTTGTCAGTAATGTCACGTTTGATTCATCTATTTCATTGCATGCCTTATTGGGCCTAATTGATATTTTTAAGTTGACATGCAGTTACGCATATTTACCGGAAAATGGGTATGATTTATATATATATATATGAATATGTCAAGTCTCCATTATGGTTCTACATTTAATCTTATGATTAATAGATTGAAAAATAAACGTGAAAGTATTTCACAGAAATTTTGCGAGGCAACATCGTTCATCAAAATCAAAAATCGGTATAAAAAAATATGAAACTAAGTACTATAGTCTGCTTGCATGTGTGCCAAGTTATATTGAAATCAGATCAAAGCTGTAGGAGGAGTAATATTTTGAAAGTATTTTACATAAATTTCGATTTTTAGTAACCACGGCAACACCGTTCACCGAAATTAAAAATCGATATATTATAAAATTATGTACAGTAAAACACGGTTATAGCGAAGTCCTGGGGACCTGTGAATTTAATTCGCTATATCCGTAATTCGTTATATCCGTATAACGAATTCGTATAACCATATATAGCGAATTTGCAATATGCATGTTTTCCTTCTAGTGTTACTATCAAATATGTTAGGGAAGCAAATATTACAAAACATACTTTCGATAATTAAGGTTTTATTATGAATTGAATTTTATATACAATTGCTGAGAGAAAATAAAGTCAGTTCAATTATTCAAATTTTGAAATCTTTGAAAGTTCGTTATAAGAGATGTAAAATTCATTATATTTAACCTCAACGGGACTCAAAATCAGTTCGCTATATCCGTAAATTCATTATATCAGAGTTCGTTATAACCGTAAAATTTTACAAAGATTTCTTAAGAATTTTGCCGGGGACCCAGAAAAACTTCGTTATATCCGTAAATTCGCTATATCCGTGTTCGTACTAAACGTGTTTTACTGTATCTTTAATTTAGTGTAATCTAATTGTGTGCCAAATTATGTTGAAATCAGACCAAAACTGTATGAGGCGTGGCATTTTGAAAGTATTACAGAGAAATATTTATTTTTAGTAACCACGGCGACATCGTTCATTGAAATCAAAAATCGATAGACTGATTTATCATGTATCTTAGTGTAGTCTACTTGTGTGCCAAGTTATATTGAAATCAGACCAAAAATGGTGCAGGAGTAGCATTTTGAAAAATTGTTTACAGACAGACAGAAAGACGGACACATTACTATCGCATAAGCTCTTCTGGGCTCTGACCAGTAGAGCTAAAAAGAGAGAGAGAGAAAAAAAAGTTTTCAGTATGATGCCTAATATTGAGCTTTGGATAGAGTTCGAATCTTGTGAGAAGTTTTTTCTTTCACATACCTTAATACATACCCGGTAAGTGAAAAATGAAATTGATATATGTAAAAGATGAGACTGTCAATGCAATTATTGAAATATATCTTATCATGAACTTTTTCACTAAAAGTTAAAAGAAAAATTCGCCTCAAAGCGATGAATTGTCCTAGCCTTGGACACTTCTATTCCAAAACCATAAAACAGTCAATATTTGCCCATCCCCCATTAAATATTAAACCTTGAATTCGATGAAAAGAGTACAGAAAATAAGATAATTATGCACATGCATTTTATCAAAGTCTAAAGTAAAAATGGCATTTTATTTCTCATATGGCAGCTAGATACGTATATTCCTCTCTCCAATAAACAAATACCCCCGCCCATTATAATACTAAAACGGTAGAGGAACAATCAAATGCATTACCTCTCGGGAATCAGACTGAGTAAAAAATCTCATGGAAACTATATTATTTTTGTAAGTTTTCTTTTTGATCAGAGTGAAGTGTTATATTAGTACTTATGCAGGCTGCCCCCCCCCCCCCAAAAAAAAAGGAGGGGGGAGAAGAACGGTTTTGTATTCAGGTCGTCCACGTTGTACCATCTGGGGGAGGAAGGGGGCTCTGAATCTGACAGTAATTTTGATTAAGTGTAAAAGACATACTTGAAGACCAGTTTATCCGAACTAGGGTGTTTTATGCCTTAATTACTATTGCCAATTTATACTAAAAGATAGATAAATATTGATTAATTGCGGCTGTATCCCCTAAACAATATTGTACGTATTCGTTCTTTATTCCTGCTAGTCCTGGAATTTTTTGTGGGTTCGTGGCTGTAACCCCACCCCCAATATTTCCTACTAGGACCTTCATAGCTCTAATAAGAGAAAAAAGAGGATTTGCATTCCTTGAATTCGAAGAATTTACCAAAAAGCTAGATGTATGAGTATTAGTTAAAAAAAGAAAGAAAATGAATGTGTCTTTATTTATTTCATAAAACATTTTATGTCGTTTCTGGTATTTAGTGAAAACTTTATACTTTCACTTCTCACCTGCTGTAGATCAATCTACCTGATGGTAGTTCGAAAAGGTTGATATATCCAGGCGCGGGACCAGGAATTGAAGTTAGAGGGGGCGCCAAAAGTGGGCAAGGGGTCTGGGGGCCTGGCTGGATTTTAGAGATTTTATAGGGAAAAAATGAGGTCTACAAAGTATACATATTTACATTTTCTAGACAAAACTGTGAATTTGTTAATTTTGACAATTTTAGGGGGGGGGGGGGGGCGCGCCGGGTGCGCCCCCCCTTAAATCCGCCACTGATATCATCGTATCATGTATGCAAACATGGTTTACGGAAAAGCCATGGTTTTAATAAAGGATGAAGATGTGGAATTTTACTTGTTACAATCATACGTGCGTATTTCGTTTTGTCCATTTTACTGAGCAATGCCAAACAACAACAGTAGCGAACATGAATGATGAAGTATAGATTTCGAATATACCCCCAGTATCTGGATACAACTTCACATTCTTTTTAAGTTCTGTAGCTCTTATTTAGGCCTAGTAATTTTTTTAATATATACTTTTCTTTTGCTCCTACATGATACAGACGTTTTATATGCATGACTTCAAAGAAAAGCTAGTTCAGAAGATGTTTGTTAACCTCTAGTGTGGGATCAACTAATTACAGTAAACTCCCCCCCCCCCCCCAAGAAAAAAAATAATTAAATAGTGGACTTATACTCCTACTAAAGTGTAATTGAACAAATAAAAATCGTAGTATGATACTTTTTATGAAAAAACAAAATCTGTAACCTTATAATTTACAATGGGCAAAAGGGTTGAAATTGAGGAAATTCGGATTAAGTGAAATGTTCTTTTTAAAGTATGAGCACACATCTGCCCCACAATTTTTTTTTCATAAATAGAAACTTATTGATGTTAGTTTTAAACTGAACCCTAAATAAATTTGGGGCAGGCCTGTGCTCTATATAAAATTCGACCATTTTATCCCCAAAAATGTGAAAAATCAAGCAAATTCCTGATTTTCTATGATTTTGGGGCTGTAGATATCAGGTATGCAAGTATGGAACTCCAAGATTTTTTCCACTTTGATAAGCTACAAAACCTAGACTACCTTTTAAGCAAAAAAAATTTGGCCAAAACTTCAGTTTAATTTTGACCATTTTACAGGGCATATTTTGACCCTTCGTGGGCCAAGCTCTTTTATTTATGGTTCATAAAAAGCTTATTATTATATGTGGAAATAATGCTGCTATTGATTTAGGCATACAGTAAATTACAGGCTACAAAATCTTCAAAATGCACATACCATAAATCTGGAAATTTTTGCTGTAGATAAATTTTTAGCAAATTTGCGAGTTCATAGCATTCGCAAAAATATTTTTCTTAAAAATAAATTACCAATAAGAAAATGTAAACTAGATACGATCTCGTTGCGAGCAACGAGAGGTCTTCCGTCCGTTTTAGGAAAAGAACCCCACGTAAAATCGAGCTGAAAAGAGATTCAAAATTTTGGTCACAAGGAGGATTGAAACCACGTCGCCAACCTTAATGCGCTTTTTTTTTTACTTTTATATCCCCAACGCGCTAACCATTAAGCTATTGGGAGTACTGCTCTAAATATACTTGTGTATACCACGGTACATTTGCAACAGTTCACCTGTCTAAGAATTATAAAAAGCATTCATAATTTCACGCCAAACGCCACGAATAAATATTCGCGCCTTTTCTTTGGACTGATCTATTAGATAGGTATGATAGCATCAATTAAATTTTTAAAATAAAACATTCTTAGTGCCTTTATTTTATTTTGACGTTAAGAAAGTATATGTAACAAATTATACACATTACATATCGTATCTAGCCCAGTTACACTAATAAAGCAGTGAAACGGAAATTAAGTTTTATGATTGACACTCAATTGCAACGTACCACTGTAACGTGTCGGATCTGAGCGGTCAGTAGGTCCGTGCTCGGATTACCGAGTTTTACTGGGGATATGATTGAATGCAATATATACAAATAATAATATGACACCTGCCTGGTGTCTTTAAATCAAATGACCTAAGTGCTTTGTATAATTATATATCTTCAGTTAATACCGGCACCTGCCTGGTGCCATATGATAATTGCCTCACTATACTCGTACAACTGACTATATAAGTCAACATCTATCTGCATGGTACCTCTTGATTTAGCCTTTAACATCTGCCTGGTATATAATTGCTTACCAAGTTGCCTGAATATAACTCTAGCCAAGTGGCTACAATATACTTACACAGTATGATTTAACTTTGTAAGAGCTTCTCTGTCCTAATGACAAACCTATAGCTAATGTCACAAAGCTACATTTTAACTAGTCACTGACTACGGCAACTTTGCACAATCCTATTTGATTGATACTGTACCAAAGTGAAGGCACACGCCAGTTGGCTGTACTGCCCCCTTGTACCTCAACTTAATCAATGATCATAAGTTATCAGATATCATATTGATAAAATAAAACAGATTGCCTTTCTTTTGGCAACACTATTATTATTTTCTAACAGAACATCATTTATCAATAATACTTGTATAATTCTTTAGTCAATTGACCAATTAATTACAATATTTACATTGATTATCTATTATAATATAAGCAAATAACGGGAGGTAACTCCTCCAACCATTTCACTACTACGTGAGAGTCGAAGTAGTTTTTTACATTTCATGTTTCCTTATGTCAGAATGGTTTAATCAAACGCTCAGCTGCCTCCATAAACCCCTACTCGCGAAATGGCGGAGTTGACAGAGACAGCCGCCATTTTGGACCCGCTTCAGATTTTTGAATGCTAATATCTAGAGTTTAGATTTATCAACATTCAAACAAATTATATAGTAAGCATTATAAGAAGGACTTCTATTAACATACCAAAAATAAATGAAAAATACTGAAAAACAAAAAAGTTAGAAAATACGATTTTTTTCAATTTGCATCTCGTAACAACCGGAAGTACTGACGACGCACGAGAAGGTGATTCCGCAAACCACAAAGTGACAAACTATCGTCTTCAATAAGTCTCCAGGTCATAACTTCAGCCATTTTCGTGAAAAAGGGGCGACAAAATTGCATTTTAAAATCAGGAAATTGTCCATAACTTGGCACCAGAAGCAAATTTTTCAAATTTCTCTTCGGATGTAACAACTTCATATAATGACACATATTTTGTGAAAGTTTCATGAAAAAACGCTGAATAGTTTTCGAGAAATCGCCTGTACAAAATTTTGTCAAAAAAAAGAATAATAATAAGAATAATAAGAAACAGTAGAATCACTATAAGGTCTTCCGTGAAGACGGAAGACCTTAACAAAACAGTGGTCATTTGCAAAATATTGACAAGTAAAAATTAATCAACAGCATTTTGACCCAAATTCGCAAAATAAAATCGACGTAAAAATTTCCAGATTTATGGTACTATGTGACAGCTGGATGTACAAATGGAATATGTAATCATGCAGTTAAATGTTCTCTGCATACATTTACCTGGTACTTTCAATAGAATAAAAGATGTTTGGGTTAAAAAGTGCTGAATATTCTTCACTCTTTAAATATATGGTTTATATGATCTCATCCAAAGGACTGGTCCCCACAATCCACATCCCACAATGGATTCAAACCCATGACATAAAAGACTAGCTCCTTACTCAAAAACTCTCAGGCAGGCACTCTAACCAATGTGCCACTGGGCGACGGCTGTATTAGAGTCCAAATTTGACAAATCTTTTGGAAAATAGTTTCATTTTCACAAACCCAAACTTGTTACATAAGGCAGCCTAAAATTATGTCATCCAGATTGGGACTTGAATCTGGGACCTCTTGCTAACCTTGCATGTGCATGCTGGAACACTTTTTTTTTTGTGCTCAAACATTTAGGTACCGGGCCCAAGTACCAAATCTTTGTCACACTTGTTACTGAGAAGTATTGCTTTTACTTGTAAAAAAAGTATTAATCTTTTAGTAAACTACCTAGATAATATTTTGTAGTGGGTCATCTCCCTCCACCTACACAGAGGAGGATATAGCCACCCTGGGACTTCTGATTACAGTGGAGGATCCAAGTTCTATTGCTGCCATAAATACAGTAAGAAATCAAGAATTTGATCATAATTCTCTACCAGTATATGTTTCCTTATGGTAAAGTCATACATTGAGTCACTCATTCTTTAAGAATGCCATTGCAACTAGCCCACTGGGACGATACTGAACTTAGCCGATCCGATACACATCACGATATCATAGGTGCGATACGATACATATCACGATACATTCAAAACCAAATAAAACCAGATAATTATTTTTAGAATATTTAATTTCGAACATAGCAGATTATGAGAATAAACCAATTCAACAGAAACCTGACTTACTGCCATCAGATTTTGTTGATTTAACATAATCCGGCGTGTCTGACTCCATTTTGACACATATTTTGAATTCTGTATCACCAAGAAGTTTGTACTTTATTTCTGATTGCTTAAACGTCTTGAAGATACAGACTAAAGGACTGAAAATTTTGAATTCTAAAGCCTGGACATTTTTGGAAATTAAAAAAAGTGAGGTCAGGTATCGTGATACTGAAGTAGATGAATCGATCTGTAGATCGTCAAAGTGAATGCTGCGATGCATCGGTGAATCATCCCACTACTAATTGCAACTAAAAATGTTCAACCTGGTACATGTATAAAACAAAACATTGAACAAAACAATGTCGTCAAATTTGATGTTTTAAAGTTCTCATCAATATAATTAGGGGATAAAACATGGCAAGATGCTGCTACACCGTACTGTACTCAGACCTGTAGGATCAGAAGAACTTGAGCGATAGTAAGGTGTCCATTGTCTGTCCATCTGTCTGTCTAGCTGTCTAAAAATATCCATCAGATTCCAAAGCTGCTCAAGCTTGAACCAACATAATTAAATTACTATATCCCATGATTTTTGAAACCGCAAATCTTAATTGTATAAGTTAATAATGGTATTTATTCATAGGCAATTTGCAAAAATGATGCTTTAAATAATTGTTTTACAGCATTTTCTGAAATAATTTGCATAATCCTGCTTTATTTTTAGTCAGCCTTGTTGGCAGGATACAGTGAATTGTTAAGGGAAAAGAAAGCATTGAAGAAGCTGAGGAAAGACAGAACAGAACGGGGGTTTATTAACGATCTCTCAGAAGCAGAGCAACAGGAAGAGTTAAAGGGTAACAGAGCGCTGGGCAAACTGATCATCCAAACCATTATAGCCTCTAAATCTCTGTCATCTGCCAGGAAAAAGAGACAGACATCAAGTAAGTGCTTCTCAAGGTCACTGGTCAACTGATAGGCACAGCTGACACCTGTTAATCTAACAAAAGATTTATGTCTGGAGTCACAGGGCTAAAGTTTAATTAAAATGATTTTTGCTAAATAATAAAGTGACAATAAGAACCCATGGTCAAAGGTTCCATTGTTCTTAAGAAGTATTGAAAATGACCACTATAGTATGCGTTGTTATACAGTAAAACATGCCTGTAACGAAGTGCCATGGATGGACAATTTTGCTTCGTTATAACCGTTATTTGTTATATCCTTTTAGTTCACGATAATTTTGAAAGTGGATAGGGTTGGATACAGTTTAGCATGAAAAGGTACGACACCATACCGGTATTCTTGAAACGATACTGTATTTTAACGGTACGGTACTATACCTTGATCAATAAGAATCAGAGTTCCTTTTATGACAAATGTGCTTTCACAAATACCCAACCTTTCAATATTATAATCTAAAATTTGTTTATAAACTATGTTTATATTATTTTAACCTTTTAGTAAATGATCAACAAAACAAATAATCTGAAAAATGACAGCAGATTTCTTCTTGCGGTTGCCATTTTGTTTGGTATAGCACTAAACAACATGAACAATGAAACATTAAATTTAAAAGATAGAGATGACATCACAATTTTGCAATGTTTTGCCTTTTTTATTGTTTTTTTTTTTCAGTTATTAATAAGAAAATTGAAACAAGATAAATGTACAAATTCTTTATTTTTTATATATGCATATTGATTTACCTCTTGTTACAGTTAGCACGGAGTATTCAGACTTCCTTTTGTTACAGTTAGCATGGAGTGTTCAGACATCCTCTTGTTACAGGTAGCATGGAGTGTTCAGCCTTCCTCTTTTTACAGTAGCATGGAGTGTTCAGACATGAATCCGGGTCATTTCTCCCCAGTACCTGCTCCGCCTAGGTCATTTCCGCCCAAGTCATCTCTCTCCTGGGTCATAATTCCTCCATTACCCAGGTCATTTCTCTCCACAACCTGGGTCATTTCACTCCAACAGAAAAAATTATAATGTAATAAGTTTAATTTTAATTAGTTTTATTAATTACCATCGTTATTGAATTTAACGCTAACTTTATTTAATTTATTTTATCTTATTTATTCATTTATTAATTCACAGATTTATTTTTTATTTATTTATAAGTTCACACATTTATTGTTTATTTTATTCATAAATTTTAACATTTATGAATTCACTCATTTATTTGTAAATTTATTTTTTTTAGAATTCTTTCGTGGTTTAATTCATTCCTTTATTTATTATTTTTTTAAATTAATTAATTTATTTATACAATCTTGAACTAGCTTTTTAAAAGGGCAGAGGCATATGATTATTTATTTTCATTCATTCATTCTTGTTTTCTTTCTTTCTAATGGAATTAGCTGCAGAACTGTAGCTCTCCGGCCTGTCAAAAAAAAAAAAAAAAAAAATCGGAGAGCTACTGTTATGCAGCTATAATGGAATATAAAACAACTTTAAATGTGATAACAGAAATATTTTATTTTAATCTTCTTTCTTTAACAATTAAATTCATTATCAAGTAGACTTCAAGTGAATTATTGCCCTGTCATCTGTCGTTTATGGTCTTTATCAGGAATAAATATATAATTGTTAGAATTCGTAATTGCCGTCTTGCGGTTTTATGGTACCCTACAAGGTGTTTTTTTTATCATCATGCTGGTGCATATGTTTATCCGTAAACTGTCGATTTCACAGATTGACAACACAATTTCTCCTTTAGTCTTTAGATAAAATATGTCAACTTTTACAAAGATGTGTTCAGTCAGATTATTATATAAATAAGAATTTCCCCCCCCCCCCCCCCCAATTTTTATTACATTGAATAGAAATCTAATTTACATCATCATGGACTGTAATACTTCTTAGCGATCACAATTTTTAGGCAAGATGACGAATCCTAAATTTGTGCATTGTCACAGTCAAGTAAGTTTTAACTAACTTTTTGGACTTCTTTTTTTTTTTTTCAAATAACATATGCTTTATTTTTACGACAGTGGAACCCCCCCCCCCCCCCCACACACTTACACGTTTATTCTTAGAACACGAAATCAATGTACTGATGCATGGACTTTTAATTTAAAATGTCCCGATTGTTACAAAGATTTTTCTGCATTATTTTCTCTGGCGTACATATGTATGTGCATACATGTAATAGACTTCTCATGAATGACTCCTTAATATTAAAACGTAAGTATTGAACAGTCTAAAGATCTAGCTAACATGAGAGTCATATGTCTTTGCCCTTTCAAAAAGCTAGTTCAAATTTGTGTTATAGTTGGAAAATTTTTGTTTGTACTTAAAATTTACGATCTCTGGTATAACAGTGGTACATGTATAACAGTGGAAACTGAACGCAACGGATAAATTGCGTATAAAAATGAGATTTTTTTTTTTTTTTATTGAATCCAAGAATATGTAAAGTTTTAGGGACAGTAAATTATTTGACATCTACTGAGAGCATCAAGATTACTACAATTCCTAAACAACATTTTATACAGTCCTAATAATGTATTCTCTATTTCGTAAATTACAGATTATTCGCAGATTACATTATATTAAAAAAGGAGGAGGGATTTAAATAATTTTTTACAGAGATTCATACATGTAAGGATCGTTTAAATGGTGTAATATACTAGTATTTTAAACATCTTAAAAATTGCAAGCCATTTCCAGCGAAGTTGTGGAGGTGTCTGTTGCCACACCGAGTAAATTCCTTTTCGAAATCTTGTGATTCATTTTTTTAAGAGATATTTTTTCCATTGTTACATTCCCATTAATTCATGTAATTTGGCTACTTTGTACATATGGTATACCTGGTAAATACCTCGGTGTTGCATTTTAGGTTTTTTCATAATATTGATAGCATTTAAAGTCATTGTTTTCTTCGCGTTCTTATTGTTTATAGTTTTATAAATGTACAATTATTCAAAATAAATATTGGTAAATATTTACATACTTTTACTTGTGTAGCTGGTTTCATAATATATATTTTGAAGTATCCTTTGTTTTCTAAAAATTATATTTATATTTTTAGATGTAGAACTGCAGCTCTCCAATAAGAAATGTACATGTATCGACAGACCTACAGTTCTGCAGCTTTTATTTTATGTCATGTCTATTTTCTCCCCTTTTCCTCCTAAGATCAAAAGTGACATAATATAATTTAAAACTGTTTTATTTTTCATTCCTACGTGTGTGTAGCGTCAAACATAATGAAATCAATCAATAAAAGCAAATTTTTATGTATTTTTTTTTTATAAGTTTCGAGTTTGATCATCATCTATATAATATTCAGTTTATAGACAAAATTTCATCACCGGCTAGGGTAAAAATTAATTATTTTGACAAATTTCAAAATCATTACCCTTAACAAGGAGGCATCCACATGGCAAGGGCTGGACAATGGTATCAATTTATTATTATTAATAATAAATATTTAAAGAACTATATGCGGTATATTGCATATGTTTGCCCCCACAAAAGTCAAATTTTGAAAACTTCCTGAAATGTGCTGAATTCAATAAATTGTACGAGAAATATAAGTAATATAAGAAAATATTATAGTTCCAGAGCAGTGTATTCACAATTTCTGTTTTTATGACGTCACAAACTAGTCCGATTTTATATCCTTTTTCAGAAAGAGGACAAAATGGACAAAATTTCAACAATTTAAGCTTTAAAATTTATAGAGCGCATGTGTGTTCAGGAACAATATTGACATATTTCATTGATATTATCATTCTATACATTATATCAAAATATTTATCCTGAACACACATGCGCTCGGTGACTTTTATTTAAAATATCGACGAAATATGTACATTTTTCTGCAAAATTCATAAAAAACTGAAATTTACGTCATATTTGTGACGTCATTACGTACATATGACGTCATTACTTATGAAATTATTCAGTGCTTTGAAGTCAGCATATACTCCCCTGTTTAAGGACTTAATTAAATATTACTCCATCAAAGTTTGATTTTGGGGGGCAAATGTTGGTTAATACCGCATATAGTTCTTTTCCCATGTACAATGTAAATAGAATTCCGAAACACTTTCTCTCGTTCGATTTTTATTGGTCATAAATAGATAAAATTAATTTATTTTACAAGATAAAAGTTAATAACACAAGAATTAATTTGTAAATAATTATATAAGACCAGATTAAAAATGGGTTGAAATGACCCAGGTAGGAGAGAGAAATGACCTACCGTGAAATGACCTACCGTGAAATGGTGGGAGAGAGAAATAACCTGGGAGAGAAAAAGTTTCAGAGAGAAGTGACCTGACACCTTCAGACATTCTCTTGTTACAATAGCATGGAGTGTTCAGACATCCTCTTGTTACAGGTAGCATGGAGTGTTCAGACATTCTCTTGTTACAATAGCATGGAGTGTTCAGACATTCTCTTGTTACAATAGCATGGAGTGTTCAGACATCCTCTTGTTACAGTAGCATGGAGTGTTCAGACATCCTCTTGTTACAGGTAGCATGGAGTGTTCAGACATCCTCTTGTTACAGTAGCATGGAGTGTTCAGACATCCTCTTGTTACAGTAGCTAGAGTGTTCAGACATTCTCTTGTTACAATAGCATGGAGTGTTCAGACATCCTCTTGTTACAGTAGCTAGAGTGTTCAGACATCCTCTTGTTACAGGTATCATGGAGTGTTCAGACATTCTCTTGTTACAGTAGCTAGAGTGTTCAGACATTCTCTTGTTACAGTAGCTAGAGTGTTCAGACATCCTCTTGTTACAGGTATCATGGAGTGTTCAGACATCCTCTTGTTACAATAGCATGGAGTGTTCAGACATCCTGTTGTTACAGGTATCATGGAGTGTTCAGACATTCTCTTGTTACAGGTATCAAAAAGTGTTGGCTTTAAGGTAAATATATCCATCCAATCACAGGTTACAAAACTAATGAGCATGAATGTGAAGCGTGGATAGTCACTGCACACTCAGCATAACAGCGGCAAAATGTCAGAATCGTAGTGTTTGATATATTTTTAAGTCAACTCAGTCATTTTAAAAATTGACATGACATTTATTAGAAAAAAGTATCAATTTCAGATTAACTTTTAATGAAAGATTAAATAAAATAGACGAAACAGTAGTCAAAGTGATTGAATGTTATGCGGAGGGCCACAAGGAAATTGAGGTTCTGTCAGCCCCTTGTTTTGAGAGGGTTTAAGTATGTATTATCTTTGACAGTTGTTTCAAAGCATTGAAATACGGCTTGAAGATTGTTCTGAAACTTATTTTTATGACAGTCTCGTTTTCTTCTACATGTAACGACTGAACATACACTGTAGAAAGTGGCGTGACTGAGGAAATTCGAGTCATAAATTTCACTCGTTAATTCATATTAATCACACTTATTACGATTCAAAATGGAATTTTGCTTGTTATGTAACAAACTAATGTACATCAATGGAGTAAAAACAGCTTTCTTTTGGAAAAAATTTTTACCAATAGGGAAAAACAAAGCCTCAGATGATACGTCCATACAAATATGGCCTGATTTTTTTATTCAAAGGTTGTGGATTAGAACAAGTTTTAAGAAATATTCGAATTCTGCAGTAAACAGAGTAATTGTCATTGCCTTTTTTACAGGTAGTTTTCACCTTGCGTCTTTTTATACTGCTTTTACAAAATAAAATTATTCACTGTTTAAATTCTTTGTTTTTACGCATACGGACATATTAAAATTAAAAAAAAAAATAGGGAACACCACAGAAAAAGAATTAACTTGAACTTTGAGACTTAATTTCTAATTTCTTAATTGCTAGATTTCGCTTATATTGAATTACGGATATATTGAAATAATTTGCCTGGTCCCCTGAATTTCAATATATCCGGAGTAGGCTGTACTTATGGTAAATACATGCATTTTCTACAATCATGTACGTTGAAAGTTGTAGCTTTGAGGAATATGTTTTCAAGTGAATGATAAGATATGTTTTATGCACCTATGTGTATATTGATTTGAATTGCATTGAAAAAGGTACACAGATTTTCTTTTGATTAGTCTCACTTGTGAAATTATTTAACTGATCCATTAAAAGCCTTTCTATATTCTTGCCATATGATAACTACTCATAAATCCTCAAATCTTATTATTTATTGAATACCCAAAAAATATATATATGATAAAAATGTTTTGCATGCATTAATCTTTTCAAATAACACCTTTTTCTGCCAAATTTAGGTAATAAAACAATTCCATTCTTAATTTAAAAAATAAAAAAAATTGTTACATTTTTTCGTTTTATTTGTATTTTTCTGACCGACTGCTTGAATTTGAAGATTTTATTTTTATTTTTATTTCGACCCCCGACTCAATTTTTTGAAAAAAATTCCAGTAAAACAGTAAATAAAAAAATGTTGGCCTTACAGTAGCATGGAGTGTTCAGACATCCTCTTGTTACAGGTAGCATGGAGTGTTCAGACATCCTCTTGTTACAGTAGCTAGAGTATTCAGACATCCTCTTGTTACAGGTAGTATGGAGTGTTCAGACATCCTCTTGTGACAGGTAGCATGGAGGCTCAGACATCCTCTTGTTACAGTAGCATGGAATGTTCAGACATCTTCTTGTTTCAGGTAGCATGGAGGCTCAGACATCCTCTTGTTACAGTAACATGGAGTGTTCAGACATCCTCTTGTTACAGTAGCATGGAATGTTCAGACATCCTCTTGTTACAGTAACATGGAGTGTTCAGACATCCTCTGGTTACAGTAGCATGGAATGTTCAGATATTCTCTTGTTGCAGTAGCATGGAATGTTCAGATATTCTCTTGTTGCAGTAGCATGGAGTGTTCAGACATTTTTTTGTTACAGGTAGCATGGAGGTTCAGACATCCTCTTGTTACAGTAGCATGGAGTGTTCAGACATCCTCTTGTTACAGGTAGCATGGAGTGTTCAGACATCCTCTTGTTACAGTAACATGGAGTGTTCAGACATTCTCTTATTCCAGTAGCAAGGAATGTTCAGATGTCCTCTTGTTACAGTAGCATGGAGTGTTCAGACATCCTGTTGTTACAGGTAGCATGAAGTGTTCAGACATTCTCTTGTTACAGTAGCTAGAGTGTTCAGACATCCTCTCGTTACAGGTAGCTTGGAGTGTTCAGACATCCTCTTGTTACAGTAGCTAGAGTGTTCAGACATCCTCTTGTTACAGGTAGCATGGAGTGTTCAGACATCCTCTTGTTACAGTAGCATGGAGTGTTCAGACATCCTCTTGTTACAGTAGCATGGAGTGTTCAGACATCCTCTTGTTACAGTAGCATGGAGTGTTCAGACATCCTCTTGTTACAGTAGCTAGAGTGTTCAGACATTCTCTTGTTACAGTAGCTAGAGTGTTCAGACATCCTCTCGTTACAGGTAGCTTGGAGTGTTCAGACATCCTCTTGTTACAGTAGCTAGAGTGTTCAGACATTTTCTTGTTACAGGTAGCATGGAGTGTTCAGACATCCTCTTGTTACAGTAGCATGGAGTGTTCAGTCATCGTCTTGTTACAGTAGCATGGAGTGTTCAGACATCCTCTTGTTACAGTAGCATGGAGTGTTCAGACATCCTCTTGTTACAGTAGCATGGAGTGTTCAGACATCCTCTTATTACAGGTAGCATGGAATGTTCAGTCATCGTCTTGTTACAGGTAGCATGAAGGTTCAGACATCCTCTTGATACAGGTAGCATGGAGTGTTCAGACATCCTCTTGTTACAGGTAGCATGGAATGTTCAGACATCCTCTTGTTACAGTAACATGGAGTGTTCAGTCATCCTCTTGTTACAGGTAGCTAGAGTGTTCAGACATCCTCTTGATACAGGTATCAAAAAGTGTTCAGACATTTTGTTGTTACAGGTATCATAAAGTGTTCAGACATCCTCTTGTTATAGGTATCTTAAGGTATCACACCGGTAATTGACCAATCAAAATGAACTTAGTCAAATGTAGGTCCATACATATAAAATTATTTTTCTTTTCCTTTGAGGCGTTTTTCTATTTTCTTCCAAGCCATTTTTACAACTTTGGTACCTGTGCCTAGTAAATTTTATGTACTTTGTGAATAAATAAAGGTTTTTGACAGAAACTATTTTTCTCAGGGCATAGGAGGCTACTTCCTGTGATGCACTCGAGGTGTTTATAAACAAAGTGAAAACACGTGGATTTGAGGGTAGCCCTGTGTGCAGATGGAAAAAGTCCGAAAATGCCGTGTGGGTACCCTGTTTTTTGGTGTCAGCTAATGTGACAGGTAATGTTTAATACCTGCTGCTAAATATTTTTTCATGTAAACAAATACCTGATTTTTAACAATTTTTTATGCTATATAGAATTATATAGTGAAAACAAGATGTGATACCTTCAAGTGTTCAGACATTCTCTTGTTACAGGTAGCATGGAGTGTTCAGACATCCTCTTGTTACAGGTATCATATAGTGTTTAGACATTCTCTTGTTACAGGTAGCATGGAGTGTTCAGACATCCTCTTGTTACAGTAGCTAGAGTGTTCAGACATTCTCTTGTTACAGTAGCTAGAGTGTTCAGACATCCTCTTGTTACAGGTAGCTTGGAGTGTTCAGACATCCTCTTGTTACAGTAGCTAGAGTGTTCAGACATTTTCTTGTTACAGGTAGCATGGAGTGTTCAGACATCTTGTTACAGTAGCATGGAGTGTTCAGTCATCGTCTTGTTACAGTAGCATGGAGTGTTCAGACATCCTCTTATTACAGGTAGCATGGAATGTTCAGTCATCGTCTTGTTACAGGTAGCATGAAGGTTCAGACATTCTCTTTTTACAGTAGCATGGAGTGTTCAGACATTCTCTTGTTACAGTAGCTAGGGTGTTCAGACATCCTCTTGTTACAGTAGCATGGAGTGTTCAGACATTCTCTTTTTACAGTAGCATGGAGTGTTCAGACATTCTTTTGTTACATTAACATGGAGTGTTCAGACATTCTCTTTCTACAGTAGCATGGAGTGTTCAGACATTCTCTTGTTACAGTAGCTAGAGTGTTCAGATATTCTCTTGTTACAGTAGCATGGAGTGTTTAGACATCCTCTTGTTACACTAACATGGAGTGTTCAGACATCCTCTTGTTACAGTAGCATGGAGTGTTCAGATGTTTTCTTTTTACAGTAGCATGGAGTGTTCAGACATCCTTTTGTTACAGGTATCATAAATTGATCAGACATTCTCTTGTTACAGTAGCATGGAGTGTTCAGACATCCTTTTGTTACAGGTATCATAAATTGATCAGACATTCTCTTGTTACAGTAGCATGGAGTGTTCAGACATCCTCTTGTTACAGGTAGCATGAAGGTTCAGACATTCTCTTGTTACAGTAGCATGGAGTGTTCAGACATCCTCTTGCTACAGTAACATGGAGTGTTCAGACATCCTCTTGTTACAGGTAGTATGGAGTGTTCAGACATCCTCTTGTTACAGGTAGCATGGAGTGTTCAGACATCCTCTTGTTACAGTTAACATGGAGTGTTCAGACATCCTCTTGTTACAGGTAACATGGAGTGTTCAGACATCCTCTTGTTACAGGTAGCATGGAGTGTTCAGATATCCTCTTGTTACAGGTAGCATGGAGTGTTCAGACATCCTCTTGTTATAGGTAGCATGGAGTGTTCAGACATCCTCTTGTTATAGGTAGCATGGAGTGTTCAGACATGCAGGATATGGATGCTGAGACCCTGTCTACCCTGTCTGTGGAGGTGATAACTGGGCTGTCAGATGTTGAGTTTCAGGACTGTGCTTCAGTGCTTGGCTCAGTGCCAGGTTACAGCATGGCACAACTAGAGGCTCTAGCAGCAGTTGCTAAGAGGGTATGGTTTAAAATTTTTCTTTTACAAGTATATATATATGACCAACTAAAAGACTGTTTATAGAAGAAATGTCTAGAATTGAGGTTTATGGATACTGAGGAAGTATTAATTGAATTGACTCTGAAAATTGGTTTTAGCCGATACATAAACCAATAGAAAGAACCTCAGTACTGTTAATATATCTAGTATACAATATAACAGATTATTTATACAGCCAGGTGTGTGGGGCTCTCCCACCAGTTGGACATCAGAGAACATTCAGGATGCAGCAGTCATTGTACAGGGGCTGACAGTGACAGAAATCAGTCAGATGTCTATAGATCTTAATGCAGCCAGCAAATTAGGAGAGTTCACCACCTGGAGTCAAGACAAGGTTTTCTTACTGTAAATCACTTTTTATTTGCGAGAACTTAATATTCGCGTAATTATGGGAGACAGTATGCTCGCAAAAATTTCATTCTCACATATAATAGAATTAAGATAACATGTCTGCATATTTGTAGAGCAATGACCACAATTCGTGAAAATTTTGTCTCGCTTATAAAAAGTCAATGACTATCTCGCGAAAATAAGGTGTCACGAAAATTAATTGATCTACAGTATGTAGATTATATGAATTTTTTTTTTAAAGTTTCTCTTTTTTAATTAAAGTCAATGCATCCTAGTATCTCTGTTAGATTAATTATTTATGCATTTTATTTCTACTTTTTTTTTAAAAAACTAATTAGTATATTTCAACCAAACATTGGCTTTTTCTTTACTTTGCACAAAACATCAGATTCAATTTTGACCTTTCAAAGGTAGATAATTTAGTGTAATATGGGAGAGGAGAAAAATGCAGTAGACCAGACCGGGATATGAACCCAGGCCCCTGAATCTGAGTCAGGTGCTCTACTGACTGAGCTATCTGGCCACTGGCGATCGAACCCAGCTACCGCCACATTTCTCCCTCCTTAGAGGTCTTTGGTCCCTCAAAGACCCCAACCTGGGCTCATCCCTGTCAGGCCTCTCATCTGTCAGATCCTGGCCTGGGGGCCATAAAACTTAGATGACCTCACTTTTGATCTTAATCTCACTTTTTCCAAAAAAATTAAGTAGTGGAAAAGTGAGACTGAGATCAAAAGTGAGCTTGTTCAAGTTTTATGGCCCTCAGGCCTGGTCATGGCACCAAATGTAACAGGAGAAGAGAAAAAAGCAGTGGACCATACTGGGATTTGAACCTGGGCCCCCTGAATCTCCAGTCAGGTGCTCTACTGACTGAGCTATCTGGCCACTGGTGATTGAACCCACAGACTTCCACAATGTTTTTTTAGTTAAAAATGGAATTTATTTCACTTATGAGACTTATTTTCCTGATTTTTTTTCATTTGTGCTTGGCATTTGTAAAATAGAAAAAATTCTGTCCCCTCATAAAATAAATTTCATATTGAACCACAAAACATACATTTAAATATTTGTTTATAGCTTAAATCAACAAAAGCTTCTTGGAAAGCTGTTGATTTATTCCTCAAATGTGCTTCAAAAAATGTATAATTAAGAAAAGTAATGTTATAATACTTATACACATCTAAACTTCTCTTCCAGAAAAGTGCCATTTTCAACAATGTTCTGTCTCAGCTTCAGTACCAGACAGTTGGTGAGTTGACGGCGTCTGATCTCAGATCACTGGGTCACATTCTGTGTGGAGCCACAGCAGACCAGTTAGCCACACTCACTGCTGCTGCTTACGGGTTAGTACATAAGACCTGCAATAAAGCTCAGAGAAGAAAAACAGTCTGTGTTATTGGCTATCCTAAAAATAAAAAACATTACACAAAATGTCAATTGTATTTTTAACTTGACAGTTCAGCTGCTGATGATGTTGGAAAGATAACCTCTTGTAGCAGTGACCAGATCTCTGAACTGACAAAAATAGCCAAGGCTTACTTTGGGTCTGATGCCAGCCAATGGAATGCCTCAGTAATCACATCTTTAGGTGTAGTTATTGGTAAATATTTCCATTTCTAATATTTCTCTCTATAATAACTCTTTGAAAGTTAGCGGAGTTAATTTATTGATAATTTTACTGGAATGTAAATTAGGCAGGTCAATAGGTCAGGAGCTTGTTATGCATAAATTATCCCATGTTTCCAACTATTGTTGATGTCCCTGGCATACTATACTAACTAGACAGTGATTCCTTAAATATTCACATTTCTGTTTGTTTTTTTCTGTGAAAACTCTTTGAAAGTTATAAGTACGTGAGTTGATTTTTTTATGAGTTGAACTATGTTCAATCTCCCTTGGTCATCATGCATTTAACATGCACAGTAATTTGTGTTGATTATATAGAACCAAAAGCCAGGCTACTGTGTCGACCAATTTACTCCGATGATATTCAACAGCAAATATGCATAAACATCCGCCACAAATAGTTCATGTCTTTTTCTCCTGAATTGATCTAATTTTTATAATTTGAAATGTAAGTAATTGTAATGATAAAGTAATCAATTTATGCACAACAGGCTTTGCCCAATTTGCAAATTAGCCCATGTTTCCAACTCAACAAACTAGACAGAGATTCCTTAAGAACATATCGATAGAGTAAGGTATTCACAACTATAGGACTTGGTGTAGTTATTGCTAAGTACATACTGATAGAATTAGGTAATCACATCTTAAAGAGTTAATAGTTATAGGTGCATTCCCCCTTTCTTCTTCCTTTACTTTGAATATATGTATTCCTACTTCCTTTCTTAAAAATGCATTCAGTATTTAGTTACTCCTGTTTTGGAGGTGGATTACCTTGCATATATATTTACTATATTTGTACAGGTTAAATATTTTTTCTTGTAAAGTTGCATTGTTGTTTTAATATTCTGCTTCACTACAGATAAATCTTGTTTCAACATGCTATTTGATCAGATGAAAAATTAGTTTATATCATAAGTCCCATGTTCTAAGTCATAAACCAATTGATTTGATATTATATTCAATTTTTATTGAATTTGATGGAACAGCCTAATAGGTTATAATGCCTCAACTGTATGAACCCATGTACTGGTATAACTTGAATAAGATTTAAATTCTTTACTTAACTAATAAGTTTTATTTATTGTGATACTGACAATTTTAGGGGGATTGCAAACTGCAGAAATTTCATCTTTTGGAGAAACACAATTGAATGCCATTGAAGCAAAACATATTCAGTATTTACCCAAGACATTTATTTCGGTAAGACAAATTTGTTTTTGTTTTTTAATCAAGCTACATAAAATGGTAGATGAATGTGAAGCATACCTTTTTATATGCCTATGAAAAATGAAAATGACAGTTTAATTATAATTTGACCTTGATATCACATTTAAATGATTTTTAGCCGGGCTTATTGCTCAAAGAGCAATTGCCGGCTTATGTCGATCATCCTGTTCAAGGCAGGAAGTTGACCCCATAGTCACCATTTTAAAGTTACGTGCAAAAATATAATTCTTACTCTCAACCGCTTTTGAGATAATACAAAAGCTAAATAAAACAACAAAAATAAAACGAAGTTTAATCTATATAAATAAACAGTAGTAGTAATGACTTTGAAAACTTCAGTCCTAAGTCAAAGAACATAGTTCATTAGCGTAAGGATTTTTGTTAACCAATGTTATCGTAGTTCTCTATACATACGAGGTAAAGCAGGAGAGGGAACCAGACTGGCCTGTTTGTTTACATTCAGCTGCGGTTCCAGATTAATTCTGATTCTGACAAAATCGGACCGTGGTATTAGGATTGAAAAACTCACTGTCAGTGTCTTATCATTTATATTGATAGTTTTAAAATAATTTTTTCATCAAAATATAAACGTGATTCATGTAAGAAATTCATTCTACTCTGTAAATGAGCCCGGCTTTCTGTACTTCTGAGTACTTTGATAAATCTTCTCAAAACTCAACTGTCATTAAGGGTCATAAACCCTCTGCTCACTCATATAAAATGTTGCTTGAACCTTAATAATTTTCCAAAAGAAATGTATGTATTTTATAAGTAAAATACAAACAATTATAGCATAGCTTGCGGGGCAAAATTGGACAAAAAAGACACTTCAACTTCGCAAATCTATAAAGGAATAATCGACATTTATGTCATTTAGAGTTATCTCTCTTATCAGAGTATCAATGAACCTTAAAATTGTGCCTTCTCAAGAGTAGCTGTATTTCAATTCAAATATCTAAACCTAGAATTTCTATTTCAAATACACTTGTCTTCTGTTCAACAAATACATTTTAATCCAAGAAGACTGTTTGCTAAGCCTCATTTATTGAGCAAGTGGATAAGTTTCCAAAGTAATATCAAGACACAAACATAGCCAAATTAAGAACTATACTTCTAATTGCAGAACAATGAAATGTCATATAAGGAAAAATTTTAGTGAGAAATCAATTTTCCCATTTTTAGCAAGGGTGTTGATTTAAATGTGCTAGAATTTATTCTACATAGGAGGTAACTGCTTTATCTCTTTGTGCAATAAAATCACTAAAATAACTTTTTGCTAACATTGAATTTGAATAGCTTGACTGAAATTGAAAACCGAATTTTAACGATAAATTGCCAAATTTGCATCTCACTAAAAATTCCAATTATATGGTACTTGGACAAATTTGGCATATTAAAAATTAGGCCCCTATTTATTACAATTTTTGATAATATTTATCTAGATATAGAAAATAAACGTTATAATTATATCTATACTGTTTATGCATTTTGTGACTCCTGACATTCCGTAGTCCCTGAGTCATGATCAGCTGAGATACCTGAGTATGGAGCAGGCCCTGGCCGTTACTGTAAATCAGCTGTGTGAGTTAGATCAGGATAAACACACCGTACTGGAGACAGTGGCAGGACAAACTCTAGACACCAGTTCCTGTGTAAAGCAAAGTAAAACCCTTCTCTGTATCAAACAAGGATTTAATGAATTATCTTTTTGATGTAATCAAATTTTTCAGTTGAATTAAGCTCCCTTTCACTTCAGTAATTCACAATGCAATATATTTCAAATTAATAAAAAAATCAATTGATGTAGAACTATACTACAATTTTAGTTCCACTTTTGACAAATTTTAACAAATTTCAGACTTGATTTGATACAAACCTAATTGATATTTTCAATGCAAAAGAGTGAAATGTTTGAAGAACACTCCTTTAGTACAAATTAGATATGCATTAGTTATAATATTTCACATAAAGATGTAATTTATAGCAATTTAAATCTGTTTCTTAAATCCTTGAACAGGTTCACACAGTGTCTGTAAGTATTGCATTTTATAATGTTAACTTTTATTTAAACCAATATTTCATTTTTAAAGGTTAATGATGGAATTGTACTTCTTTAAACACATTATAATTGAAGTGTTTATATACACATGTTATAATTATGTTATTTTGATTTGGTCAAATGAATCAATATTAAAGAATTACTGTAAATAATGAAATGAGCATGCTGCAGGGTCCACCCCTAATGAAGAAGAGGGGGGTATTCTGTTTATCCTTGTGCGTGTCTGTCTGTCTGTCAGTGAAGCTGCCCATAAATAATTTTTGTCAGAGTTTTCTCGGCAACTTCTCATCACAAATGTTTGAAATTTAAGCACACTCTTTGTTTAGGCATGCGATATGGTTGGATTCATTTTTTTGTTGGAATCTGATGTCATCTTCCTTGCATTAATTATTGAAAATTTGTATACTGATTACTTCAGATCATAATTAAAAGTGCATTATATGCTGAAAATGCTGATATTACCATAATAAATTTCTGAAAATATCTTTCAGACACTTATCTCAGAAGTGTGCTACATTGAAGATTGTGTCTCAACTTCACCAATAAAATCTCCACTTCTTAAAGTCTTCAGGCTTTCTGGAATACTGTGTCATTTATTGCATACTGTCCGTCCCTGTCCTATCTTTAACCTTGTTGATACCCTTCTGATAAGCATCCTAGAAAACTTCTGTTTTCTGGGGGGTTTTTTGAACTTGTGAATGAATGGAATGAATATTGGCGACATGATTTGAAAAAAAAAAACAGCTTTACAATTCAGCACTGAGTGTATAAGTCAAGTCCATTTTGAGAAATATTCAAATTATGACATCAGCATTTATAGAACAATTAATCATTACAAGACCATGATTTCCTTGACTTTTTCACATGGATCAAAAATGCAGGGTTCGATGTTTAAAATGATATAATGGTTGAAATAGAAATATGTTAGGTAAGAAAAATAATTAGATCTCAAAATGTAACATATATTATGAAACACCCTGTACTTTGTAAAAAAAAATCTTATTATATAATTACAGAATTTTTTTTTAATCTCCTAAATGAGTAAGATCTTAAATCTTTAAGTGACTGTAAATAAATAAAATTTTGTCAGAGTTATGTTAAAATACACATTGCCTATTTCTTCTTTTTTTTTCTTGTAGGTTTGGTGCAGCACAGTATTACAGCCTCCCTTAGTTTAATCCTTATCATTATGAACATACTCTTATGACCAATCATATAAGTATCTTAAAGCAATGTAAAGGATGAATGATTGTAATAAACTGTTTTTTTTGTGTGTGAAATAACACTTTAAGACAGACTTACTACTGAAGAATGTCATCAACATGTATTAAAATTAGTTTAATTAAAAGTAATAAAGAGAAAGACTAAAACTTTTTTGACTTTTCAGCACATTTTTTTGTTTAATAAATTACTACTAGGGGCCTATATACTCCCTGGTCTGTCATTGGTGTAAAAAATAGATATGTAAATATGAAAGCCCTAGCATCACCTGTTCAAAAGTTATATTTGAAAGCTTAAGATAGGTCACACTCCAGGGTCAAAGTTGTTGATTTCTTAAGAAAGGTCTTGTCACAGGGATTACAAATGTGAAGTATTAAAGCCCTAGCCCTAACCATTCAAATGTTATGGCCAAGGTTAAAGTTTTTAAAAGGAAGGACAAACTGAAAGGTCAAGGCCAAAGGGTCAAAGTTCTTGATATCAAATGAAAGGTTTTGTCACAAGGATTAAATATGTGAAGTATGAAAGTCCTAGCCTTAACCCTTCAAAAGTTAAAATTAGGTCAAACTCCAAGGTCAAAGTTCTTGGTAACCAATGAAAGGTCTTCTTGCAAGGATTACATACTAGTATGTGAAGTATGAAAGATCTAGCCCTTACCATTTAAAAATTATGGCCAAGTTTAAAGTTTTTCACAAGTATGGAAATCTCCAAGGTCAAAAGGTCAATGTTGTTGATATTCAATGAAAGATCTTGCAACAAAGAATAAAACAAGCAAATTCAAAGAATTGTGGTCCCCCGCTTTTGGTGTCTTTTTTGGGGTGAGATGTCATTTTTTTTATGACATTTTGTGTGTAGTATGAACGCCCTATCATAAGTCATCTATTTAGAAATTATCACTGAACTCCAAGGTCAAGGTCAAAGGGTTAACGTTCTTGGTATCCAATGAAAAGTCTTCTCAAAAGGATTACATATGTGAAGTATGAAAGCCCTAGCCCTTACCATTTATGATCAAGGTTAAAGTTTTCTCATAAGTACAAAAATCTCCAAGGTCAAGGTCAAAAGGTCAAGGTTGTTGGTATCAAATGAAAGGTCTTGCCACAAAGAATACATATGTGAAATATGAAAGTCCTGGTATTTACTGTTCAGAAGTTGTGGCAAAGGTCAAAGTTTTTTAAAAGTAGGTCAAACTCCAAGGTCAAGGTCCAAGGGGCAAAGTTCTTGGTATTCAATGAAAGGTCTTCTCACAAGAATTATATATATGAAGTATGAAAGCTCTAGCCCTTACCATTCAAAAGTTATGGTCAAGGTTAAAGTTTTTTTTATAAGTATGGAAATCTCCAAGGTCAAGGGCAAAAGGTCAAAGTAGTTGGTATCCAATAAAAGGTCTTGCTACAAAGAATACATATGTGAAATATGAAAGTCCTAGTACCTTCCATTCAGAAGTTATGGCCAAAGTAAAAGTTTGTAATTTTTGTGTAAAAGTGGGTCAAACTCCAAGGTCAAGGTCAAAAAGTCAAATTTGGTGGTACCAAAAAAAGGTCTTGTCACAAGGAATACACATATGAAATATGAAAGCCATAGCTTTACTAAATCAAAAGTTATGGGCAAGGTTAAAGTTTTTGTGACGGACGGACAGCGGGGAAGAGGGGAACAAATATGAGGAATGAAAATCCTAGTATCTACCGTTCAAAAGTTATAGCCAAAATAAAAGTTTGGAATTTTTGTGTAAAAGTAGGTCAAACGGTCCAATTTGGTGGTACCCGAAGTAAGATCTTGCCACAAGGAGTACACATGTGAAATATTAAAGTCATAGTTCCACAAAATCAAAAGTTCTGGGCAAGGTTAAAGTTTTTGCGGACAAACAGACAGACAGCTAGACAGGCGGACGGACACGACAAAAACTGTATACCCCCGAATCTTCGATTACGAGAGCATAAAAAACTAGAGCAAAGCTCGTTGCATAGCAACGAGTAGGTCTTTCGTCCTGTTTGCCCGGAAGTAGCTTTCATTTTTCACAGAAATGAGAAATGACGCCCCAAAATGCTTTGAATCCTCTAAAGCTATGTTAAGTAATGCAAAAATAAGCCATTTTTGCTACTTCCAGTTTGACCGGAAGTGACGACGACGCACGGAAAATTAATTTTTAAGCTCCCAGAGACATATGTTACCCATAAACTTGTCAAAAGGGGCAAAAATACGCGTTTTCCGACTACTTCCGGTTTGGCCGGAAGTAACGACGCTGGAAGTATTTTGACGACTCCATTAGATTAAGCTTGACATTTTGAACAACTTTGCTTCTATGATGTATAACAAATTCTCAATACATTTTGAGATATCTGTAAAAAAAAATTTGGCCCCTGTAAATCCCTTAATTTAGGGGTCAGTCCTTTTTCCGACATATCATTTGAAAGATCTTCTAATTCTGCAAAAATTATGTTCTATATATTTTAACAAAATATTTTAGTTTAGAAGATAAAAAGCAAAATATGTGTAATTTTTGGTTCTTGTAAGCGTTCTAATTTTTGACCCTATATAGCGCCATTTTGAATAGAGAAATCGAAAAACAAAAACCGATGTGCACAACTTCAATCCTTTCAATATCTAAAATCAGTAGAATTTCTGGTCCAGCTTTAGCCGTCTCTGAGCCTTTGTCTGGAAACGAAAGCCTATAAATTTTCGTTTAAAGGGAAATAACTCAAAACTGGAAGTGACTTTTTGAAATTTTAGTCAGCATTCTGATAGAGTTTATAAACGTCTATAGCCTCTGAAAATTTGAGCGAAATCTGTTGAGAAATAAGTGAGATATGAGGCCTCAAAGTTGCGGTCTAGGAAGTAGAAGAAAACAAGCTAATTCAGAGAATTTGTGTCCCCCGCTAAGGGAAAAGTAAACCATGCGCAGTTCGGGGGTCGGGGGGTCGGATCCCCTTCACTGAATTTATAGAATTATTAAATGTATACAAATGTATGCATACAATGTAAGCATATAAAATATGCCAATATGGATATAGAGATTTGATGGATTATTCTTTATTATGTGTGTAGAAGATTCTTTTTTATATGGAATATTTATCACACTGTAATGATGATATTATGAGTTTGTACAAGCCAGACCTCACAAATTTTTCATTTCACATGCTGAATACTATCGTTTAGTAAAAAAAGAAAAGTATTTCGAAAAAAAAAATTGGTCATCGTCAAAGGTGCGATAAGCCCTCTCCCATTTAAAGCGAGAGACATACCACTAGACCACGGAGCCGCTGCAACACGGCGCCAAATGTATACAAACATGAAGTGACATACATGTATATATTCACGTTCGATATTGTCAAAATTTTACACAATGCATGGTGTCTAATTTAACCTTTATTAAACAGTTCTAATAGATGTAATAAGAATATAAAGTCCACCGAGAACCTGTTTTATACATAATAATTCTCCTCATGTCCCTGTGCTAAAAATAGCGACATGTAATACAATAAATACTAATAAAAGAAACGGGGCGGGGTACTTTGAGAGGAGTGAGAGAGGTCCTAGGGAGTTTTGGTATAATATTACATTGCAAAAGCTCAAAATCTTCCTGAAATATCGCCCGAAAATGATAGTGTTTCATACAAACAGAATATATAAATTTACGACCTTGAACTTTGACCTTTTGACCTCAAAATCAATAGGGGTCTTTCTTAGACCACAGGGAGTTGTTATGTAAAATATCATTGCAAAAGCTCAAAGGGTTCTCGAGATATCGTGTGGAAACGAAAGTGTTATAACAGACAGAATTTGCTTATTTATGACCTTTGACCTTTTGACCTCAAATCAACAGGGTTACTTACTCATTAGTCCATAGGGAGTTGCTATGCTAAATTTCATTGCAAAAGTTCAAAGGGTTCTCGAGATACCGTGTGGAAACGAAAGCGTTACAGACAGACAGAAAGACGGACGGACAAACACAAATTAATATCCCCCACTTTTCAAGCGGGGGACAAAAAAGAATAATAATCTTTACCATCAGAATCAGTAGAAGGTCTTCCGTTGGAAACGGAAGACCTTAACTATTTGTTTAAAATATATCTAAAAGTACTCTTCGATCCTTACTTGACTTTTTTTGTCCCCCGCTTGAAAAATGGGGGATATTAATTTGGGTTTGTCCGTCCTTCCGTCCGTCCGTCTTTCTGTCTGTCTCTAACGCTTTCGTTTCCACACGATATCTTGAGAACCCTTTGAGCTTTTGCAATGAAATTTAGCATAGCAACTCCCTATGAACTAAAGAAGACCCCTATTGATTTTGAGGTCAAAGAGTCAAAGTTCAAGGTCGTAAATTTATACATTCTGTCTGTGTGTAACACTATCATGATTTCAAAAAGATTTTGGAGCTTATGCAATGTAATTTTATCACAAAACTCCCTAGGACCTCTCTCACCCCTCTCAAAGTGCCCCGCCCGTTTGTTTTATTGGTGTTTATAGTATTACATGTCGCTATTTTTAGCACAGGGGCATGAGGAGAGTTATTGCGTATAAAACAGGTTCTCGGCGGACTTTATGTTCTTATTACATCTATTAGAACTGTTTAATAAAGGCTAAAAAAATCAAACACCATGGATTGTGTAAAATTTTGAGAATACCAAACATGAATATATAAATGTACATGTATGTGACTTCAGTTCTGCGTATACTTGATTCCATATAAAGCGATTCCGTGGTCTAGTGGTAGGTCTCTCGCTTCACATGTGAGAGGTCCCGGTATCGACTCTCAGACGATCCTTCTTTTTTTTTTTTTTTTTTAATTTTCTTTTTTTTTTTTTACTAAAATGATAGTATTCAGCATGTGAAATGAAAAATTTATGAGGTTATAAAATCATCATTACAGTGTGATAAATATTCCATATAAAGAGAATCTTCTACACACGTAATAAAGAATATTAAACAATCAAATTTTTATATGCATATTGACATACATGTATTTTATTTGCTTCAGTATATATGTATACATTTAATAATTCTACAAATTCAGTCAGGGGGATCCGACTTTTTCCCTAAGCGGGGGACACGAATTCTCTGAATTAGCTTGTTTTTATACCCCCCGCTTGAAAAGCGGGAGGGTATATAGTAATCGTTAATTCCGTCCGTCCGTCTGTACGTCCGTCCGTCTGTTACGCTTTGGGGTACCCATCTCTTATCCGCAACTCCTCTCATACCACTGAATGAAATTTGATGAAACTTTCACAGAATCTTTATTACATATTGCCATTGTGCACCTCCTATTTTACTTTTTGATCCGACAGATATTTTGGGTTTCCCGGCCACAGGAAAACATGGACTTTTTCACCAGTTATAACCATATGGGAAGCGGAGCATAAAAATCTATTTGTTTAAAATATATCTAAAAGTACTCTTCGATCCTTACTTGACTATTTTTTTTTTTTGTAAAATATGTTCATGTACCTGTATGGTCTTGAACGAGTAATAAACATGTATACAGGCTACATTGAGAGAAGCTATCGGTATATGGCATAGGTGACTGCTATCGTGTCACCAGCGGGGTTAAATTGAAATACACTTAAACACTTGTCATTCATAATTCGCTGTTCTTCAACATAGATGTACAGGTCGAGAAGTATAACGGTAGTGGGGTCGGAAACTAGGTCTATACAAATTGGTATAAATTGAAACGTGTGCTTTAATGACAGTGTTGGAGAGTTTTCCAGGTAAGTGCGTATGCGATAATTTGATTGCCTTTAAATGTCAGTTTCAACTATCAAAAGTAAGTATACATCAATTTTATCATTACAACTGCTGGGAAAATATGCTTTATGTTTATATCCATTAGACTGGATTTTCACTATCGGGTTTAGCACCCCCTTTTCCTTTCATTATGTATATAGAATATATGGTAGAAATGTCAGTTCGTAATATATTCCAGTGCTGTCAAAACAAAACATTTTAATTTTGAAAATATTTGACTATGTTCAGTTACTTCGATTCATTTATTATAACTCGGGATGTAGAATACAGCGGCTACTATATATATAAGTTTTGTTCAGGTACGGTGTAATCAATTTCAGTTTATTAAATGGGTTCAGTGACAACACGGTGTTTCCCTAAGGTCGAACACTAATTTACAGTTTGATTCGAGGGGTCGAAAAAATGCATTTTTCCTAAATTCATGTAACTTATATTGTTTTAGTATACACTCTTTGACAAACCTTATGCTAGCTTCCATTTCTTTGATAATTCCATGTATTGCACTGCTGGATTTAATGTGTAGTTTTCATAACTGTCGTTACATAAACACCAAGTGAAGGTAGTTAATAGGATTTAGCTGATCTCTCCAACATCAAAAAGTTGGAATTCTTATGTTCAGTACCTCACTCAGTGATCAAACATCTCTTTTTTTTTAACTGTTCAAAATCTTCTTTCAGTGACGTAGCATCGTTTTTGAAAAAGGAGGGGGGAGCCAAAGAAAAAAAAAAACTTCAACCTACCTAAAAACAGGTTCAGTTTCTTTCAGTACCAAATTTTCTTCATAAAATACTACATTACCCTTAATACGGCATTATCCTTATTTGACCTTAGTGTGACACAAAGTTTGGGGCCAACCGACATGTACCTTTCACTTTCAATGAACATGTTCAATAATAACAAATCATGTTTTAAAAAAAAGGGGGCAGCCCCTCCCCCCCCCCCCTCTCCGTTGCTACGTGCCTGTTTTTAACATATATTTATAAAGAAAACACTTTTTAAAGGTATAACATAAATATTATTCATGTTTTAAGTCTATTTTTGCAGGTCTCTTAATGGAGATAATAAGTAAGGTCAAAGTCCCATAAATCTACTTCTGTTGACAAACAACGTATAGTGGATGTACATATCCAGTCACGGACTTTTGTACCAAGGACTTTACTGTGTGTAATAATTATCACGGATTTCAATGTCAGTGAACACGTTCATCTAACTGATTCACATTCATCCTGATTGTTAAAAATGAGATTTTATGTGATATTTTTGTGCACGATTATCAAACTTCTGATTCCGTCCGAATCGCTTAACTTCAAGCCAAACATAGTAATATTCCTGGCGGACGACCTGGGGTACGGGGATGTGGGTGTGTTCGGGAACAACACAGTGCGGACGCCCAACATAGACGCTCTTGCTAGCGATGGGATAAAACTGACCCATCACCTGGCAGCGGCTAGTGTGTGTACCCCCAGCAGGGCAGCCTTACTGACGGGGCGCCTCCCAATCAGGACAGGTAGGACTCTGTATTGGATATCGGCAAACATCGAATTAAAATTATACCTTTTATACCACCCGCTTGAAAAGTGGGAGGGTGTATAGTGATCGGGATGTACGTCCGTCCGTCTATACTTCCGTCCGTCCTTCCGTCTAGCTATACGTCCGTCTGTCTGTTGCGCTTTAGGGTACCCATAATGCCAATATGACCTCATATTTTACTTTTTAATATGATAGTTATTTCGGGTCTCCCAGAGTGCCATTATAATCATGTTGGGGGAGGGGGGGGGGTGTTATCATTTAATGAGCTCAGTGCTCACATTTCCTTTAGTTTTACCCTGTATCAAAACGTAAGGGGTGTAGTTTTTGGGCGCCAACATATTTAACCTTGGAATGTGGCCCACGTTTGCAATGTTTTACCAAAATTTACCCTGGTCTTTACCTTTGAACAGTGTAATTTTATATTTCAAGACTTCTCCTTTATTTCCAATATTTTAACTTCATGACCTTGGAATATGACCTGGGGAAAAAAATAAACCTTGCCATACTTTCTGAATGGTTAAAACTAGGCTTTCCTTGCGAGATGACCTTACCTTGGTTACCAACATGTTTGAACTCTTTACCTTGGAACTTGATTAACATTAAAACAAATTAACCCTGAACTTGTGTTGCCATACAAGAATATCAGTTTTTCACAACAAACATCTTGTTTCATTTAAGAGTCACATATTTGCAGAAAATCTCTTCAATTTAGGTAATTTGGCAAAAGATACAGTCATGTATGTACTATATATAATATGCATATTCTCTTTAGTTAATAATACTTACATTGATACGTTCTTCAATTTTGATTTTCAGGAATGTTTCCGGATGGTAGAATAGTGGTGAACGTGTTTGCCGCCAACGGTGTCGGCCTTCCGACGTCTGAGGTCACGTTGGCAGAAATCGCCAAGACGGCAGACTACAAAACAGCCCTCGTAGGCATGTTCTCTTTTATTCTTTCATTTGTAATGGTCCTAATGGAGCAAACCAGGGACATAAATTATATGTTACATGTATTTTCTCTTCGAGTTTCGATTTTGAATTTTCTTTTTAGCTATATCAAACTTTTACTTTTCAGGTAAATGGCATTTAGGATTGAACAAAGATTATAGAGGAGATATGGCGTTTCACCCTCGAAATCGAGGTTTTGATTTCTATTATGGTCACATTCTCACAAACATGAAGGACTGGAGCAATGAAGGGGACCGAGTGTTGCTTTCTCAGAGACCGAATTTTTACAAAGAAATAGGCGCTGTGTTTTGTGTGGGATTATTGTCGTTGATATTCTTGGTAAAGGTTGGTCTAATTGGACGGGGGTTATGTATCTTACTCTTCCTTGTGATGATTTCACCAATGGTCTATTTAGTGTTTGTTTTCAACAATATGGCAAGGTTAAATGGACTTCTGTATCGAGATTTTGAGCTTGTTGAACAACCAATTCACTTAGAAACCCTTTCCTACCGATACACACAGGAATCCATTAAGTTTCTGAAGGAGAGAGAGCGCGACAACCACCCATTTCTGATGGTTGTTTCTTGGGATCATGTGCACACTGCTTTAAAGACATTAAAGAAATTTCGTGGAAAATCGCAGCACGGTCGATATGGTGATGCCATCGAAGAAATGGACTCTGGGATAGGTGACATTATGAATGCTCTTGATAAATTTGGTTTTGGCAGAAACACAATGATATACTTTACTTCTGACAATGGGGCCCATTTAGAGGAAACGGGGATAAATGGCCAAAGCGATGGGGGCTCCAATGCGCCTTTCCGGGGTACGGTATTTCAAATCATTCTTCAATCGCATGATCTATTGTTTATAAAAATATCCTTATGTATTAATTTTTTTCTTGTAGGAGGGAAAGCTCACCCTGCTGTTGACGGGGGTATACGTGTACCAACTGTTATACGGTTTCCTGGTGTTTTACCTAGGGGTAAAGTTATAGAAGAACCAACACAACAAATGGACATGTTCAGCACCATTGTCCGTCTCATTGGTGGAAAGGTTCCAAAGGACAGAACCATTGACGGAAAGGATATCTTACCTTTATTACAATTCAAAGAAAACAAAAGTCCCCACGAATTTATGTTCCATTATTGTGGTCCACATCTACAGGCAGTGAGATACAGACCCGACAAAGGTACGATTATAGTAGTTAAATGTTAGAGATGGATAGGACTCAACAAAGGTACGGTTTTAGAGGTTAAATGTTACATGTAGAAATGGATAGGACCCAACAAAGGTACATTTAAAGTGGTTAAAATGTTAAGAGATGGATATGACTATATTGGTCAAGTCCAAAAGGTCAAGCTCTTTCTTGGTGATGTGTCAATACAGTATGAATGTGGATTTGCAAAGCATGCATACATTCATGTTGTATGCCAGTTCCAACTAATGCCTGTAGTATGGACACCGATTCGGGATAAATGTAGTGTCTACTTTTTTTCAGGGAAGAGTGTTTGGAAACTAGTGTCGGAACTACCAGATTACAAACCAGGCGAGGACAAGTGTTACGGCCTGGCCTGTAGCTGTTCAACCATCATAAAACAAGACCCGCCATTATTGTACGATTTGACCTCAGATCCAGGGGAGAGAAATCCAATCACTTATAAATCAAATCCATCGTTACAGAAAATTGTAGATAAAATGACAGTAGCAATATCCGAGCATAAAAAGACTGTGGGCACACCAGAGAGTAGAATGACATTTTTCAAATTATTATGGAGACCTTGGTTTCAGCCATGTTGTAATTTCCCATCGTGCTCTTGCTCAGACTCTGTATACAAAGATTTTGTAGACAGTTAAATTTAAATATTGTTAAAAAATTTATTGTAGAATTGGGTTCTAGGAGATGGAATGCATTGTAATGGAGAAAGAAAAGCATAATAAAACAACACAGATATTAAACTATGATACAACTTGCGTCTTTATTTCTTCCCACAATCTGTTCTAAGATACATACATATAGCCTACTACTCTACAGCATGCTGACCCTCTGATATACAGACAAAAGAACTTGACAGAAACATTCAATGAATAATGATATCTGTAAGGAAAAAAATGATTAATCATATCAATACAGATGTATAGATACTACAAAGAAACAGTCGGTCAACTACATTTAGATATCACAGAGCAATGAGAAGGGAGGTAATCTACAAGTCAAAACAAAGGAAATGATACCTTATTTCCAAGATATTTAATTAAATATGACAAGCAGACAATAATTTTAATTTGACAATGTTATTTTTAAACTAAATTGTCAACTTGCAATTGCAGAATTTAAGAAATAAGAATTAATATGATATACTGGTATCGCAATTTCAAAGTACATGTAATAAATAAAGATGATTTTAATAACTCAGCCTATGTACTGCCATTGTCCTTCAAATTCAACTTGGGAGTAAATGGACAAAGACCACAACATTTTCTCCCTCCTAGTTAACATCCAATATCAATTATAATTTATAAACCATTTTTTTCAATAACACCTACAAATTTCACAAAATATGCTGAACAAGATGTCTTCCTATCATCAACAGAAGCCATTAAGAAGCTGGGATTCTGGTCTTTGGTTTGACCATTTTTTTCAGTTGTGAGTTACCCATGGCAGACGCAAACTTGGTCACTATGCTGTCATATCCTCCCTTAACAGCTAAATCATATGGTGTCTCCCCGCGGTCGTTTTTCTTGGTTTGGTCTGCACCATTCCTTGAAAATAATAGAAAAGATTATAGAAATCTGAAGAAACTGACAAAGACCGACTATTTCTCAAATTTAAGCCGAATTATTTTAGACATTAATAATAAACTTACTCTAGCAGGACTGAAATGACCTCCGACCCTGAAGGTCCCAGTCCAACGGCCTCGTGTAGAGGTGTGTTGCCCTTACTGTAAATAAACAGACATCATTTTTATAACATCATTATTTTTAAGAGATGTTTATATCTTAATTGATAACGTAAAGATAAGGGGCCTCTTGTAAGCTACATGCCTTGCACTGTTCTAAGGAAAAAAATATTTAAAATCAGTAATACAGATTATACAATAGTTCTAATCTTGATTAACTGCTGATAGTAGAACTAACATAGAGGAGGGTCCTTTGATGTTGACATGGGATTATACATTAATTATCTTGATTAAGTGACTTACATATATAGAGGAGGGTCCTTTCATGTTGACATGGGATTATACATTAATTATCTTGATTAAGTGACTTACATAGAGGAGGGTCCTTTCATGTTGACGTCGGCCCCGGCCTCCACTAGGACGGGGATACAAGCAGCCCGCTTCCTCCTCACAGCCACGTACAGACAGGAAAGTCCATCTTTATTAGTACACTCAGGATTGGCTCCCTAACAATAAGTTTAAACATTATTATATTTTTACTTTTTTAGTACTAAGTTTTGGTTTTCTTTAATTTGTTTTCCTCTTACATGTACCTAAATTCTAGAAATATATTTATAACAACAATTCACTGGAATTGTTTTAAATTTACAGTGCATATTGTTTATGAATTTGTAATGCATACAAAGAGTGATCTATACTTAGCAATTTAGGAATTTCATCCTACTTGCACACCCACAATAAACCAGGATAATAGATAAGAAGAAATGATTGATGACACACACTTAGTTATTACTGACCTCATCTATCAGCTGCTGAACCTCTGATGGATCCCCCTCGCCGTTTGGTCCCAGTTCTCTCAATAATTTTTGGTCAATTGCCTGAAGTTATTCAAAAGGAAATTTCCAAGTTTCAAGACTATTGCAAAAAAGATGAAGATGTGAAGACAAAATGCCTCTAAAGTGTTTGTATTTATAAAAGTATGGATTAAACTCACTGCAATTTTTGGTCCTTCTTTCTTTTTTGGTTTTGTTTTCTTTGTTTTTTTCCTTGATACATTCTCGATACTCTCTACAAAATGAACAATCAATAATTACATAAGTTAAATGAATTAATAGAATAGCTTTTAAAATGAAACATTTTTTATATTAATTTACTTGGCTTGGTTTCTTGATTATATAGAACTGAGTAAATGCAAAATGCTAACAGAATACTAGACTAGCAAAACATTCAAAAGCTCCTGAGTATCCTGGTTTTCATGCTCTTACCTTCTGTCACTGTTCTGCCAGCTATCCTGCTCTGTGTGCTGACTGAGATAATCTTCACTCATAGCTATCTTACCTTCAGACTGAGATAATATCCACTCATCACTATCTTACCTTCTGAGTTGCTGTTGTGCCAGCTATCCTGCTCTGTGTGCTGATTGAAATAATCCCCACTCATTGCTATCTTATCTTCTGAATGAGTTAATCTCCACTCATCACTATCTTACCTTCTGAGTCACTGTTGTTCCAGCTATCCTGCTCTGTGTGCTGACTGAGTTAATCCCCACTCATTGCTATCTTACCTTCTGAGTAGCTGATATGCCAGCTCTCCTGCTCTGTGTGCTGACTGAAATAATCTCCACTCATCGCTATCTTACCTTCTGAGTCACTGTTGTGCCAGCTATCCTGCTCTGTGTGCTGACTGAGATAATCTCCACTCATCCCTATCTTACCTTCTGAGTCGCTGTTGTGCCAGCTATCCTGCTCTGTGTGCTGACTGAGATAATCTTCACTCATAGCTATCTTACCTTCAGACTGAGTTAATATCCACTCATCACTTTCTTACCTTCTGAGTCACTGTTGTGCCAGCTATCCTGCTCTGTGTGCTGAGATAATCTCCACTCGTTGCTATCTTACCTTCTGAGTTGCTGTTGTGCCAGCTATCCTGCTCTGTGTGCTGACTGAGATAATCTCCACTCATTGCTATCTTACCTTTAGACTGAGTTAATCTCTACTCATAGCTATCTTACCTTCAGAGTCACTGTTGTGCCAGCTATCCTGCTCTGTGTGCTAACTGAGATAATCTCCACCCATTGCTATCTTACCTTCAGATGAGTTAATCTTCACTCATCACTATCTTACCGTCTGAGTCACTGTTGTGCCAGCTATCCTGCTCTGTGTGCTGACTGAGATAATCTCCACTCATCGCTATCTTACCTTCTGAGTCGCTGTTGTGCCAGCTATCCTGCTCTGTGTGCTGACTGAGATAATCTCCACTCATTGCTATCTTACCTTCAGATGAGTTAATCTTCACTCATCACTATCTTACCTTCTGAGTCACTGTTGTGCCAGCTATCCTGCTCAGTGTGCTGACTGAGATAATCTTCACTCATCACTATCTTACCTTCTGAGTCACTGTTGTGCCAGCTATCCTGCTCTGTGTGCTGACTGAGATAATCTCCACTCATCGCTATCTTGCGTCCTGCCAGGGGATCCTTGTTATTGCGTAAGGCAAAGGTAAGTGTGACACTTAACTCATAACCATCTTCTTGTACTGTGCTTGTCAATAGCTGAAATGGAAAGTAAATTTAAAATCACAAAAGTTCCTGAGTAAACCTAAATGTGATATAAAGAAGATTACAAATTCTCATTATTCCTGTTGAAAAATGATATTTTCATGTAACATTACCTTCCCCATTTTAGGTTCCCCGATGAGAGCTCGGAACTCAGCCTCATTCTGGGCATGTGCTTTTAAGTGTGCACAGATATGATCTACCTGTTTTCTCCAGTAACCTTCAAAGAAAGCAATAAAAAATTTTAAAAAATGGATAAAATTATTTTTCAATTAAATGCTTGGCTTTCAATATTTTTTAAATTTTCTGTTAAGCTGCTTCAGTCCTGAATAACAGGAAAGGAACACTAAATAATAGAACTTGTAAATCAAGTACCGGTACTACTTGAACCGCTAAAATTATTGATGACTATGGTTTGCAGACTGGCAAATGTACTGATAATAATACAACGTATTTGCTCAGTAAAGCCAGTGCTTTGTACCTTTGCCTGGACTAACTGCAGTAAGCAGTGGTCGTCTGTCTCTCAGCTGTTTCTCAAATGTCTTTTTCTCCTCTTCCTGCTCCTGTTTCTTTGACAGCTCCCTGTCTGAGGGGTAGAACAGACCCACGGTCTGGGTGGAGGCATTAGCGGTGGGGCGTCTTGGGGCGGCAGTGGTGGACGGAGGTACAATGGGGTAACTGACAGGTAACCACTGGGTCTACAAGTAAAAAAGTTTATGTTATTATACTGTACTATCTACTATACAAAAGTATGGGTATGTTTCTTCAGATTTTTAAAAAAAAATATAATCAATGATGAATTATGATATTAACCATGTCATTTTGTTTGAATACAAATTCATGTATTTTAGTGCAGAAAAGATTTAAAGGAGTTCAAATAAAAGTTATTTAATTTTGTACTTGTTCTACCTTCACCATGCAAATTTAACCCTATGAAGTAGTGAGAATTTTGTTGTATGTTAAGTTTGCTGACCTGAGGGGGTGGTTTGTGCTGTCCTGGTATAGGTCCCTCACACACCACACAGGTGGGGACAGAGAAAGGCACCACCGACCTGCAGTACTGACACATGCCCATCTACAATACACCAGGGTCAAAGTACATTCAAACCAAAAATCTTTAAATAATCTTTTTAAGAAGTAAAATAAGTTCAAAGAGGATTACGTCTATAAGTTTAAAGTGATTTTGATATTTTTTTGGTTACAGAGACCTGTGCATTAGAGAAGCTAAGAAATACCTTTCTGATATCACTTGTTGGGATTGACACCTTAGGTGGGGAGGATGGTGATGTGGTATCCACTCCATTTGTGTACTTTCCAAGTAAATCAAAATCTCCAGTGTAATAAGATGTTCTAAATGTATGAAAAACCAGTAAGAAACGTATTAATATTTATAATATAGTCACATACAATTCCGTTCATAATTCAGTAAAAGTTAACCCCCTTTACGTGTGAACTCCCCACACATACCTCATCTGGTCTAACTCTTGTTCCAGTCTCATGGCTGCCGTGCTCTCGGGTAGGCGTTTGGCTGAATGTGGCCTCTGAGGGGACTCGTTACGAAAAGTAGCCTAAAAAATTAATAATAGTCCAGGCATTTTTAAATAAGTATAAATTCTCTTCAATGTCTCAAATTTCTTTAAAGATAGTCCTTTTCAAAAAATCCTGTTCAGTGAGAGTTAAGTGTGAGCCCTTGTTTTATACCTCTCTATTCCTCCTTGCACTGGAGAATCTGGCATCAGCATATGGCCGCCTGTGTGAAGTCCCAGACACAGTCATATCTGAAATATTTTAAAACTGTACAATAATTCTTATCATCCAGAAATACTTGAAGATTAATGTGTTATCCATTCATTCTGGGATGCATCATTGTTTTAAAAGATACATGTGTATATCCAACGTCAGATAAAATCTTAAATAAACTGTGAATGCTAAAATACATTGTACGTTTACTGGCATACTAACCTGCTAGTTTCTGAGTTGCTGATTTCATTGCTGATACATCTGTCCAGGCAGTGCCTTCAGATAACATTAAATTTTTTGCTGCTCTCTTTGTATTCAACTTTTGAAAATAAACATTGTTTTTCAGTATAAAGTTGCAGGTTTTAAACACATATACATGTATGTTATAATTTTACATTCATAGCATCATAAAGAAATGGATCTAAACTGATTTTAAAATAACCCCCACCCTAAAGAAAACCCACACAATTATTATGAAAATAGTATTAACGAAAATGATTTTATAAAGTGCAATGTGTTTTGTCTTACAATCTAACAGTAATTTTAGGATATGTTGAGGGGGTAGGTGGGACTGGGGTGTTACATATAGATAGAAATTAGTCAATTCACTGACCCTGGTTTGTTCTTGATTGATTTCATCCTGAAACCCAAGGTCATCGTCCACTGGTGCCGAATGTGGAGCGGGGGCAAACTCCACGTCAAACACTTTGGTCACCATATTACTCTCCCTCATCCCATCTCTACAATGGAAAACACACTGTAATTTATATCTGTATGAGAAAAACACACTGTCTAGATTCTTACAGTTTATGAGTGTACTTATGGCAATTGCACATGCTTCAATGAAAATATGATCCAAAAACCTAGAGAATTCAGCACATGTCTATGTATTTTAAAAATGTCACACTCATTCAGTTTTTAGACAGTAAATTAAATTTCCTTGATTTTTTAAATACAAAACAAAGAGGAGTTTGATTTAGAATAGTAGTCATCTATTACGTATAAATAAAGTGACTTATCAGCTTACTTAGAAACTGCTACTGCCTTGACAGTCTGCTTCCCAGCCGGCAGTGTAAACGGACCAATGTACTGCATTGTACATCTCTCCACTCCAACCTTGGGAAATGGATCTGGTTTTGTTCCATTTATTGTGTAATATATTGTAACATCTTGCTTACCATCTATGAAAAAATGAAATGTAAGTGTTCAAATGTCCTTTTTTAAGGATTGCAAAGAAAAATGTTGATAGCAGATAAAACAGATTTTCTTCAAATTTAAAAAAAAAAAAAATTTGAATGAAGTCAGCTGTTAACCATTTCTTCCTTAAATATTCTTCTACTACTTCCACAAAAAAACTGCATGTACAAGTCATGCAAAAAGCACATTCGACTATATTTCTGCAAGTAAAAAATGAGTGAAATTTTTTTGATTGTAGAAATTTCTGGTCCATAGGTCTAATAGGCTCTCCAAAGCTAATTTTACATTTAACATCACCTATGCATGTAGGAAAAGAATATGTTAAGAAAACAGTGATATCATGAGAAATATTTTGACTACTCAACAAAAAAAGTTAAGGACCACTTACTTTTTTGAAAGTTTAAAATACTATAAATATTTTTGTTGCATTTATTTTGTTTTATCTGGGTTTCCATACACTTTTATGGATTGTTATTCAAACACACTCTTGATTTGTGCTCATTTCCTGCGATTTTTGCTTATTGAACGTTTTGCTTTATCTAGATTTCTGTGATATTGGCTGTATATTGGCTGTATTGTAAACTCATTGACAATCTCAGAAAGGAACAGGATTCGATTATTTGTACAATATTGTTGCTTTTTGCCATTAAACACATTTTCATGCCTCAAAGAAGACATCTGAAGGTAGAGGAAGCCGCAAGGGCCATTGGAATGCTTCAAGCTGGATGCTCACAGCGTCATGTTGTTGCGCAACTTGGTGTAAGCCATTCTGTAATAGGACGTTTGTTGGAACGATACGAAGAGACTAATAGCATCAAACGGAGGCCTAAAAGTGGTCGCCCAAAAAGTACAACTGTCAGACAATATAGACAAATATCACTACTTGCCAAGAGAAACCGAAAGCTTTCTGCTGTTGCTGAACAGAGAGCTATCTGTAGAAACAGGTATAAGGATCTCCAACCAAACCTTACGAAACAGACTGCATGAAGCGGGATTACGTGCCAGAAGACCTGCTGTGCGCCCACCTTTAACCGTAGAACATCGCAACTGCTGCCTCCAGTTTGCTCAAGACCATATCAACTGGGACCATCATCATATCCAAGGAGTGTTACGGACTGATGAATCCAGATTTTGTCTGGATTTCGATGATGGTTGCAGCTGAGTATGGAGGAAGAAAACGAGAGGTTTAAGGACTGCTGCATCACTGAACATGACCGATTTGGTTGTGGGTCATTCATGATTTGGGTAGGTATGAGTTAAAACGGCTGCACAGAGCTCTACGTCATAAGGAATGGATCACTAACAGGTGTCCTTAACAGGAATGAGATCCTTACACCAATTGTTAGGCCTTACGCTGGTGCCATCGCTGGAAATTTTATACTGATCAGAGCTGTGGAAAACTTTTTCAGGTAGTCAGTCATTCGGACCGGCAAGAAGACAAAATATGCCAGTCCAAAGTGATTTTTGCCGGTCCGAAATAGTAAGTTGTGAAATTAAAGAGGTCATAACATTCACTTTCTTAATTACACTTTACATTCAGTCTCCATTTCCAAGTTCTCCAACGTTTTCGTTTATTGCATTTATAACAATACTAGATTTCATCACCTTTGAGCAGGTGACAATGATAATTCTGCACAGTAAACGTAATTTTTTTTAACATTAATGCATTTGGGAATTATATTTTACCTCGAAAATGAGTCTTAGAAAGTTGGTGCATCGATAATGAAGAACATGATCGATGAAAAAATAAATCTGGGACAGTCGAAACGTCGGAAGTACTAGACTTACCGCTTTACTCAACTGTGTTTGATTTTTTAAAAATGTTTTACATAACCATTTAATTAGCCTGTCTTTATTTTTTATGTTTTCTACCTAATTCTGTCCTGTTTGTAAATTTAAAAGGTTCACGCGAGACAATACTGGTTTCGCTTTCATTCAAGCCTCGATCTCGTGCAAAGAAAAAGTATCGCACAATCGTATGTAATGTATGATAATTAAGCTGGGATGATAGGCCCTAAATTAAAATGGAAAAAAAAACCTTTAACAAAAAAAAGAGGTCGGTCATTTGGACCGACATTGATCGCATTTTTACCGGTCACAGGCATTTTTTGCCGGTCTTGCTGGCATGACCGGCAGTTTTCCACAGCTCTGCTGATGGATGACAATGCCAGGCCCCATCGTGCGAGAGTGGTCAATCAGTACTTAGAAGAAGAAACAATTGAAAGGATTGATTGACCAGCAAAATCACCCGATTTTAATCCAATAGAGCATGCATGGGACATGCTCCAGAAGCAAATTTTAGAAAGGCAAAACCTACCAATAACGCTCTGTGAACTTGAGTTTGCTATTGTTGAGGAATGGTCAAGGATTCCACAGGATAACTTCCGAAATTGAATTAACAGTTTTCCAAATCGATGTAGGGAAGTAATTCGGGCAGAAGGTGGCCATACAAGATACTAAGAATATTGTTTGGACTTTCCAGGCTAATTAAAACCCTGAAAACACGACTGTTCTTTCCTCTTGAATTCCTGTATTGATGAATATTCTTGTTGTTTTGACAGTTACATGTTGTTAAATGTTGTTCAGTTGTTTATTATAAAAGATTTATCATTGTTTACATTTAAAATATTATTTGATTCCACCACCTTTACAATATATGTTGCAAAAAATAAAATTCTCATGCTGGCCCTTAACTTATTTTGTTGAGTATATATGGAAAAATATAATTAAACAATGCAGTTTTTATAGCAAGAAATATTCCCTTTTTCAACAGATGGTACTGTACCTCTCTGGTCATTTATTCCAATGTTTTAGACCAGCAAGCTACAGACCTGCAGTTAGAATGACCTTTTCTTAATGATCTTCATACAAACAGAGACATACCTATTGAAAGTTCAATTTTGGTGTTACTGTCGATGGAGAGTTTGGACCGCCCAGGTAAAGGTGTCCTAATAGGAATAATAGAAGGTACTGGGATTGATCCAGCTGTCATTCTGTCACTGAAAATACCAAAATAAAACTAGTTGTATTTTAAGTAAAAAAGCATACATTTAAAAAAAAAACACATCGAAATTGATTCATATTACATGTCAAAGAACATTGTTATGCTCTTTTATACACCCAAAGAGCTCATCATATTGTAAAAAATTCAGCAATTATGCAATATCTTAAAATATATGATTATGGCCTGTATATGTATATATATATTTTTGTCTTTCTATACATAGTCAAAAGCCTATATTAATGCAATGATGATACATGCATCCGTGACTAGTTTCTCTTTTAAGGGTTAAAAATCTAGCATTCATTAAAAACGCTTATTAGCTTCTTCATTACCTTCAATGTGTCATAGGTCTTCAATTACAACATTAATTGAAATCTATTAAAAAAAGAACCTGTACAAAATCTTAACGATAACTTGTCCAGACACCTGCCATGTTTTGTCAATAGCAACACGCGCCTTAGATACTATGTTAAACCAAATCTGATTGGCTGCTCGAAAACTTAGAAGTCAAGCTGATCTCGGAATTTAATTTCCGATAAAAAAAAAAAAATTCACATGCTTGCTTTAAAAAGGCAAATGGCCATCATAAGTGAGTCATCTTTCAAACAAAGAAGATGGAGGAACAAGGCGTGCAGAATGCCTATAGCTTCAGAAATATAAGAAATCATAATCAGTATGTGAATTTAGTATTTTAATTAAGTTCTCATTATTGAAATTTATAAAATTACGAGAAACAATGCTTTTCTGAGAGAGAAAAAAAATCCTCGGAAAAAATTATTCTTTTAATAAAATATAAGATCAAGATGGTATTCGAACTCTAAGCAATAAAAATCCGAAGTATCATCTTACTTTGAGACTAACGCGCTAACCATTACACTACACAGCACTAGGCTGGACCAGACTATACATGGCACATGAAATAAATCATTTTTGTGATATGACCCTTGACTTAATGGACTTGAAGTTTTTCTCGGAAAGATGCGAATTTTTGGTCATAAAAGTGTAAATTTAAGGTATAGTGGGCTTAATGGATCTTTGCTCCATGTTTTTGTAAACCAGAAAATGTATATTTTATTGCAAACTTTTAGGATTATCTTTCAAAAAAATGGAGCGGTGATCCACTCATATTGAAAACTTTTGTTAAAGTATGAGAAAATGATCTTTTTTTGTTCTTTTTAGTGCGTGAATGCTTTTTTATAGGCAAATAATTTTAGTCTTTGTGAGATTTTTGTAAATTGTAGAGATTTTACGTAAGTATACTTTAATGTTAAATGAAATATCAAAGAAAATTTGGATATAGTTGGGATTTGATTTTTCACATCATGAATCATGTTTGTCGCACTATAGGCACTTCGTCCGTTTTATATATCCTCCCATTTTCTTTCACGAGTGGCATACCTTTAGAAATAATGAAACGTTACATGTAGTCCTTTCTGACACATATATTTTTTTATTTTTTTGATATATAAAAGCTGCAAAATGTCAGACAGACTGACCACTCTTGATCACACATACATTTTAATTGAAAAATTAAAATTAAATCATCCTCGACAGTCGCAATGCAATGGTCTTGGGTCAACAAGTTGCCCTTGGACCAACGACAACGCGTTGACTTAGGAACCTAGTCCGAAATATCTACGTTGCCCTTGGACCAACGACAACGCGTTGACTTAGGAAACTAGACCGAAATATCTGCGTTGCCCTTGGACCAACGGCAACGCGTTGACTTGGGAACCTAGTCCGAAATATCTGACTATCAGCACCCCTGGCATTGCGGGGAATCTTTACCTAAAGCTACGTCATAACCATCACATTTACAAATTCAAACAATTTTTGAAAAAAAAAAAAATTGGGGAAATCAGGCCTCCTAAACCAAAGAGGCTTGAACTTCTTTCAATACATTTTTATTTCAAACACTATACTACTTACCCTTCTTCGACTACACTGCAACGTGTCTGTTGAAAAGGGGCGGGGGGGGCTATGCCTATCTTAGCTATCAATGCCTATTTTATGTCCATCTTTGCAAAAAAAAAGTCGAGGAAGGAGGAAGGCGGCTAAACCTCACCCTAGGCCCCCCTCCCCCCGTTCCGACGCCAATGGAACTTGAATACTAGTCTGAACTGTTCCCGATGAAGGACGACGGAAACTAACTATTTCTGATAGATTTAGTAGTGTGTGAGATTATAGACTCAGCAAAAAAATTCGTTTGCTTTCTATCCATATATACGTTGTTTCAAACGTAGTTTTACTGTTGAAAATGTTAATCGAACAGAAAAGCCGACACCCCCCCTTTTCCACTTTTTTTTTTGCAGTACATGTATAGTCAAATACTTGTAAGGGTAAATGTAGTAGCGCATAAAATAAAAAGGGCACTGAAAGAAGTTCGAAATATAACTAAATTAAGTACAGGTCTCTGTAAGAATCAGACAAAAGGTGAATCATGAGGGTTCTCAGAATTCGATGATTTTACACATATAGGTTTTTCTTACACTATGAACCACATATGTAAAATGAAAATTATTTTGGGTCCCGGTTACTATGGAAACATGGCCAAAGAAATTTTCCCTAGCAACCAGTCAATTTTCCATGTGGATTGTCAAATATATCACTAAACTTAAAGGCTCGAAATTGAATGTGTATATTACCAGAGGGGTTTTTAAATAATGTTATCAAAAAGATAAACATTTAAAATGATAAAACAATGTAATACATAGACTTTTTATTTTAAGATATTTCTTTTACAGGCAATGGAAATATGCATGTTTTGCATTTTTTGCTGATTCAGCATTTTTGTTAATTTTGACAATTTTCAAGGCCATATATCTAAAACTTCTGGCATGATACAAGAGTATGGTATATTTTCCATAAAGGCAGAGAAACAACTTTTTTGGAATTTAAATTCAAAAGTGTGTGTTTTTTATATTTACGGTCGGTTGCCTAGCAACAAAAATGGATGTTTTGATTAAGAAAAAGAGAAAAATTGTCAATTGTGCGAGTTATTTATCGAATCAAATGCTATCGTTGGATACCAAAATCAAATTTTAAAGTAGGAAAATATTTCTGAGACTTCTTAATAAATCCAGGAATATTGTTCAAATACTAATCGCCATAGCAACAGGAAATTCCCCCTAGCAACAAAGGAAATAATTTAACTTTTGACATGCACATTTACAGATTTAATTTTTTTTCTTCTAGAAATGATAACATTGTAAATTGAAAAAAAATAATCCTATTAAACTTTAACAATAGTAATTTTTGTACTTCAATATTAATGCATGACAACATGTCTGAGCTGTTAACGATAATAATTATACATTACGACAAGCTAAAGTATATACATGTAACTCTCTATAAAGTTTCTATACATAAAGCAATTGAAGAACCATAAATGTAAGAAGGATTATGAAAATGGTTTTCACAATTACAATTTTGTGAATACTTATCTTACTCGATCAATTTAAAAAAATGTTATTCTAAAAAACAATACTATTACTGGAAAAAATGTACAAATATTTAGGAGTTAAATTTTAATATATATGTAGAATTGGGAAAAGGGGGGTGCTAATATATGCATGCATGACTACGAAAACTATAAACTTTTTTCTTTGTTTTCATGTTGATATATAATTGCCTATTGTAACATATTCATTTATTAATAAATTAATTATTTTTAATATTTTGCAGTCAATCATTGAACAAATAATGTAACTGAAGCGCGTATGACTCTGGACAGACACCGAGACAGAGACTTATTATTAATTTTATAACGTATAGGCCTAGCTAGAGACGTTAATTTACATGGGCTACAAACAAATAATCAACTTATGCTATATAAACTAAAATGCATACTGTAACGTGTTTTCATTAATTAAAAAAAAAACTCTGATAAAAAAAATGAAACTTGTGTTTTGTTTTTATTTGAAAATTGGCCTTCAACAGGTCAAGTGCTAATAAGAGTTACTTCCCTCTGAGAGCTCTTCTGTGTTGCTGATGTAAACAATATGTCAGACGTCAGTGACAGTTGTTCTGTCGTGTGTATATTAAATGCAGTAAATACAAAATGCGCTGTATCTTCACGATTTCCGAGTGAATCTGGACTGAAGAAGTTAAGTGAATGTGCCAGACCTATTTATAATCATTTAAGACAGTGCGCAATAAGTGATAACGATATTGAAAGCGAAGGGCAATTGATTGCAGCTCGATGTGGACTGTTTGAGACTGATCTCAACTTGTACACCGTGTGTCCATTTCACAGAGACACTCTCGGCATAGCTTGGCAAAAGAAATCAACATGCCAGTATCCATTTCACGAAGGGAAAGCCAAGCCTTACCGTAGTTTTTCACTTCACATGAGCAAGCTGGTCTTCTCAAATTTATCCACATTGGTACCCGTTGGATCAGGTAGGCCCTATGTGTAAAAGTACTGAGTGCTATTTTGAATTCATACTGCTCTAGGCCTAATTACCAAGGGGATGTTCTTAGGAAGTGTGAATGTGGTGGAAAGGGGGGGGGGGGCACATTTTCACATACACCGTTTTAAATATAAACTATACAAATTTTATAAATAAATTTAATTATGTGAATATAATCAGTGATATTTTCTTATACCGCCTTTCACATTGACAAAACAAATGGAATATTATATAACTTTTTTGTAACAAGATCATAAGAATTAAAATGACCATATGAAGTCATCATATAAAAGAATTTAAAAATGCAATTACACAAAGTAAACAGGAAATTTGTGGTATTAAATGATAATTTTTTTATTGTAGGCATTTGCCGCAAGTGCATAGATCTTGTGCACAATCTTCCTGATATTCTTATAGAAAACCTGACTCAAACAGACTTGAAGGTAAAGGTAATTTTGATGAAATGCTTTAGCACGTACATGGCTATGTTTCTGCTAGGAATAAGGGAAACTGCCCAACCCATGTATGTTATCATTTATTGATGGGAAAAGATGGTTTTGTCACAGTGTGAAAGATTATGTGATTTTTTTATCAGAGTACTATTAAAGTAAATTTTCAAACATGCAACGACTTAACACAATTCAATATTTTCCTTCTGCTAATAAAGAATGGACATTGTAAATATTCCCTGTTCTGATTGAAAGAACTTGGATGAATTTGACCCTGACAGAGACTATATGTACCAAATATTCTCGAGATGTTCAATTGTTGAAATTCCATTTACATGTACAATATTTTCAATCTCACAATGGTTTAACTAGAGTATATGACATCTCAATAACTATATAATGACCTTGAAATTTAAAAAAAAAAATCAAGATTTTAAGGATCTATATTTAGAGAGTGAAGCACTTGCATGAATTAAAATGTAGGGAAAAAAAGACTCACAAGTGAAATATATCCAAGTACAAAACATTAAATTTTCTGGTTATTGCAATTTCTTTGCCTTTTTAATCCTCATTTGTTTCTGTCTTTACTTACTACAGTATATAATATATTATCAAAATTGACCAGTTAAGCTGTCAAAGCTTAAATAATTAGCCATTGTGAGACTGAAAATATGGATTTCAACAGCTGTTATATCAAGAGAACCTTTGGTGGGGTGTATGGATCTAGATAATTTTCATCCACTCACACAACTCACAGGGGATTATGAGTGTGTTTGTTGCAGCTTGTGGACACAATTGTTCTTGCGACTACCATTATTTAAAGCACACTGTAACCATATAGGATATACTAGCTAGTTTTCATATCCTGATGTATGTAATTATGAGTCCCCAACAGGCAATGGGACCATAGGTTTTGTCCATCTGTCTGTCCACTTCTACGTTTTTTGAAGAAACGGAGGCATTTTCAATCTTTATTGGACCAAAGTTTTACATAGAAATATATAAGAATCACATTACTCATGTTAGTAGGGAACTACTACATATTGCCTTTTCTCAGAATGCAGCAATTGTTTAATATGTATTATTTAAAATTTTAGGTTGGAAATGTAGATGAAAAGAATGTCTTATCTGCCGTCACACAGGTACATTTAACTTAACTGAAGCAGATTGGGAATATTAGTACTTATAAATTAGGTTATCTTTAAATCAGAATTGAAAGACTTTGATCACCAAAATTATAACACCATTGATTTTAAACAATTTTTTACAGAGGCGTGCTGCTTATAGTCTGCAACCATTTGAAGATGATCAAATTGAGGGGGAATACTTTGAACATTCAGACCAGGTACATAATTTTGTTTAATTGTTTGTCATCTGTAATTATTAATATTTTAAACTTTTCTATAATTGTTGGTTCGGTTTCAACCAAACTTATCACAAAGCACCCTTGGGTGAAGGGGATTCAATATTCTTTTCAAAAAGCAGTGTGCCAGTAAATGGAAACTTATGTAAAAGATTTATTACACAGTGTAAATATACAAGTTTGTTCAAATAATGACCCTCGGGGTATGGTGAGGCGACACTGGACTATTTTACACAGGAATATAAAGCAAATATATATGGAAACATGCTCAGGTATTGTAGAATTAAGATTGTTCCAATCATGACCCCAGGGGTAGGATGTGGCCACAAAGGGGATGAAAGATTTTTGTAGGAATTTTCTTTGAAAATTTTCTATTGCCATAATGATCAAGGGAATATCTAGATTAATATACTTGTAGAATGAAACCATAAAGAACTATATATAGCTGGTATCTGCTTTTCTCGGGGGGGGGGGGGGAGTGTTAAATTCTCACAAGCTTTGCGACCCATGGACCTCCTCTTTCAAATCATGTAAAAGTCTTCAATGTGAATACGTATATGGGGAGATCTATGAAAAAAATCTTCTTTGTGATAATTAATTCCTATTATATTGCACTCCTATCTACTGATTAAAATTTGAATGATAATTTCATATATTATTTACTAATCGTACTCAACTTTAAATAGCTAGGTTTCTCAATATTTTATAAGCATCATAGATTACATGATGATGACAAAACACGTCTTCACCGTAATTCACATTCTCAACTATAAATAATTTGATTTCTTTTGATTTTCAGTTTTCATCACAGGAGAGTCCTCACCTGTCACAGACCTCAAACTGGAGTGATGAAAATACAACTGGACTTGAGGCATTTAATAGTGTAATCCAAACTATATCAAAGGGAAAATTTAGCCCCTTGAAATATCAGCTGCAGAAACCTCTTCAAGACATAACAGCTCAAAACAGAAATTACTTACAGAAAAAAGCATCGCAGATGGTGCATAGTGTACTGGAAATGGTTGCTCCCGGACAGTCGAAAGAGCTTTTGAAACTCATTAAGGAGCCTGAACAACCCACAAAATCCAACGAAGAATCTGAGCATCTAATGCAACAGTTGACTAAAATTTATTATGAATCCTCTTACAATGCTGTGAAAGACCATACTCTTTCTATAATGGCTGGACTGTCGACAAAAGAAAACCTGAAGAACAGAATTCCAGGACTTACAAATTACCATATCAACAAAGTTAGAGCAGTTACACCAGACCAAATCTTTCAGAAGGTAAATGAACCACCAAAGAAAAGACAAAAAATGGACCAAACCAAACTAGAACACTGTCTGTCATTTTTTTTCAACTCCTCCTTTCATCAACTTGTGTCTTATGGTACATAGGATTTGGAACTTGATTCAGGTGAAAAAATAGTTATCCCAGATGTCCTTTGGACTGCTTGCCATTCTACAATTATTGACTTGTATGAACAACATTGCAAGGACACTGGCTTCTTACCGCTCTCAAGGGCATCATTATTCCGAATATTATGTGCCTGCTCGGCTTCTAAGCGTCGGAATCTCTACGGCTTGGATAATATTACAGCTGATGGCCTAGCTGCTTTCAAGTCTTTGAATAACATCCTTGACAATCTTGAGCTTAAAGGCATCATAGACATGGATAAGAAGGCTACCATGAGACATCTTCTCTCTGAAAGTCAAAACTATCTGAAGAGAACCTTCAAGTTTCATGTTTCAGTGAATTCTTCATGTGCTGACCATTGTATAACATGGGCTTGCAGCGACACCAACGATGACAAATTTCAGTCAGTGTGCAATCATGATCATGTAGACAGCTGTTAACAGTGTGAAAATCTATCAATGGTCCTAGATCAGCTGTGCTCCTTAAACTTAGAGGATGATGAGGCATTGGATGTCAATGAGGCAGTAAACAACATCCAAGCATGGAAGGCTCACATCGTAAGAATGATAAACCAAGATCGTGGTAGAGTGGATCTTCTAGATGGCATGCAAACATGTCAAATACTCTTGATCATGGACTGGGCCATGAAGTGCCTCCCGCTTTTACATCGAGAGAAGCAGTCTGATTGGTTTGGCCAAAAAGGGATCTCCTGGCATGTTACAGTTGGCATCACAAAAGATGACAAAGGAACTTTGAAGGTAAATTTAAGTAAACAAAAGAAGGAAATAAGTAAATTATTACTCATGCAGTTAGTTTTCTCTAGAAATTACTAAGACCTTGAAAAAATGAAAAAAAAAATGTCCAAGTCCTGGATATAGAATTTAATTTTAATACAAACCAGTGTTTTTGTTCACTATATATATATATATATATATATATATATATATATATATATATATATATATATATATATATATATATATATATATATATATATACATGTATTATATATCATAGTATGTTTTCTCTTTTTTCAGCATAGCACTTGGGTGCACATTTTGGAAAGTGGAAAACAGGACTGGTTTAGTGTGGCATCCCTCTTAGAGCATACCCTCTCAGCTGTGGTTAAGCAGTATCCTTTTGTCAAAGAAGCATTCATCAGGTCTGACAATGCTGGGTGCTACCATAATGGATATCTGTGGAGTTCGATTCCATCCATATCTGAGAGATCAGGTAAATGTACATTTTGACATACTTGTCTTGCATATATTATAAGGTACCAGGATAAGAAAATGAGGAAACAGAAAATATAAATATTCTTTCCCATATCACCTCTGGTCCTTTGGATGATATTTGTGTACCAGGCTGATAAATAGTGTGATGTGGAAAAGGGTATATTTTAAAACTTAAATTAGAAAAAACTTTTAATTTAAATGTGTATTTCAGTAAAAATAAAGCATACAAATACACTGTATGTACTTCAGACATGTGTAAGTACTTAGTTATGATGAGCAAGAATACATTAATAGAAAAAAGAGAGAAAAAATTTATTTTGATTATATTTTAAAGCTGTATCTTTTTCCTTGCATTAATATGATAAAATTTTTCTTTGCAGGAATTGAGATTAAGAGATACAACTTTAGTGAAACACAATCAGGAAAATCCTATTGTGACGCCAAAATTGCTCATCTAAGGAAGAAGATGAGAATGCATGTTGCGGATGGAAATGACATCAAGTTCCCAGCTGACATGAAGATGGCCTTAGATAGTGGAGGTGGAGTTACAGGATGCCAAGTGGCAGTTGTGGCAGTAGATTACAGCCATCAGCAGATATTCAATCACAAATGGAGGGATGTACGCTTCATTACAGATCTGGAAGTAGAGGCTTCTAAGATGGTCACATACCATGCATATGGCATTGGAAATGGAAATATCATTGAGACATCCTCAATGGTCTCTTCACAGCAAAATTCGACAGGTCTAAAGATCTTATCTGACTTCAGGAAACCAGAGAAGCAAGAGGGTCACATACGGAATCCAACTACTATTAAGGAGCCCCGTCAGTGTTTCCCTTGTTCAGAGGAAGGTTGCGTACAAAGTTTTTGCACCTTTGAGGACTTTGAGGAACATATGTACTTTGAAAAGCACACCTATGAATTTGATCATACTACAGATTTATCTACGTTTGACAAAGTGAAACTGAGGTGGGCAGAAAAGTGTAATTTAGTCACAGAGAGTGAAGAGCCGATCTCCATTCCATCAACATCAGGGTATGATAAATCCAAACAAAGTGCTGCACCAAAAGGTTGGGCTCTTCGAAAGGAAAGAAGACAAGTTTGATTTAAGCAGCATGTGCGAGATTTCCTCAAAGATGTATTCAAGACAGGTGAAGATTGTGGAAAGAAGGCTAATCCTATAGAAGTTGCATTGGAAATGAGAAAAAAAACTGATGATAATGGTAAGCGTATCTTTGCAGCCCAGGATTGTTTAAAACCAAGCCAGATAATGTCTTACTTCTCGAGATTAACATCTCAATGCAAAGATTCCTTCAAGAAAAACAGAGAAGAAGAGGTGGAGGAGGATGAGTACCTACAACATGTTCTGTATGAAATTGATATGCAGGAAATCAGAAACAATGTACAGTCTTCTCATGCTTAAAACATTGATAGTTTGTTTGTATTGACCTATTTCTAGTTTAAACACAATATCAGTACCACTAATGTAATTTTTATGCGCCCAGATCGAAAGATCCGAGGCATATATTGTTTTTGTCCTGTCTGTCTGTCTGTTTATCTGTGTGTCTGTTTGTCTGCCAACTTTAACCTTAGCCATAACTTTTGAACAATGAATGAAAGAGACTTCATATTTGATATGCATACTCCACTTATAAAGCTTTTTCAAATGACACCAGGGTCTATGACCTTGTGACCTTGACTGTTTCCTATATGCAGAAGATAGCTTTTTTTAATCTTCACCATAACTTTTGAACCATGAGAGATAGAGATTTCATATTTGGTATGCATACTACATTAATCAAGCTCTTTCAAATGACACCAAGATCTATGACCTTCTGACCTTGACTGAGACCTTTATGCTAAAAATATGTTTTTAAACTTTGTTGTTGCTGGGCGCATAGTGTTTCACAAGCACATCTTGTTGTTTTACAAACTGTGGTAAATAAGATGCTTTAATTAGAAATAGGGAAAAAATGGATATACACTGCTGTTTTGTTGACTATGAAAAAGCTTTTGATAATCTAGTCTGAGGATGAAGCTTAAATCATATGCCATAGATGTTAAGATGATGTGCATGATTAAATCGCTTTATCAGAAGGTGAAAGCTTGTATAAAACATAATGGGACATTATATCAGAGTATTTCAAATTTTCAGCTGGTGTATTACAAGGTGAAATTTTGTCACCATTTTCGTTTTAAATGTACATATGTTGATGATTTTAAAAACAATTTTATATCTACCTATTGTCCATAGCTAGAACTACATATACATGCATAATAGAACTACAAATTTATTATTAATCTTTACTTCTGTATGCTGATGATACAGTACAAATCTCATAAATGACAGATGGTCTACAAAATATGTTTGATTCATTGTATGTAAATGTTCAGAATACAAAAATAGTAGTCTTTAGAAACTGAAATTTTAAGGAAGGCATGAAGCTTAAGATGTTGAATAAGTACATTTTTCATTCGGTAAAACAGTACTTAAGGTTAAACAATACATATCATTGTATGGTAATATATTGTGAATTGGGTGAATTTCCTCTTGAACTGATCAGGGAAAAGAAAATCCTTAAATACTAATTATTTTAAATTAAAATGATAATTATATTCTTCAAGCATGTCTCCAAGAAAGGATAGGAAATAATGATAATTGGGTTGTAAATATTTGTTATTGTTAAAACTCAAAAACAAAAGAAAAAACAGTTATTGTTATTGTTAATATTGTTAAAATTAAATTTCATGGCTGGACTCAGCAGAACTGTTAGATAAATAAACATTAACACAATTTACTTATATACTATGCTCCTGAAGACCAAGTGCCTTCAAATTGATACAGTTACTTAGTCATGTTAGTACACAGAATGAAAACGAATAATGTAATCTAGAAAAATTTTTCATTGTGCATCAAGAACAGTGTTTTGAACTTATTTATACATGGTAGAAATATTATATGTACTGTACATGTTGCATGTTAAAATCTTGTGTTAAAATGTATGATTGTGAGGTATATGTCTCTTGACTTCAATACGCTGAACTGAGATAAAATAAATAGAATACACAATGTCATTAAATGCTCCTTAATTTTAAAAGATTAAATTCATTTCAAATTGTTTGAATTGAATAAAAAATGTTTTTATCTTTGCAGAATCTGATTTCTTCTTTATGCATTATTTGAAATACAAGCAAGCAGTTTTGATAAGGATATAATCAGGTTGAGAGCCTGGAGTCCACTAGATTTTCTGACTTCAGCATAAACGCATGTTATATAAGCTAATCTGTTTACTTTTTTGAAATTTGTCTAATGCTGTAATCTTGAGAATAAAAAGAAAAATTAAAGAATGACACATATACATCCATAGGTCCTCGGGTGAGCGATGTGGCCCCTGGGCCTCTTGATTCAAATTTTAATTGATGCATATTTTTTCTGCTTATTTCCGTAGCACTGCTCTGTTTTGAAGAAGAATAACACTCTCAGCATGCTTAAAATGTCATGTTTCCAAAAATTTATGACATGTTGCCATGGTAACAATGACGCATAGCAACAAATTCTTTGCATAATTTTAAATAACAGAATTAAAGACTTTAAAGGGAGTTTTGAGAAATTCAGAGACAGTTCATGCAACATGTGCACCTCCTATATAAATGTTCCAGTCATTATAGAAGATGACGCTAAATAATTTTCATGATATCTACATGATCACTGAGCATGAAAATTTGTATTTACAATGTTGTTGCCATGGGTTAATAAAGTATAAAAAAAAATTTTCGAAGCTCTTTAATCACTGTAGTAAATTAAATTCTGAAAAATCTTTACAAACATACATGAGTGCATGTCAAAAGTTAAATTATTTCCTTTGTTGCTAGGGGGAATTTCCTGTTGCTATGGAGATTAGTATTTGAACAAAATTCCTGGATTTATAAAGAAGTCTCAGAAATATTTTCCTACTTTAAAATTTGATTTTGGTATCCAACGATAGCATTTAATTCGATAAATAACTCGCACAATTGACAATTTTTCTCTTTTTCTTAATCAAAACATCCATTTTTGTTGCTAGGCAACCGACCGTAAATATAAAAAACACACACTTTTGAATTTAAATTCCAAAAAAGTTGTTTCTCTGCCTTTATGGAAAATATACCATACTCTTGTATCATGCCAGAAGTTTTAGATATATGGCCTTGAAAATTGTCAAAATTAACAAAAATGCTGAATCAGCAAAAAGTGCAAAACATGCATATCTTCCATTGCCTGTAAAAGAAATATCTTAAAATAAAAAGTCTATGTATTACATTGTTTTATCATTTTAAATGTTTATCTTTTTGATAACATTATTTAAAAACCCCTCTGGTAATATACACATTCAATTTCGAGCCTTTAAGTTTAGTGATATATTTGACAATCCACATGGAAAATTGACTGGTTGCTAGGGAAAATTTCTTTGGCCATGTTTCCATAGTAACCAGGACCCAAAATAATTTTCATTTTACATATGTGGTTCATAGTGTAAGAGAAACCTATATGTGAAAAATCATCGAATTCTGAGAACCCTCATGATTCACTTTTATATACATTTTGTCTGATTCTTACAGAGACCTGTACTTAACTATGATGCCAGATAATAATAAGAATATGTCCCAATTTTCCTATACAATCATGTATGTCGTCACAAGCGTCAAGCATCATTCGTAATATGAACCCAGTTACGTCACAACCCATCTCTGAATTATAGATAACCTTTACCATTCTTCCCGGAACAATTACTTACAATGAAAGTAATCTATTAGCGTGCATGTAGGCGAGAGCCAAAATGACACAAAATCCATAGACTTGCTGGAATGGGAGGCCTTGTATTGATTTAATGACCAGAAATGGAAGCTAAACTTGACAAAAATAATCTACAATGTAGCATCTGTCAGACATGATTACTTACTTTTCCTTGGATTCAGTGAGGAACTGCTTATAAAAAGGGATGGAATTCCCAGGTTATTGTGTTTTAATATAAAGAGTTTTCTTCCATGTTCTCCATATTCCCAGCAATTTTGAGTTTTTCTAACTGAAACTTTACCATAGAAATGAGAAAATATTTTCGAGACAAGAATGCCACATAAGGCATCATGCCGGTGATTATCGAATTCCATTCTTCATTTTTTAAAAATTTGTTGCTTCATCCGTTTTCTTCTACTGGAGTACAAATATCATTATTTATTCAATTAAAAAAAAATCTTTTTGATTTCAAAAACGAATTTTAAGTAGAAAATGTAATTATTATGGCTTTGTGGTCATTACATGTCCAGCGTTTTTCTCTAATTAAATAGAAATGATTTAACGCTGAAAAACATGAATTCGGCTAGATTACTCTTTCTAGATTCAATTATTAGTATATAAATTATAAATCCTTGAAAAATTTGCATCCGATGTATATGTTAACAGTTCCCGAGGAATCGGAGACCAGCATCTATAAACTCTTCTAAAAAATCAGTTTTATTTTTCATAATGATTAAACACAACACTTGTATATTTTAATTTATTGACACAAATACTACTGACCAAAAGGGTGCAACAAGATGCTTTTGTGAAACACTGATGTCCATGATGGCAGCTTTTGGCGAATGTTACAATTTCTCGATTGCAAGTGAAAATCCAAGGTCACGGCAAAGAGATAAAAAGATGTTGTCAGTTGTTACTCAATGACAGGATTTGTCTCAATAAATATACATGTGAAATATGACAGTCCAAGCACAAATCATTTAAAATGTCTGGCCAAGGTTAAAGTTTATATTTAAACGTGGGTCAAACTCCACATTTTAGGTCAAAGGGTCAAACTAAAGGTACCCAAGGAAAGGATTGTCATAAAAAATATACATGTGGAATATAAAAGCCCTAGCTCCAACATCTCAAAAGTTACGATCAAGGTTAAAGTTTTCCAAAAGTAGGTCAAACTCCAAGGTGAAAAAGGTTGAAATTTAAGAAAAAGTCTTGTCACAAGGATTATACCTATGAAAAATGAATAAGTACTTACTTTTCAAACGTTATTGCCAAGTTTAAAAATTTTTAAAAGCTGGTCAAACTCTAGCTGCAGAACTGTAGCTTTCCGAAAAAAAAATATATTGACAGACTGGAGAACTACAGTGCCATGCACCCAATGTAAAAACTGTAAATTTATTGCGCACAAAAAAGTTCGGTTAGTTCTGGATTAATTCTTCCAAATTTTTACCTTAATCGTAAAAAAAATTCCTTTCTCCTCTGTCAAGTACTCTCGTAGTCGCCATCTGCACTATGCGTGTTGGACCGATTATCTTGCAAACCAAAATGACAGTATAAGTTAACAGACGAATTTTTCGATGATCTTAATTTCAGGGCCAGGAGGGCTATTAACAACAATTATAATGGATGTTTTTTTTCGAGGAATAAGTGAAATAATATGTTAAGAACACATAGTTAATAATATTTTGAGTTGACCGTTTAAAAACATGGAGAAATAAATCGAGAAACAGCGCACTTTTTTGTGCGCAAGAAATATACAGTTTTTTTCAATGGGTGGCACTGTAGCTCACCGGTCTGTCAATATATTTTTTTTCGGAGAGCTATAGTTCTGCAGCTAGTCAAACTCAAAGGTCAAGGTAAAAATGTCAAAAATATTTAAATCCATGGAAATGCTTCGTCACAATGGATATACATATGTATACATATAGAATATGAAATCGCTTGCTCCAATTATTCAAAAGTTATGACCAAGTTAAACTTTAGTTAAATTTTGCAAAAGTGGGTCAAACTCCAAGGCCAAGAGGTCAAATATATTGGGACAAAAACATATCTCTAACCAATCAAAATTTATGGACAAGGTTAAAAATTTTGCGGACAAACAGATATAAGGACGGGACAAAAACTATATACCCCCGAGTCTTCGATTACAGGGGTATAAAATATTATTTGAAACACTACAGTGTACAAAAAAGTAAAAAAAAAAAATCTGTGTTGCATGTGAATCAATCCCTCCTCCTTGTTAAGTAGAACAACTGCCGTGTTGTAAATTTTGCTCTCTTTCTGCCACCCAGTAAATTCAAAACTTACGATCGGTCACAACCATAAATTGTGCGTGAACCCCTCTCCCTCTCTGTATTCGTACCAACATTGGTATATAAACCAACTTGAATTCGAATCAACAATTTTTCCATTTGATTAAACGATGACCTATTTAAATGTCAGTCTTGTATTTAAATTACTGCTTACAAATGTCATACATTGTACATGTATGTCATACATTGTACATGTATATTATACAATTATTGCTGTTTTTTGAGGTCAATACAATGATTTAGCCATCTGAGGAGTACAATATTTACCGAGCCCGAAGGGCGAGGTGAATATTGTACTTCGAAGATGGCTAAATCATTTTATTATATGATTGAATAATTTCCATCTCTCTGATTGGCTGAGATCCAACTATGTTAGAAAAATACTACGTTGTATTGACCTGCACGTGACGTTCCAGGTCAATACAAGGATTTATTTCCTCTACATTGATCTAAAAATAGATTGGGAAATTCCAAATTGATACAATTGTTTTGGAAAGCTATCTAAACGACTGTGATTTTTTTTCATGTGAAAAAAAACATAAACGAATATATATTTTAGGGTAAGGGTGGTAAGAGGGGATGCAAGGACCCCCCTCCAACACTTTTACTGAACAACATGGTTTTTTTTTTTACTTTTTGGCAGTCAGTTTTCCTTGATAATACTCCTTCTTTTCAAAATTTATCCTATAAAAGGACTGACATTATATTAATTTTTTCATGTCAACTAAAATTGATTAAAAAAAAAACCCATTTCAAATTGATAGTTTAATTCTGTTTCTCTGTTGTATTCGGCTAGGACTTAATTAAATGCAAGTTAACAAGTAATGAGCTGTATCATTTTATCAGTGAATCATATAATAAAACAGTTATTGCTGTTTTTTCGGTCAATACAATGATTTAGCCATCTTCGAAGTACAATATTCACCTCGCCCTTCGGGCTCGGTGAATATTGTACTCCTCAGATGATTAAATCATTGTATTGACCTCAAAAAGCAGCAATAATTGTATAGTATTGACCGAAAAAACAGCAATAATTGTGTTATTATATGATTCACTGATAAAATGATACAGATCATTACTTGTTAACTTGCATTTAATTAAGTCCTAGCCAAATACAAGAGAGAAACAGAATTAAAATGTGAATAAACCTTACCAGTCGTATCAATTTGAAATGGGGTTTTTTTTAGCAATTTTAGTTGCCATGAAAAAATAATTTAATGTCAGTCTTTTTATAGGATTGATTTTGAAAGGTAGGAGTATTATCAGGGAAAACTGACTGCCAAAAAGTAAAAAAAAACATGTTGTTCAGTAAAAGTGTTGGAGGGGGGTCCCTGCATCCACTCTTACCATCCTCACCCTAAAATATATATTCGCTTATGTTTTTTTCACATGAAAAAAAAATCACAGTCGTTTTTTAGAAATAGCTTTCCAAAACAATTTGTGTCAATTTGGAATTTCTAGATCTATTTTTAGATCAATGTAGAGGAAATAAATCCTTGTATTGACCTGGAACGTCACGTGCAGGTCAATACAACGTAGTATTTTTCTAACATAGTTGGATCTCAGCCAATCAGAGAGATGGAAATTATTCAGTCATATAATAACACAGGATATTGGCTCTCGAGAAACGATGTAATTGAACAGCCAGAAACATCATCATAAGACACTGATATTATACGCATCGGACTAAAAAAGTAACTGTTCGGATTGAAGTGATAAAATAACTTGGTACAAAATAAAATGAGTGATTGTCGTGATTAAAAATACATGCAAAAAAGTTAATAATATCACCAAACTAAAGTTTTCTGTTGAGTCTAAATCTACGTGCATACAGGAATGTGAGTAGTGACAAGGTCATCAGCAAGACGCCGTAAACAAGGAGCTCTGAGATCACGGGATCAGTGTGGTCCGAGTGTCCGGACTCCATGTCCACGATCACAGCCCGGATCTGGGTCGCCTGGGTAACGGTACTTAGAATGTGGAAAATCTGGTGTCCTTGACCCACGATGTCACATTTACCCGGAAACAACTTTTCAGGAAAATGGCTGCCAAAGAAGAAGGCTTGTAAACAAAAAAGGAATATGCAAATACTGATATGATGCAGTGACGATATTGAACAGGATTTCTGCATAAAACACGTCATGTATCTATCAAATAACGGAGCAATCAGCAAAACGGAGAGGAGAAAGATACCACCAAGCTGTAAAAGTTTCCGGGACAAATTAAATGGATTTTCTCCATAAAGACATTTTGCTACACACAGAACAATATAAGAAAGCCAACAGGCAATAACTAAGGCTGGAAGGTAGTGCTGTGCCCAGTTGTCGTAAAATGTTTTTGTTGAACAGGCATACATTGCAATAACACCGGTACCATATGAATAAAACGTCACTCCAATATAGTCTAACAAGAACATAGTATAGTGAACATCCGAAGATTTGGAATGAAATAAATGGGCGACAGAACTAAGCATGCTTGTGATGATCGCACACACACCAAATGTTAGGACTGGCCATATATGCTTATTCCTTGTAAATCCGTATGTTTCTGAGAGTTTCCAGAGTAGAAGAAAGATCGCTAAAATGCCTCCGAGGTGGCTCCAGACGTTAAAAGTCTCGTTGTGCACACGAAAAAGACTGAAGAAGTAATATCGCCATGACCTGTTGACGGGACGATAACCCGTTAAAATGGCGGGCTCCCGCAGAACCTTTGGAACTTTAGAAAAATGAAGTGTGTCCCGAGGAGTACACCATTTTTGTTTCATATAGTTTTGAAGTTCCACAATCAAATTCATGTCGAAAATTTGGAGAACTGTAGAAGATAAAAATAAATCAATAACTTTAGATAAAACATGCAGAAGAAAACAAATTTCAAATTAAAAGTTGAGTGTACAAAATGTAAATGTATTCCCGCCTGAACTTGAAATAAAGAATTGCATGTGAATAGCTTGATAGATGTAACAAAGCACTGCTATCTTAAAATCGTTTAAAATCTAAAAATATATTCCACTAGATTTAATCTGTCTACCTAGAATATTATCATTAAACTTATTAAACCCCTATGTTTATTCAATTGCTCGTAATTAATGCAATTCATTGTATAGAAGTTACACAAGAGACTAACTACAAATGTTACAGAAACTTTATCGTAAAATGTAATGCTTTATGAACTGGAAAGTTTGTCTCTTTATATCTTGTAAACCCCGACCTCTTGCGTTACCTCGGATGAACGAAGTAAAATGAGAGACATGTTTTCGTATTTTGGAATCGTTACTTCCAGAAGTTAACAGTTAATTTATTTTTTTGTTTGGATATTTTAATGCAAAAAAAAATATCAAATTTGGTAATCTGTTCTTACAAAACTATATGATAAACGTAAATGACTTTCAACTTTTCTAATGTCAACTTTCATTACTTATGTAACAATATACTAGTATATTTACCACCATCACCTGCATATAGAGTGTGTATATATGTCTTTCAGTTGATTCTATACGCAAGAGCATGCTTTACAATTTCTATCACGAGGAAAACTATTGACATTTATGTTGATGATTTATAAAAAGTTTCGTTCAAAGTCAAATCTACAGTCCCTTTTGAAGTCAACAATTTCTAAATTCTTTGGCCTATAACCAATGCAATGTCAGCAATTAAAATATATCTATAAGTCACATTGCTGCCGGAGTTTTTTTTTATACAAATTGGTAGGCCTTTATATTCACACTGAATTTAAACGGATTTTCCCGTTTGCTTTATCATGACATGGAGCAAGTGGCGGATGCGAATGGTTAAAAGGGGATGTTTACTCCTTAATGGCACCCGACCCTATTTATGTTCTTTTTAGTGTTTTAAGTGCTTCCAAATGGTTTTGTTTAAAAATGGACCATTGTGCTAAAAAACTTACCGACGTTCAGTGACATAATAACTTTTAAAAGGAATATATTAAGTACATTTTAACCCGATAACTTGAAAAGAAATATATTAATTATATAAAGCACAGATCAATAGACTGACATACAGCAGCATAATTTAAATTCTTACCTTTCATATCTCTACATTCAGAGTCAGGCCATCTCTGTTCGTCAAACATTCAGCTTTTTCTTTATCTAATTCATAAATAATGAACACAAATTCACTCTATGATCCAATGGCTTCTTCACGGTATACCATAATGATAAGAATCGATAGAAGAAGGCCTATGTGGACTTCCTTTAACGTAGATCATTTCGGCTTTGTTGAACTTTTGTAGCTCCGGCAGAGACCGTTAAGTTCATACAAAGATTGTTGTTTCCCGCGGGAAATGTTCAGTACCAGCAGACGTTTACTCCCGCTTTTATTGGAGCTACTCGATTCCCACTTGTATGGTGTACTGTAAATGAGAACACGTGGATAAGAAATCGATAGGTTCCACATGTGTACATCTAATTCAATGATTTACACGTACAAAATTCATGAGGACATGAACTAAATGATGCTTCACGTCGGATTTCATGTATATTCATGAAGCGCGTTATCTCTTCATGATAAATATGCCAACGTGAACCATTGTAGTTTATGAACCTTATGGATTAAAAAAAATCGAATTCATATCTTATATAAACATTTTTTTCTGATGAGTTGCCACAATAAATACAACTGTCATTAATTTTCCCAATGTGTACACACAGGTCATGTGCTCAGAACACTTTTCACTATAAGTTTTGACGTCAGTTACGTTATTTTGACGTAACAATGGAGATATCCATTATCCCATGCTCTTTTATGATATTCTATACATAGAAGGCGCTTTATCAAGCTTGACCTGTGTGTTCACATTGCATTCATTGTAGTCCAATTGGAAATTTGGTAAAAAAAAATTTGGACCCTAACCCACCCCACCCCACACAAAATAGGATTTTCAAGTTTGAACACCCCCACCCCCTTTCAAAACCGATGGTATGATAACGTCACTATACAATCATAAGCAAAAAAAAAAATCAGAAATGTAAATATTTTAGCTTAAATACCGTTTATTATCTCCATATATTTCGTTCAATGTAAAAAACATCCTTTTAACTCAGATGGCACATGACGTTACATTTTTTTTTACTAAAATGTAACGTCAGGTGTCTGTGTCTTATATTTTTTGAAACGAATGAACGTGGTGTGTACAGTTGTATGCATTTCCTTATTACCAATTTCTGGAATTATAGAATTATTGGACGTTGGAACCTCCACAACAGAATGGCTAAGGCTCATACAAAAGTACATGTACGTGTTCGGAGATGTGTACCTTGAAATTGGGAAGATAGATTAATAGCAAATTGAAGTTGTACAATTTGACAATCAATAAGGTACGGTGCAATACATGGCAGTGATGTCATGATTAAGGCCTGTTCACTGGACCAAGGGAATATTAATTCTAATTTTTTAAGTGCTTTAATGATGAAACGTTGCATTGATGTGATATTAAATAAAGGACCCCATTGAAAATAAGCTCTCGAATCTTAAAGGGTTATCCTGTTTTCATCCAGTCACAGTGGAATTATTTTAATCATGTTAATTCCTAAAATGTTATTACATGACTATTTATTCAAGGTATTTTTTTTTAAAGAATTCATTCTAATCCTGCAAAAAATTCGCTGCTTGAAGTCCATGGGCAAAGAGAAAATTCTATAGGTCAGAACAAATGTCTGTACAGTATCAGATCTGTAAGTTTAATTCTGATATTCATGTATCCAAATTTTTTGGGAGGCAACCAATAACAAAAAATATCAGCTCTTAGATCGATGTGTTCGAACTGAAATATATTATATACGGTAGAAAAAAAGGAATTTTAAAAGATGATAATCAGCTCAATATGGACAGTGGGAGAATAACTGCTGTATAACGGCGTACTGCTTTGTCTAAAAATCCTGAGATGTCTTTTTTAAAAAGTAAAATACATGCTAAATACTTGTTGCAACCAAATAATTTTTGATCCAGGTTTCATCAATGAAAATTGTTTAAGAATTTCGTCAATACCAAAAATTCTACAAATGAATCGATTATAAAATATATTTTCATTTTTTTAAACGATGAATTTAAAGAAATTTATACAGATAATCCTTTTATTTATTTATTTTTTTTAATTGCAATCATTTTACATTTCCTTTCTAAAAGTTAGAAAATAATTTAAAGGGTGTATCGAACCTTTGGACAATACTTAAAAGAAAATTTTCACGCAATTTCATTAGTGTGAACAGACTAAATTAATACAATATTTCATTAATTTATTCTCATTTGAATATCTATTGAAATGACCCAATTCGTTAAAAAATGTTGGTATATTTAAGAATTGAACTTACCATTTTCTTTATAATTAACTTTTGGCTTCGATATGAGTTGATATAAAATCGATCTGTTTCCATGGCTATTTGATGAGATGTTGTGTGGTGTACATACTTACGATTGTTAATGTACATACTCACGGAAGTGGGAAGTAGATCCAATCGTTTCTACGTACAGCATGAAATATTGCATCGTAATATTACCATGTAATATTGCAACACCGGAAATGTCATATGAGAGAGAGAGAGAGAGAGATTGATGACCATCACAGTTTATTGAAATATAATAGTTAATGATTTTTAACAATTATTTACATGAACAATTCAATGCATTAAAAACTTTCATCAAAATAAGAATATATATATCCAGAATCAATTTTAAATACCCGGTAATATGAAAAAATATAAATGAAAGGGAGAAGAATGATAAAATGTTAACGAAAGAAAAAGACAACTCATTAACATATTTTAAAATAAGAGTTTAATTCATTAGTTTATTGGGATAAATATAAAAAATGTAAAAAAAAAAAATAATAATAATATAAATTGGAATCTTATTATTAGGAAATAAATAATAATAACTGGTCCCTAGCTAGTATATTTGTTAGTTTTGAATAACAAAAAAGGGCATAATGAAATACAGATATAATATATACTGCAAAAGTCCATTCAAACAATACTAATCAGGAGTGAAGCAAACGTGGAACTCTAAATCACCAGAGTAGGGATCAGGTGCCATGGAGGAGTTAGCATCCCCTGCCGACCGGTCACACCCGCCGTGTGCTCCTATTGCTCCTTGTCATGATCGGAAAAACGGAAATATCCGTAAAAAATGCCGCGTAAATAATGGTCTTACAATTCCACTGTGTAGAAACGGACTAGGATAAAGTGCGTTACCCTAGTCCAAGATGGCGACAAGCAAATACGCTTCGATCATTTTGCACTTTGTTTTATGGCCTTATACAGATTTGTATTATAAATTTTGTTGTTAAAATTGAATTATTTCGTACAGAAGAACACAACTATTGCAAAAAGGCGGCATGACATGCGCTGATTAAAGCCAGATTGCGAATACAAAATTTGAGCATGATTAGGGTAAAGTAAATTTTTGATTAGGGTAAAGATATTCTAAGCTTTTTTGGTGACTAGGGTAAAGTACGTGTAAAATATCATTTTCCTTGTTTCAGGACCTAAAACATCCTTTTTTGAGGGATGTTTACTCCTTCTAGGCAACGGATCCTACTTCTGTAATTTATGTCCGTGTTTTATACCCCGTCCGCAGATTTCTATTGTTTGTAGTTTTCAGTGATAGATCACTGTTTGTTATCCTACCTTTTTCATTGAGCAGACTCGACACACACTCTGGGCCTTTTAATAAAATCATTGCACAAAACACTAATAAACGGAAAAATTCTGATTCAAATATGCTTCCGATAGAGCAAATTCCAATGGCGAATTACTACTTCTTGCAGTTAGGTTATGATCCTATTTATGGACATAATATAACTAAATGAGTAGGAAAAACAACACTCTTTTCATTTAGTTAATGGTGGCAAAAATATTTCAAACATCTACAAATCAATTATTTAAAAATTATAAAGAAAAGGGGGGAGGGGTATTTATTTATCTATTGTATTGATGTGTGCATAATGGCCAGAAATGGGGGTTTTGTAGTATTCTTACACTGGATCTATGATCGAGAAACGATGCGAAAAATTATTTGCTGTATCTTCTAGGGTAACTGGCAAAGCATTTTTTCGAGAGAGAAAATAAATCTATATTCGGGGTTCTGATTCTTATAATTTCTTTATGTAAGTTATTTCTTTAAAGGTGTTTCTCTGACAAGTTGAACACCTGTGAAACGTTTCTGTTTTTGTAAAAAGTGCAAGAAGATTTTGCTAATGTTGACGTTTTACCGTGTTCAACTATGTACACATCACTGAGTATATACGGACTGATAATACTGGTGAGTTGGTTTTGCTTTCCCACATTTCTACTCTAATTTTTCTGGATTATACTTTGAATATATTTTATTAAAACACAACAATTTTTTCACTTCTCATATTAAGTACATGTATTAAGGATAAAATTTGCTTTGCAAGAATGTATCAATTAAACGCATCCCGAAATTCCTAGTTTCAATAATTTCCAGATTTATAGAGTAAGTTTTTAAAATTATATTTCCGTGTGAAATGCTATAGTAACATAGGTAAAACTCCAAAGTCCGATGATGAGGCCAAAGTCCGATGGTCTGCGCGAAACCCCGATGGTTTGTTATCGCATATCAGTCATAATATTTTGCCGAAAATTTTAGAAAACAATTACATCAAATTTGTGTCTAAGCACCTTTAAAGTTGCATTAAAGTATTTAAAACAGCACAAATAAAAGCAGTAGTATTAAATCTTTGATAAATTAAGAACTATTCGAATAAAAAGTTCCTTCTTAAGGGGAGCCGAGGTATTGACTTCGACTACTTAATGACATCACTTTTGTAAATGGAACATATGGAGAGAACCAACAGTATATAAGATCAAAAGTCCTCAAAACAATTACAAAATAGGAGCAGAGCAAACACGGACCTCCAAAATATTGGAAGTGGGATCAGGTGCCAGGGAGGAGTGAGCATCCCCTGCCAACCGGTCACACTCGCCGTGTACTCCTTGTTATGATCGGGAAATGACGGAAAAATCCGTCGTCAATTCAGTGTATAAATAATGGACTAACAATAAGTATGAAAAACGCCAGTCACCTTTTGATTTATTAATAAATTGTATTTGCTGACAAGGTAATTGTATCGACCATGGAACTTACGAAATGATGACTTCAAACGAGACTGGTGAAATCCTTTTTTATCAACTTGTTTGTCAATAATTTTCCTCGTTTTAGAAATTGTTCATACGTGAGCATGCTCTTGCGTATCAACTGAGATACTAGTATATAAATTAACACCGTTTGCAGGTGATGAAGGTATATTGCTGCATAAGTAAGGGAAATTGACGATAGAAAAGTTAAAGTCATCACGTTTATCATAGAGCTTGGTTGTTAGATTACCATTATAACGGCTTTTTCAAGTAAAATATCTAAATATGAAACAGATGTCTTAGACTCTGTGGTATCTTTTATCTCAAGCTCACCAGTATGTATCGTATCGGTATTAGAATGGAAAATACCATTGTTAATTGACAATACGTCGTCAAACAAAACAATACAAATAAAAACAATAAAACAAACTCAAAACCATTTCTTGTGGATATTGATACAGCTATGCCCATCATAATACATTATCAAAAAATGTTTTATTTATATACATTTGCTGTTATATAACGATTAATTTTGCTTCCATGATTTTTATGCAGGGTAAAAAACACTATCTTAAAAAGTAACAGTATTTGAATATTTTCCAGAAAGCCTTTCTCAACTTTATTAATAAAATTGTATAAAGCAGTTGTTCTGTGTACATTTAGTTTGTATAATAAATAACTTTACCCTAGTCTCAAAAAAACTTTACCCTAATCGTAAAGAAACACTTCATAGACTTTACCCTTATCTATGGCAAAACTTCGTGACGTGTTTTCTGGTTAATTACGCAGAGTTAAATGTAGTCTCTTTCTGAGCAAGAAAAGCCGATACTTCAAATCAAATTGGTGCAAAATAAAGTAAGGTTTTTTATAAGTATTCACCGATTTTTATTCATGGAAATTTGAAGCGTAGGAGCTTGTCGCCATCTTAGTCTAGGGTAACGCACTTTACCCTAGTCCGTTTCTACACAGTGAATTCTGTATACATTCGACTTGCTGATCAGATTGTATACTTGCTGGAAACCAACCAATCACAGGCGCCTGACATTACTTATTTTTTTTTTTATAAAAAAAAATTATTCTTAAAAACTGTTACAACAGTATAGAAAGGATATTACAAACATGAATTAAAGCATGTGTGAGGAAAAGATAAAAACATTGAAGACAATGCCTATTTCTTTATATGGACACAGATTACAAATTCTGTTTTCTTTTGTAATATTATACATTCTTCGTGTCTAAATTGGAAGCTTACTATAATTAGGTAAAATATAGCATTTCCAGTTCTAAAAATACAATATTCAATAGAATTTTTAAAGTGTAAATTCAACAAGTATTTCTCATAAGGTTCGTGATTTTAAAAAAAAAAAAAAAACAACAATCTATGGTAAAGACTTTTTGGTGAATTATACAAGTCACTACACCACAAATGCTAAAATTAATCTACAAGAACATTATGAACCTTTTTCTTTATGCATGTTATTAACAGAGTTTTGTTGCCATATATAAGCAAGTTCACAATCATTCAAATTATTTTTAACAGCATTACACCATAGTGTCACCATTGTGTACAGAATTATATTTAATAAAAAATAATTTTAATGGCATTTTAGAACCCTGTGATACAACAGATTTGCCCAGAAAGAAATCACACGAGCTTTAACCTAAATAGAAAAGGATATCCTCTAAGTTTCATTATATAGCAAGAAAACAAGAGATTTTCGTAAAGCACTGATGCTCCCTATCCCAAATAATTGGAATTTTTCTTAGTCCAAGGGGCATAACTCTGTCCCAAATTGCTCGATTGTACCCAAAACAGAACTTGACCTAGATATTCATATGATAAATCTGTATTCCAAAATTTCATTTCTGTATGTGCAACCTATGCAAAGGAAATGAACGGAAACTGCAAACAATTGGAATTTTTTTAAGTCCAAGGGGCATAACTCTGTCCAAAATGGCTCGATCGTACCCAAAACAGAAATTGATCTAGATATTCTTAAGATAAATCTACATAGCAAATTTCATTTTAGTGTGTGCAATGGCTCTGAAGAAAAGGAACGGAAACTTGGTGGACAGACAGACAGACCGATAGACAGCAGCAAAGCAATATGCCCTCCCTTTTTCGAAGGGTTCATAAAAATGGTATGGAAGACCTAAAGCTTCATGTATGTTTACAAAATTGTTGATGAAGTCTTTCAACAAGAGTGATATTGCCAAATTCCCATACTTAACATTTGCATAATAAAGCTGGTCTCACTATTTTGGCAAACAAATCTAATTCAAAACTGATTAAAAGATAACGT